TAACCTTTAACCATGTGCAAACCCCCTCCGGTTTGTATCACATGGGGGGGAACAAACTATTTACATAGGTACCAAGGTTTTATGTACAATTCCAGCCAATCGGTGCCTTTTTTTGGTTTCCCCCCCCCCCCCCCCCCCCTTTTTACTACCCCTATTCCATATGTCGTTCGTTTTTCTGCTAAATGAGTTACTATTACTCACTTTCATACAGCCATGTTCAAAACCTAATGGCTTTAGAATAGAAGAGAATGGTAATTTGCTAGGATGCATGGGGCAGCTACTCTATAACGGATGGTCCAGCACTTAGTAATTACATATATACAAGTAAAATCATACCTACTCCAATAGATTGTTTCATCATGGTTTTGGGGGCGGTATCATTATTGAAGAGGCTCTATGATACTGTACTTGAAAATGTACAATGGTAACATCGGAGATGTAACGAACTCCAACGCATGCACGCAACTTTATCCCGACGTCACAAGTTTATATTGTCCTGTTAACTGGGACAAGCTTACAAGTCAACTTAAACCCGTAATTGCATTACTATAATACCATGCTTCGTTGAGCATATCAACGTGCGAAGCTGATCGATGGTAACGTTCTCTCTCAAATTCTTCGGGTTAACGATTGTTTCTTTTATAAACGAAATCCAATTGAGCATAGCGAGTCAAGCAAGCAAATTACTGTGTATTTGATCCAGTACATACCTAGTAACGGTAGATTCTCCGTCTAGTTTCCTTCCATTGAACTTCGAAATGATTAGTTCTATACCTGTTAGGAACTCGTCCCGAGAAAGCTATTGCGAACTTCATAATATACCTAGTACTTTCTTTTATAATGATATGCTAACTCTTCTCTATTCCATAGTTTATTTACCTAATGCATCGATATTCCCTTTAAAAATTCTAGCTGTGGATTGTTTTCCCCAACAAAGGCTCTTTGCAATTATGATGGTGGTTTAAGGTTAAGTCAGCTTCTCAAGGGCTTGTAGGACTCTTGAAGGATTCGAAGCAACCTGCATGAAACTAAATACGGTCGAATAAAGCTACCTAGTTTCGAGGAAACATGTTCTTGGTAAATCAATATTTATTGTTACTAAGAATTCTATAGATGTATCGTCGCAGATAAGGGCTACGTATACAAATTTCATATTTTATCATTCAATATCGCTTTATCTCTATATGGTATACGAACCCCCCTATAGAAGTCCTGCCGAAAACCTAGTGTCCACCTTACTAAGTTATGCTAGGGTTAGCATCTGTAGATCATCACATAAGCTTAAAGTAGTACGATGAGCTTAAGCATACCAGTGAATTTACACCACTCAAAACCGCTTGGCTGACTCTCCCCCGGATATCCCCGTCCACGAAGGCGGACGGGTTACCATAAATTCTCGATCCGTGGCTATAAGCCACGCAGTAATTGGTTCTTATCAGCGGTATCTTGCATAACCCCTCTCTTCTCGCTGATACTAAATGTAGATGGTGAGATTAGGTCGTATTCAAGCGCGGAGCCGAGATGGATTTCACGAAGAATACATAAGTTGAGTCCTAGAAGCTCAGATTGGCACTTAGTAATTCAAAAATGACGATTCGATACATCATTTTCTTTGAATTCTTAATACAATAAGTTCCTATAAACCTGCCTTTCCCTCTGTCCAGCCATTTTTTAAATAAAGTCTACTTAAATAGACTACATTTTAAGCAATCAGAAATTATGGCAGACACTTATGACTTCGTGATCGTTGGTAGTAAGTCAACCTACCACCACTATTATATAGCCCCACAATTCACCATTCGCAATTCGCTGACGGCATCACCCAGGCGGACCGGCGGGTAGTTCCATCGCCTCGTCCCTCGCCAAGTCGGCGAAGAAGCCTCAGGTCCTCCTCGTCGAGGCCGGGGGCAAGAACGACGACAAGGACCTGCGGGTGGACGGGCAGCGCTGGGTGACCTATCAGAACAAGGCCATGAACTGGGGCTACAAGACGGCGCCCCAGGAGCACTGCGCGGGCCGCGAGATCGACTACTCGCGCGGCCTGGGCCTGGGCGGCTCCAGCGCCGTCAACTTTAGCGTCTACAACGCGGGCGCGAGCGACGACTATGACGAGTGGGCGCGCCTCATGGACGACGATGCGTTCAGGTGGACCCACATGCAGCGCCGGTTCAAGGCCCTCGAGTCATTCGACCCGACGCTCCCGGCGGGCGTCGACGGCAAGTACGCCGCGCCGAAGGCTGAGAATCACGGTAGCTCGGGGCCCTTGAAGACGGGCTATGCGGCTGAGGTGGAGAAGGATGTGATACCCACTCTAGATCTCTTCGAGAAGGCTGGGTTCCCTCTAAATCCGGATGTGTGTCCCCACCTCCCTTCCATCCATCCTTTTTTTAGTCCGTTTTGGGGCTCCGTTATTCTCAATTATGCGATTTGAGGAATCATTGCCCGCGAGGAAATTGAAATAGTTGAAGATGTAGTCGCTGACAATGATTGTGACAGCACAATTCCGGAAACCCGATTGGAATGGCGCTTGGGGTCAACTCATCGGGAAAAGGGGTTAGATCCACGGCGGCAGACCTACTCACGCCAACGCCGGAAAACCTGACCATTATCACAGACGCCCCAGTCCAGCGCATAATACTTGAAGGCAAGAAGGCCGTCGGTGTCGAATCCAATGGCAAGAAGTGTAAGTAAGAAATTTATGCAACTCAAAGCTCATGACACTAAACAGCCAACGTCAGACCTCGCATCCAAGGAAGTCATTCTCGCAGGAGGCTCTCTTAACGACCCAAAAATCCTCATGCACTCCGGAATCGGACCCAAAGCGCAATTAGAAAAATACGGGATCCCCGTGGTCCAAGACGTCCCCGCCATCGGCCAGGGACTGCGGGACCACATGTTTGTGCCTCTCGCGTACCAACGAACCGACGGGGAAACCGACCGGCCTTCCTTCTACGGCGACAAGGAAGCCATGGCCGCCGCGCTCGAGCAGTGGAAGAAAGACGGCACCGGTCTCTGGGCCAAATTTGCCTGCGAGCTGCTGATTGGATGGTTCAAGCTCCCGCACCTGAGCTCGCTCCCCGAATTCCAGGCCCTGCCGGAGGCCGAGAAAGCGTACCTGAGCCAACCCACGGTGCCGCACTACGAGATCATAACGCACTTCCCAATCCACTATTTCGTGCCGGACTTTCCGGACTCGTCGCTGAACTACTCGTGCCTCCTCGTCTTCCTGTACAACGCGCAGAGCCGGGGCGAGGTCACCCTGCAGTCCGCGGACCCGGACGCGCCTCCGCTCATCGACCCGAAGTTCCTCTCGTCGCCGTTCGACCGGCGCGCCGCCGTCGAGATCCTGAAGGACGTGAACCGGTTCCTGCGCTCCGAGGGCTACGCCAAGGACACCGTATCCACGATCGCGGGGCCGGCCGGCGACTCCGACGCAGACTACCTGGAATACTGGCGGCAGGCTATCAGCTCCAGCTGGCACATGACCGGAACGGTGAAGATGGGGAAGCCCGGAGATGCGGACGCGGCCGTCGACAAGGATTTTCGGCTGATGGGTTTCGAAGGTCTCCGCGTCGCCGATATGAGTGTCGTTCCCATCCTCGCGAGCTGTCATGTTCAGATCGTTGCGTATCTCACCGGCTTGACTTGCGCCGAGAAGCTGATTGCCGAGTATGATCTTGCCTAAGTCAGTAAGGTGGGGCCTGAAAGACGCCTCCGATGCAGTACACATAGGCCATTCCTGCCGTCCTTGAATTAGCCCAGGGATCAAAGGAATTATAGATTAATAAAAAAACATGATTCCAGGAATTCTCATCAGCTTCTTATCCAGTACATGTTTGACCTAGTATTGCTATTTAAGAAAAGGGGGGATCAAATCTATGTAACATCACGAACACGCCAGCAATGGAGCCGACCATCGAGTTGGGACCTTGAAGTGTGTCTAAGCACGCACAATGACAACAAAATAAACCTTTTTAACTCCTCCCCCCGTCATGATAATTCGTCAGAAGTAGCTAGAGGACGATATATAAACTCAGAAGAGTCCCCATCGTCCACGTTCTTTCTCTCCTCCTTTCTTCACACCCCTCGACCTTTCTCTTTCTAGGCCTTCGAGCTGTCTGAGGCTCTCCATCTTTTCAAGCACTAGCTCGAGAAGCTCCTTTCGCTTGATAACCTCAAGGTGTTTTTTGATCTTGGGATCTTCCTTAGCAAACTTTTCTACTTGTTCATCTGACAGGTGCCGTCCAAGTCGAAGGTCTAACTCCCGCGGAAAATTGTAATAGAACTCGGAAAGTAGCTCCACATTAAGGAAAAGGACGGCGGTAGATGCAAGTTTCGAAGCGACCGCGTCCAGGAAGACTTCTGGGCAGTGGTATTTATTCTTGATGTTAGCGCATTGTTTTGACTTGACCGCAAGCATCCGCATCTTGATGATGTCAGCACGATCGCGCAGAAAAACAGCTTCTCGCCCTGAAGAACTATTAGTGGGTAAATCTGGATTAGGCTAGGATTAAAGCATCATACCTTGAGCAAGCAACTCTGCACTGAACCCTCCCGCGCCACTGCGGCTCTCGCCTTCAACTATGACGTCGCCTTTCCTAGCCTTATCGACAAAGTTCATGACTTCCTTAAGTTTTCTGCGTCCACCGACTGTTGACTCGAGACCTTTCAGAGCGCCCTCACAGGCAGATAGCTCCTTTTTTAAGACGCCTTGGACATGATCTCGACCTGCGGTCCATTCGCGTTCTTCCATGTCAATTTCAAACTTGAAAGGTTTGATGCAATTTTCTACTTGATCGCTAGTGCTGTAAAACCTGTCGTTCAAGATACTCGCAGCAGCCTCGGTAATCGCCTGACGCGCATACGGATGGTTCACAAATGTTGAGTGGCTGATAAGAGCGTCAATCCGGGATTGGATAGAGCTGGCTACTACGTTAGTGGCCAGTCTACCAACACCAAGTTTTGTGAGCGACGAAGTAGAAGCATCAAGTTGTCTACGCCAATAGAGAGAGTTAGGATCCGCTTTGGGAAGATCGACAAGGCTGTTAGGCTCGGCGATGGGGACGCTTAAATCGTAAATAGGCTTATTCCAGTATCTTGCTGCTAGGAGGTCAAGCATCCGTTGATCAAGTTCGTTCTTTAGGAGCTCATGCATTTCAGGTCGACCAAACTCCTCGGTAAATCTCTTGAAAGAGTGTTTAAAAGCATCTAAGCTCTCAGCTAGATATGACTCCGCAGACAATGGTCGGTCGTTGTACTGTACTTTGAACTCATAAGTAGCCTCTTCGAGTTCCTGTCGTATCGCATCGCTCGTCGACTGTAGACTAGCTGACATTGTCTGTTCCAAAACATGCATGAGTTTCTTGCGTAGTGTTGACGTTCCAACTTGGATATCCGAACCGGGACCAAATTCCAAAGGATGACTTGAGAAAAATGAGTTTTCGTTGCGAGTAACAGCAGACGTGACATTAGTATTGCCCTTCTTGAATAAACCAGTCGTTGTCGGCGCGCGAGAGATGACACCAACGTAACCTAAACGGAGAGGATATTGTTTGTCGCACAAGATAGAGGCTCCTCGAGTGGGATCGACCAGGTCCATCTTCGTGACAACACCTATTGTCCGTTCGCCTCTTGGGTCAACCCTTCTACTAGCTCGCAGAGCCGTAGAATTGGCTAAATCGACATCCGCAGCTGAAATCGCTAGTATGACATTCGGTGGTTGTATATATTTGTCACAGAGCTCAGATATTCTTTGCTTAAGCTCCAAAGGCTGGTTTTGGCCAACTACTTGAATGTAACCAGGGAGGTCGATCAGTGAGAGGTCCGGGATGTTAGGCGATGAGATAGATAGTCGAATCGGGTCGTCTGATACGCACTGACTTTCCGGGACAGCCTGGTTCAGTTCTGTTAGGGTTCGCTGGATTGAGGAAAAGTCAGAGATCTTTCCCAACCCCAGATCCGGAAATTCACCAAACTCGGCATCTGAATCGGGCGTGTTGATAAGGGTGAGTTCGATAGGTCTTCGGGTAACCATGTTTGACCCCTTTGGCAAAAACTCGTGCCCCACAATGGCCTCGAGTACGGAACTCTTTCCTGACGACTGCGATCCAATAACGACAATAGATGGCAAGGTTAAGGTACTAGACTGTCCAACTCTTGCTAAAATATTGCGAATTTCGATCATCTTCTTTGTTAGCACCATCATTTGGTCATCCTTAGCCATCTCATCCGCACTTCGTGGATCATCGTCGGAGGATTGATCGTAGCCGTAGGCAGCGGCGGTAGCACCACCCACAACTGCGGCATTTGCTCTACTCTGTTTCGGAGGCTCCTCACCACCAGGTCCATCACCTTGTTTTCCAGATCCTATCTCTTCTTGAAGTTTTAGGATACTCTGCATCCATTCTGGTAGCTCAACCTTCTCTTTCGTATTTTGCCACCCTCGCATCGTCTGATCGGCAATATCCTTGGCACCATCTATAAAGCCTGTGGCCGTGTTTGCAACCGTATCTTTCGTGTTAATGACAATATCCCAAGCGTAATTTCCGGCCTCTAGACTCCGTGTTAGTTCAGGTTCGTAGACCACGTTATAACTCAGCTTCAAGGGGTCAACATACGTGTAGCTTGATATTGTATCCAAGCCAGTCCACCTATCATGACACCGCCTGCCATGGCAGGTATCCTTATGAATTTGACCACCAACCGAGGCAGGAAACGGCCGAAGGAGGCATTTCGTACAGCGACGGCGTTGTGGAATGAGTTCACCGGGAACCACATCCGTCGGCGGGTTGCGCGAACAGCAGCATCGGCACGAAGGAGACCGCCGGAAGACAGCTGATGATATTGTCGCAAACTTCGAACCGAGGCCGAACGCATGGCCGGGAGGCGCCCGACCGCTGATATTAACCGTCCGCTCATGCCGGTTGTGAGATGCGGAGGCGATTTAAAACCCGATATTAGAGAACCATAAAGGTCGACGGCTTCCAGTCCTCGATCCGACACGGCAGAAACAGCAGAAATTGGGTTTTGCTGGTAAATTGGCAGGTTGGTCAAGCGATGGCGGGACACAGATTATAAAGTGGGCTGGTGGCGTGGAGCGTTGAAGTTCCAAGGTTGATAATATTATGTGGGTATTCTTATCGGGTCCGGGACAGGGGGGATCTTAGATAAGATGGTGTGGCTGATACATGTGGCTTTGCTGACACTGGTACAAGCCAATTAACCGTTAAGGATATATGTATGACTAAGATTCAACTACACTAGGCACAAAGTACAATAGAAAACATCACACATTATCGTTCATGAGTTATTTCCCCTTGCTCCATATCTATAACTTAATTTAATACATCAACAGGAATAAGTATATGCTGGAAGTCGCACACAAATAGAATCATCAGTCGGTCACCAATTCGATACGTTTATTATCCGCACAGCTGTACCATAGAAATCGCCCACCGAGAGACAGAGAAGTCTAGAGAGTAGGTAGCCAAGGACGGGTATGACCTTGGAAACAATATGAGTTAAAACGCTTACCCAATCTTTTAGAAAGAAGCCACAAGGGTAAGAATAATCCGAAGTTGTAGCCTGAATCCAGGTAGGTACCTAGGGTGCCTAGGGTAACTTTAAGGATGGATGGATATATTCAAAGCTTTGGAACTGTTCAGCTCCGTATCTATAGACATGTTTAGTACGTGACTTTGATAAGTCACTGAAATGTTGTTAGTACCTGTTTGTATTCATCCGATGTTTGACTAGAAACTGTCGCTACCAAAGGCTAATTGTCCATGTCTAGAGACGTTTATACCATTATAACGTGTTACAAAGCAATAGTAATCCCTTACTCCGTATTCTTATCAAGAGAAAAGTTTCCTAATAAGCTTTTTCATTACACCGTAACAATTGTTTAACATTAGAGCACGAACTTGAACTGCTGTTATGTCACCTTTTCCCGTCTCCTACTTCTAAATCCCTACTTATACTTCCACAATCCCAACCAGACATCTCAAATCTGGCTCTCAACCTAAGGAAATGATATCTCGACTAAACAAATCGTCTGTCACCTTTACACATTATTATGTACCCATCATCTATATAAGGCTTTATCAAGCCGCTACAATGACTCCAGAAATCTCATTCTCTGGCTCTTGATTTTCCGCCACCAACAAAGTCGAAGGACGAGAGCTCGTAGCGTAGACATCTATCGACTACGTCTCTGCCTGTGTTGACGATATGGACACTGTCACGAAGGCAATTTCCAACCAACAACACATTCATAATTAACGAGGGTGTCGTCATAGTCTGCGACTACATCGATGAATAACTCATATTAAACTCGTTCGGTTTGAGGTCAATGATTCATGTCCTAAGTCCCACGGAAAAACAGATGCTCTTTATCCAGAGTCGGGGCTAATGTCCCCCCAATAAAGGACTCGAGAGGAAGCAATGGCCGACGAGATGATCCTAGTAAGGATGAGCAAGCAACCAAGAAACCCAAGCATTCGAAAGCAGCCTTAGAAATCGACACCAAAGCGGCAAAGGGCAGCATCGTAAACTCCAGATTCTTCCAGTTGACAATCGCAGAGCATCTGCAGTCTTTGGCTGCCAAGCCGAAAGCGGAAAATATATGTGCTTCGATGAAGAAGGCAATGTTGCAATGCAGCCACATTGCAGCAAATCGCTGTCAGCCCATCCGAACATTCAATTAATAAACATAAATTTTTTGAAAGCCGACGGCCTCTGGCTACATGGATCACTTTCTGGTCTAGACACGTCCTCGATGGAAGATGAACCATGAAGTCAGAGGAAGGCGGCGGATGGACGAACAACTAGGAGAACGATCACACTGAAACAGTTCAACCAATTGAGAAACCGAAATCCACATCTAGGAGGAAAAGGTGGAGTTGGAAACAGATCTTTCAAGGTATCGCCAACTTCATATATAATGTTAAGTACATGAGGACCAACTCGATTACCTAGCGAATCGGCCATCTGTCAGGATGTCCTAAACTCCGACTTCTTGAAACGCAGCATCCGAACTCACTGAGAGTCCCTGGACACTAAGCAGAAGCAATTCCTCTTCGCAGTGTAACGGCATTGCAGACATTGCAGCCCATTCTTCATATTGCCCGATTGGCGAGATGTGGTACGGCTGGCAGAATAGCTCATTATTCACGAGCTAAATCGAATGGAGAACGAACATAACCCTATAAAGAAGCTGAAACAAAAGAAGAAAGGAAGAACAGGAGCGATATCCCTGAGAACCGCTCTTGAGCTTCACGAGAGAGGATCAATACAGAGAGGCCACCTTCATATACTGGACCGCTCTGTGCTAGCGGGACAAAAACGGTTTAAAGAATGACTCTAATAACTATCATAACGCACAACATATCCACATTTGCCCGTCTTCACTTGATTAACATTCGGATGGGACGCGATTATCAACACAAGACAAGAACACTCCAGATGTATTCTCGAAATGAACCAAATGCACTCTGCGTCTTGGGGAAAGTATACGACGGAAGGAACTGCACTTTTACAGAACAATTCTTGCAAACCATTGGGCATTTACATTGTTGTCGGAGTTCTGGTCTGTTGGAAGACTAGGAGCCAGCCGTCTGACAGGACCGGAGTTCAGCTCTTGGGAGAATTTGGTTGCTGTTGGCCCTGGGACAGAGTAGAGAAAGGGCTCTTCCTATATATACTACCTATATTGTGTTCCTTAAGCGAGAGTAGTTTGGAGTTTTTCGCGCAACGGCGTTGTTGTATTCTCCCTCGGTAGTTCCGCCTCGTGTCAATTGTCAAGGAGAAGGGAGATGCAGTAGTGCGGGTTTATGACACGGAAGAATATTAAAATAGTATCGCTATAAGAGAAATATAAATATGAGATTAACCACAAATATTTCTATTATAAATAGTCCTATGGTGGAGGATGCCGAGGACTTGCAAGAACTTGCTAAGCATTATGGAGAGGGCTCCTCTCACTTACATACACTAAGTTACTTAAGTAGCTGGGTACACACCTAAGATATCTTGTAATCTTTGGTACTTCCACGCTTATTTAACTTTCTTTAGGAAATTCAGAGAAATGAAATGCACGTAATTTGATTGCTTCTATCAAAATTAAGTGACATTTTCGTGACAGTTTGCCATTCATTTAACAGGAGGGATGGATGGGTATGTGAATGTGGGAGTTGCGGAGAATTTAGCCACCATCGGATGGCGGCTTACACGGGTACAAACCGAAGACTAAAGTTACGTATGTGACGAACAAAGACACATCGAAGAAACCACTACCAATAACGCTCAGATTAAATGGTAAAGACGACGCAATGGGGAATGATGTGAATAGAGTTTGATCCCACTAATTAATAATTAAATCTACTCTGATGAAAATTACCATCTTAACTTAAACACAAATCAAATCACAATCCATCCATTACACATCCACTAGCACGCTAAGCTGCAGTACCCAACTTACCAACATCGAACCCCAACTGCGACTTTAGGGCGTGAGGGCGTAAGCTGTAAGGCTCAAGGCAATGGACTCATTGCGAAAACAGCTTGCCGAAACGCAAGATGCGCTTCACAAGAAGACCACCCAAGTCAGAGAGCTGCGTGTAAAATACACGGAAGAACTGAATGCCTGGAAACAGGAGAAGGTTGGTTTCGATCAGAAGCTGCGACGACTCGAAGCAGAAATTCAACAATTGCGCCAAGAGAATGCGGCAACCGGAAGTAGCGCGAAGCTACCGCCCACCCCGGTAGAGGGAACCAAGAATGTAGGCGGGGGCTTGAATCTGATCCCGGCCCCGACCTTGATTGATGAAGCTATGGTCACGACCGTGAAGGCGGAAGGCGGCGATGATGAAAAAGTCGTGATCACACGTGCGGCAATGCAAGAGGCTGAGGAAAAGTTCAAGAAGATTTCGGAGGAGCTGGCCGAGAAGACCAAGCTTTGCGACTCCATACAGCGACGATTTCCGCCTCCAAGCTGCAGCGTCAAGATCCCGGAACTCAACTTCACCGACGACATGGTGATCATACGCTGGGAGAAACTACGAGGCCTGGTCCGAACCCTGACCTTAGAGAGATTCAATCACACCATCCAACCGAAGTTGGTACCGGAAAAGTCAAGATCGGAATTCGAGGCCCTCACGAGACATTGGAAGTCGTACATGAGCAACGAGAAATTGACATGCTACATCTTCCGAGCCCTCATCTGGCGCTATCTGTATACGTGTCTGCTGCGAAAGTATTGGCAGGTGTGGGGAAGGGAGCACGGCGACGCCTGCGTGAACTTGGCGAACCTCTTCTCCGTCAAGGCATCCGACAACGAACTACATGGCTGGCGAGTGCACACCTTACGACTGATTCACCAGACTTGCAAGCTCGACGCGGGCATCATGGCCGAAGTGACGAACAAGATATTGGAAGCTACTAAGCTATTCGCGATCGACATCAGCACGGAAGAGCTGAAGAAGAAATTATCGGAGATTGTGGCCGCGGCAGCAGAATTGACTACGATCTTCGGTCGCTCGCACTACCAGACCTTGATGACGGACAAGCCCCATAGCCAACTCAATTACGGATTCCCGTACAGGCTGGAAACGATGGAGTTGAAGGGTAGATTCGGATCGCATACGATTGTGGATCTGATGGTCACGCCGTGCCTGCTTAAGAGAGATCCGGACTACGCTGCGCTGGTGAAAGCAGATGTTATCTGCTGAGGGAGATATGTGAATACGGTGGGATGCGAAATGGGTTTGCAACGAGGCAAGGAAACTCTGAATAATGCGACGATAGCAACAATCGACCCTCAAGTATGGCGCTTCGTGATTCGGAGCATGGGGGGCGATTGCTTGATACCCACCCCTATTGCTTAATTAAATAGGAAGTTACTGAATTCATCGATATTAAGAAACTGTAACCTGTCGGAGATGGAGGTTTGAGAATTATTAAATAAGACGCCTCCTTCCACTGTAACAAGGATTTTCGGTAGTGGCTATCATAAAGCTGTCAGTGGCGCCTTTCTCCACTATTAAATGTGCTAACCCCCCTTATGGTCTAATTACCTCCGACTTGATTTTGTTACTTATTAGGCTCAGGCATCTTCGCCAGCTACCTTTTATATTGGTTCATTCAATTGATACTTTCGCTCTTTGCTCACTATATAGCTATATACTCGACGACTTGGATAGACGACTTGGATATAAATATCTGTATGGCCACTGCCACGTCCGAGCTTGTTTTCTCCCCGCAAGCAAACCATAATTTTTCACGCATTCTTAGCGACCTAAAACGGGCCAACCTCTCTATCACCAACCGTCTGCGCTCCATACGGGAAGATGCAGATTTCGTGTCTGAGGTAGCCGCTGCATTCTCCCGTCCGCTAATCGCCAATGAGCGATGCGGGAGCTGGTACATCCCTCCCGAGACGAAGGCCGGGTCCGCTTATTTTAAGAGTACTGACGGTCATACCGGGCAATGGAGGTTCAGCACGCGACGGCTGAACCTCCAACTTTTGAGCATCATAGGGAATAACGATGGTTGCATCATAGTGGACTCGACCAGAAGGGGCAAGCGAATGCCGGATGCTCTAAGCAAGACCGTACCGATTTGGTGCTGCGTCTTAAACCATGTCCTATTCCCCGATACTCCGGTATTTCACGAGTTTTACACCCCTCCTAATGCCGTATCAGAATCCGAACACGCCCAGATCGAGTCCAGAATCCCTGAACACGTGGGTTCTCTCAGGGCACTCGGCCTCGATCTGGATATCTTGCGCCAACAGGTGAAGAAGCCCCTTAGACCCATGTGGGTCACGCAAGAATCCCAATTGGTACCAATGGACGAAGTATTCGACGACTTTCATCCTGTAATCTGCTGCACTAGCTCCCGTAGAGTCCTTGGCGGGGAGATGAGTGAGGGTGGTTACATCCAGGGCGCCGGCGATGATACCGAGAACTGGGCGCTGGGCTTAACCCCACCCGTTTTCTGGCGCCACGCGGATATCCTTCTATCAACCCCGGAACCGGATCTACCTGATTTGGTGCGCTCGTTGGTATCGGACGACATTGCGGATATGAGTTCAGGGAGTCCCAGGCAAATCGCGCCATGTCTATTCGTCAGCTGCTTGCCGTTACCTAATACATCATCGCCATCGACTTGCGTCATTGCTATTTATTCCAAGACCACGGATCCGAGTACATGGGTTAAAAGCCCGTTGCTTATGGAAGTGGGTGTGGGTAAACACAAGCTTGCCAGTCGCAATCTTCGCATGGCCCTTCCTAGCATCAGCGACTTCGTGCAGCGATTTCTAGCACAGACATCAGATTCTTGTTCGTCGGAAGATTCAGACTCGAAGACCCCTGAGCAGAGACGGATTTTAATCGCCTGCGAAACCGGTAAAGATTTATCTGTCGGGGTAGCTCTTACACTCTCTTGCCAGTATTCTGATAGAGAAGGTAGTCTTACTCCACAGTTATCCCCATCCGGCCATACGAAGAGCGATATCAGGGTGAAGCTTAGTCGCATCATGACAAACTTCCCCGAGGCGAATCCGAGCAGAACAACCTTGCAAAGTGTCAATAGCTTCCTCATGGGTTAGAGGCCTAGGTTGCTATTGAGACTTTGTATTGTTCTTACTACGGAGCACTAGAAACGATCTCGTTATTGTATGCCTACCTGCGATCTAACCCGCTTTGACTTAGGTATCCTCCCATGGTCGTCTAATGGACCTCGAAGTCTCGGTTGTTTGGCCAATTTACGCAAATTCATCAGGGGCTTCGCTATGTTTTCGGGGTCCATATAGCCAGGCCCATGAAATAATTGCGGCTACATGGTCCTCTCAAACATACCTGAATAGATACCAGATGAATATTCAGACTAGGCAGCTTGTTGCAGGCAGAGGATGAGTATGATACCCCATCAGCCAGAAACTCATCGCTTCGAGTTAGCTTAGAAGCCCCTAATCAGCGGTGGTGTCCTCATTCACAGTGCTCGCTCTTTCCGCAGCAGTCGTGGGTAGATTTCATAGCGATGCTAGGATGCTTTTTAGCAACTTTCACGTTGTGATACTATATCAGCATCAATTCATTAGCAGAGCTCGAAGCCCAGTTTACCATATAGTAAGGGAGAATCCCATCCAACCGATTCTACGACCGGTTGTTAGTATCACTTATATAATCTTCAAATCCTCCAAGATGCGCAATTACTCTAATCAGGCAATTTAGGATATTTGGAGATATCATTCTGTGACAGTCTCAACACAAGTTGGCTTTGTCTTTGAGATCAACGCCCACGTGTCTTAGCGCTCCAATTGAGATCCGACACCATGGTTCAAGCTAGATACTAGTCCCATTCTATTGTAATTCTCAAACCAGCTTGTGAGAACGGTGGTGATCACCTGGGCAGCTATCTGTTCGTGAGCAAACTATAAAGGCTCGTTCGGTGATTGTTGGGCACCCGAGGCTGTTAAGGGTGGAAACTGAAAACCCTCCGTCTTTCTAACCTGACTTTATCAAGCTTTGGCTTTCATCTAAATAAAAGTCGCACCTAGGGAATTAATAAGTGATTGATCAGAATTAATCAGAACATCGATTTCAACTTCAGCATCGAACCCCGGCAACATCGAACATCATGTTGTTTCCGACACTCCTTATTCGGTCGCGCCGTGTTGTGCGACTCGTAGGATTTATGCAGGAACGTTACCTAGCAGACGGGGCCGGCCCGATACATCCCAACGGCTGTATGACCTACCTTATTTCCTCAAAAGATTGGCCCCCAGAGGTTAAGCTTCGGAGTCTGTGGGGCCCGAGATCCTCGATTTAGGTACGAGACGATCCCTACCAGACTTCTACCAGACTTTGAAAGCCACTATGAGAATAGAGGCCCCATCCTCCGTCGTTAAGCGAGGAGGCGGCGAGCGCTCTCGGGCCCGAACCGTAGCTATGTCTCAACGTCACAGTAAGCTCTGAGCGGGGCGCCGTCTAACCCTCGGAGATGTACGAGAGCTTCGAACTTTCTGTGTTCGCGTTCTATAATAACATGGGAATTCCCTTCGCTTGTTTCATCCTATGTCTCGCTCCCTGCTTTGAAGCAAGCCACTATGTCGGCTAGAGCCAGCACTTCATCTGTCATGACATTCCGATTATCATGAGTCCGTTGCTCATGAGTCTGCAACAGTCGAAGTGCATGGTATACTCGTAGCCCGAGCGCCTACGATATAATTGGAATAGGGACTGGGCTGGTTGGTGCTGGAAATCTGCAGCCTTCCGCGCCTCCACCTGGAGTTTATATTGTCCTCCCGAGCTGCTGTGGAACGGGTCAATATTTTGACATCCAAGCTTGGGTGCTTCGAAGCTAGTGTTCTTCATCGATGAATACAAAAATATGCCCATCTCAGAAAAAGCCGTCGCATTTGTCTGCGTCGTCACACTTATTTTGGCCGTTGCTATTCTGGCCGTTGGATTACGACTTCATGTTCGTGTGTCGCTGCTAAGAAACCCGGGAAAGGATGACTGGCTATGTCTCGCGGCACTAGTAAGTGGCTTCGAAAAATAGCCTTTTCTCGAGAATAGTTCGCTAAAAACTTCGTGCAGTGCTGTGGTTTGGGGACGTACCTAGCGAACATGGCTGGTTAGTGAATTCGATCGTGAATACCTTTTTCAATACTAATCAAATTGTATCATTAGGGGTGGCAGCAGGCTTCGGCGACCCATTATCGAATATGACTCCTGAAAATCGAGACATAACACTGAAGGTAAGCCTCCCAAAATAAAAAACCTATCAATCTCTCAGTAGGTATCTAACGTCCACTCAGACGATATGGATCTCGCCACCCCTATGGGGCCTCTCCTCCTCTCTCGTCAAGCTGTCCATAATAACATCCTACCTACGAATCTGGCGCGACCGGCCCTTCAAGCTCCTCTGCCACACGCTCCTCCTGCTCATCACCCTCTTCGGACTCTCCCTCTTCTTCGGCGGCGTATTCGCCTGCGTCTCAATCGCGCTATCCTGGACGCCCCCCTCCCCAAGCTCCCGCGACCCCTCGCGCTGCCTCAACCTGCCGCTCTTCATGTTCGTCACCTCGACCGTCAACACGGCGCTCGACCTCGTCATCTTCGCCATCCCCGTCCCCCTAGTGCACCGCCTGCACATCGCCGCGCGGCAAAAGTTCGCGCTGACCGGCGTCTTCACCGTCGGCGCCGTCGTCTGCGTCGCCTCCGTCATGCGCCTCGTCTCCATCTACGAGCTCGACCCCACCACCGACCCGAGCGAGGGCGGCGTCCGCCTCGGCCTGTGGTCCGGGATCGAGAGCAACCTGGCCATAACCTGCGCCTGCCTGCCCACCCTGCGGCCCGTGCTGGCGCGCGTGTTCCCGCGCCTGCTGTCGAGCGCCGCGTCGCGCAGCGCGGGGTCGAGTTGGGGGCTGAGGAGCGGAGGCGTGAGTACCATAGGGGGCACGCGACGGTGGACGCGGCGCGAGACCGGCACGTACCGAATGCCGGAACTGGCGGCGGATGAATTTAGCCGGCATGACGACCGCAAGCTAGGACATGACGATATAGAGATGGGCGCGATTAGGGTGAACTCGACCTTCCGAGTCGACGTCGAGAGCGTGGCGGCTCCGACTCTGGTACACGTAGATACTAGGCGTAACCACGCATCGTATATGGATTTAGGCGAATGAACTGAGAATCAAAATTTGATTGAACGATTCGTTACTGTCTCGCCAACAAGATGATAATTAATGCTTGACCCATTGCTATTCTTAGGTATCTTGTATCGTCACAAGACTAACTAGTAGTGTTTCGCAACAGAGGGTATCCAATCCAACAGTAAAAGCATCAACGCCACATCTCTCATGTCATTTCAAAAATAGCCCTTTTACTCATGTCTTCCTGAACCCAATTTACGATAGTCTCGCCGACATCACCGACGAGTCTTTCGTAGTGCTCGCCTTTGAAAAACAGACCGGTATGTGCACCAACTTGGTCTGTGTCCTTCATAAAGATCTTGACCCACTTGGGATCAATTTGGCCGTCTACTTTGGCTGGAGTGTTGCAGAATTTACGTTCTTTTGGTTGCTTCGGGGATTTAGCCTTGCTTTGTGATTGTTCCGATGGAGTCGCTAGAGATGATGCCACGCCATGATCTGAGTCCCTAGATTCCTGTAAGGTTAGAGAGATAGATGCATCTTTTGGCATCCCCTCTTCTAAAGTTGAAGAGTTTGGCGCTGCTGCCATGGCTTCTTTCTTACGCCGTTTCTGTTCTTCCTTCTCTCGCTTCTCTGTCTCTTGTGTTAATTTCTTTTTTCTCTTATCGAAAATTTTCTGCCTCTCTTTGATGGTCTTTTCGCGTTCCTTTACGAGCTTAGCGTATTCTTTCTGTGCCCGCTTCGCCTCTTTCTCGGCCTGTTTCCGAATGTCCTTATCCGTGTACTGTTCCAAGTTCGGCGGTTCAGGTTCTTTGGGTGGTTCTGGGATCGCCGGTAGATCAAGAGCTAAGGCTGCTATAGTGTTGCTGAGGCCAGTTGTTCCAGTTGTATCATTTCCCGGGGGCTCTTTTGAGACGTGGTTTTCTTGACTTTGCTGGGGGTTCGTACTTGCATCATCCCCACCACCAGAAGACTCGATATCGACCAAGTAAGATTCCGAGGCTTTGCCTTTGAAGTCTTCTGGTGTCTTGGAGGATAAATTAGATTCAACGGCGGGTTCTGGTTCTTCAGACATCGGTTCGGGATCAAGTAGCTGTAAACTTGGGCTCTCGTTGTTGACGTTGAAATAATCCTCTTCAGAAACACCATTTGTCTGGTTGTATTCGCGTGAGGGGCTTTTGTGGTCTTGATTTGAGGCTTGCGGCGTTTGAAGAGCGGAATGTGGGCTCTTTAGCATCTCAGGGGTTTCTGGTCTGTTATTAGAATCCCGGGCTTTGGGTTTCTTAGGATACCCGTGGCACACGGTATAGTATTGAGTGAAGCGAACTCTTGGAGGTACGTGAGCGAAACCATGGTGCTTTATGTCGTCTACATCTTCTAGCTTACGGATATTTTCGTAGCGTGTTCTAAGGCCATTGCCATCCAAAAGGCAGCCTCCAAATTCCAAGTGTGACATGATGTGATTAGTGGCAGCATCTACGAGACCCTCCGAATTATGCTTCTCAACAAAGTGTACGATATTCCTCCACCAACCCCTGTCCTGCAAACGGACGTCGTTGGGGAAGGATGGGTTGAAGTTGGGATCGAACGTTATGCCATGCGGTATACGGGTTCCTTGGGAACTCGAAGAGTGCGACGAAAACTGAGAGATACTAGATGGATCCGAGTATATTGAAGCGCTTGCTGAGGCGACGTTAGATATAGATACAGTTGATTCATCCTCTGGTATTGGACCCTCTGGTACGTTAGCCGGACCCGTCTTGTCCGGTTTTGACCGAAACAAACTAGCAATGCCAGCTGTGATGATACCAGGGTGAAGCCCGAGGAGGGGCACATCTAAATGGACTGTCCCTAAGATGCGATGGAGGAAGTATCCAATGCGGTACTGGTCTTTCGATGGCTAGCTGATCGTTAGCCACCCAGGTAATCGGACTGTGGAAGGAAGGCGAGTTGCTTACCATCAAAGCAATATCAGCAGCTAATATTCCCCCCATAGAGTGACCGAGAAGTACCACATCAGTAGTAGGCGACTCGTGAGGGGCCAGCCATGTGCTGAAGTTATCGCGAGCAACCTCAAGTGTTTTATAGGTCTTGTACTTTGGGTAAATCTTGGTATGAATGACGTGAGTATCAACGAGGGCTAACTTGAGGTAGCGATGTACGTGGGCTGGAAATGACTGGAAAGAGGAATCGCTACCCATGAAACCATGGATATATATAACTAGAAGTCTCCGACGTCCAGAGTCATCCCGTTCCGTGGGGGAGGGAAGTAAGGATTGAGTAGAGGATGATCGAGGATCGTCTGAAGCAGTATATGGCGCAGGTGACGGGCTCTGCCATCGATGATCCATCTGAGACCGGGGAATATCTGTGGATGATTTTCGACTCATTTTAACGACGATGTGAATCAATCTTAACAATAACGAATGTGTGGAATTGTAGATATTCTTCTATTTAGGCCAAGACCGAGGGGGGCTCAGTAATTCAGTGACGTAAGCTGTGATTGACCAAAGCCTGTCTGTGTGTAATTGAGGGAGCCTGTAGGCTTCATAGCGAGCTTATAAGTAGATTAAAAGTTAGAAGAAGGTAGATGTTGGTATACCAGAAGGATAGGTATCTCCAAATTGAAAACCATAAAATTGATTTGCGCCTAAAGTTTAGTAGTGAAGTGGGAGATGTGAGTTGAAGTCGCACGGGGGAAGTTACTAGCTGAGGTGCGGCATACAAACAAGGCAGCTCCCTCCAGTCACCGTGAAGTGTGGGTACGGCGGGGCCTCCCAAGCCTTGTACCCGCGTGTATCAACCCCCCTTAGCTCCGGTGTGAAGTACAGAAAGTCACCTTGCGATTATCGTTCATTCGGACTAGAAGGTAGAATGCCCGTAAAAGCTCGCCCGGTTCTGATTAGCTGGGAGCATCATTCATAGTTTAGAGCATTGCTAATACACATGGCACAATGCAAAATAGGCGCGGACTTATGTAAATTTCATGTGACTGGTGCCTCCATACACTCTAGTGCTATTAGGTTATATAGGGCTAGTCCACCAGGTCAGGTAAGCAGTATTCTACCACTAATAGCTAAAGACAGCCTTGGTAACGCCACCCGTTAGGTTGCTTACTCCGACTCGGCAATGACTTATATGTAACTCATGGTTCGTAGCTAAGAATCGCCATAAGCGTAATCGAGTGGCCGGCATGTCATCCCTTAATTTAGAGAAGCACAGAACTCCAAAGTACGAATGAGATGCACGTTGCACCCTGCAAACTTGAGTGACCAATTAATCATTTTTTTTTCAATTATCATCATGGACATCCCGTGGAATATCAAGGTCCAAGACCAAGAAGTAACATCAACGGTGATAACCTCCGTTTAGCTGATAGGCCGAGGTTCGTCTCATCCAGGGTTTTCATCAAACTGGGACTGAGACAACATTGCCAATCTCTGATCAAGTAGTCTCCCCCAAGCGGGCCTGCTACCACGGAACCTTCGACTACACCGAGCGATATATGTACCAATATCAAGCTCTACCCTGTTCACTAGAGTGGCTCTGGTGAATACTTGTGCCGGAAGATGCCTAGGGATCAACCGCAGTAGTTACAGGGTATTGTAGAACGAAGTTAAAGCCCGATCCAAATTGCATTAGAGAACTAGGCATCTGAGCTGTCTAGAAAACTACACAGAACTGCTCATGTCCCACTGACAACGTTCATAATTGCCGTGATGCAAATAGCCCCCTGAACCCTCATTCAACAACTTTTTATTGTCCGCCTCAAATCAATATGTACGACAAGCCAGGCTTGGTCGTGCTTGCCATCCGAATCCATGGGGGAAAAATGCATTCGGGCGCCCCAGCCTATACGTCTCGCCGTTCGAACTCCCTACGCCATGCTGAAATCATGAGAAATGCAAATGACCAGAGCGTGCTGCATCGGAATGCCACCTTCCACTAAGGTATCTGATGAACCTGTCCGTTGCGGCCACTACACGAACCGTCATATCGTCTTCGACTGGGTATCTTCGGACTATGTTCCTATCCTACTGCCGTAGTGCTGACCGCTGGCACCGGCGAATGATGCTTTCCCAGTCGGGTTCTGTCATCGGTTAGCAGAGAGGCTTACGGAAGACGGATGGTCTGTTTGCACCTGTTTTCTGCGCTTCAGCTTCGATCGATCATCTCCGTCACCCGTTGAATATCCGCCCGCGTCGTCATCGACATAGCCCTCGCCGTACCCCTCAAAACTGCTGTCCTGATAACTTCGTTTCTTTCCAAGTCGGCGGGCACGATCCAGCTGAGGCGTCAAAGCCTTGCTCGGCTTCGGGGTGATTCCAAGCGCCGAGGCAGCTGGTGTGCTAGGTGCCGTTGGTCGCGCGGATTGGTCGTTACCGGCCTTCTTCGGTAGAGTACTAGGCGCTAAGTCGCCAAGAACGGAATTGTCCCAAGATGCTTTCGGTATTAAGCCTCGAGCCATCGTAGTTGCTCGGGTTAATTGTGCCTGGTTCACCTGTGCCAACCCTTTCTCTATCTCCCTTCCTCTTACTTCCAAAGAAAGCCACGCGTCCTCAGGAATAGTGGACAATGCCAGCAGAGTATCTGGCGTATCTGGTTCCTTCTTGACAGCGTCAAAGTGGCCGCTTAGACCCAATGTTCGAATATGCCCTTTGTACGTCTTACGTAGCGCATTCTTCTCGCCATTAGGCTTTGTGCGGGCGACTTCGGCAGCAGCACCGGTTAAATCGAACATACTAAACCAGTCGTCGGAAAGAGACGGGTAAGACGCAGGATAAGCTAGAAAAAAAAATAATGTCAACCAAAGAGTACCAATCCCATTCAAGCACCACTTTCAGGAATCACCACCGATCTAGGGGGGAGGGATGGTTGGAAGTGTGTCTTGTATGAGATTAAAAAGGGAGTCTTACGAGTACTGCGAAGAAGGTATTTTTCGCCAACATCTAGATGTAGGTTCTCAATACCAACTCGGCGATTCTCGAGATACACCTTTTTCTGCTCGTGATCTCCAGCGTCGTCAAATGGATATTTTCGCTTCGCGGAATAAATATCGTTTATCGCGGTATCGTGAGACATGTCGATCGCTTGGGCTGATCCATTAACGCTGTGTGCCGGCTGCGATACGACGTGAAGTTAGCAACTGAGTTCCCGTAGCAAATTTAAATATTTGAAATAACCAATGAACATAGCTCATGGTCCGAAATTCTTGACCTACGGTTGGCAAAGCAGTAGTGATTGAGGTCATAGAGCTATTCATGCTCGATACCTGGTCACCTGTGCTCGGAGATAATTGAGAAGGACTCTGGGGTGTTTGAGGGTTGAATAACATGGTCGCCATCGAGAAAAGATGGTGAACAGGTTACGAATAATGGGAGTTTGAGAGCGCGAAGTGATTCGGAGGCGGAGAAGTTGGTAGAGGATCCTAGCGAGTGCGGGTAAAAATTGACGTCGGAGCGTTGACTAGAGGCAGCGGAAATGGAACGGAGGATCGCGATGGAGAGGACGGATGCGTTATAGAAGGTAACCCGATTGATTAACGACGATGCGCTTGATGGGCGATTGTCGATAGAAAGACGTTGGATAGGTAAGGTGATGGAGATTATCGATCTCACTGTGGCGAGTCGCGCCAAACCGCCGACCGGCTGTTGTGGTCGAATAATCCCGAGTCCACGATCATTCACCGACTTAAATCCTCCGCGAATTCGTATTGACAGATAAAAGGTGCTTGATATCGGAGAGATGGTCGACGGAATCGTTTGAGGGAAACTTCGCGATGCGTCGTGGTTGTCGCCGTCGATTGTGAGGGGAAACGTGGTCGACAGGTTCGTTGTTGAATGAAAGAAACGCAAAGGTGAAGTTGTAGGTGACGGGTGACGGACAGAACGGGCGGACGGGGGGAGGAACATTCAAGTGTGCAGGTGGTGCTTGCCTTGCGACTGGGCAACTCGCCTGGTTCCGCTAAGGCTCCGCTTTTCATACAACCACGCCATTGCGCTGAACTTGTTAAACACCCCACTACTTACTTATGTACCTAGTGCTCCCGACCGATAGCATTGGGTTCTGTGCTACACACCACCAAATCTTTGAATCTACCTCGCAGTATCTATTCATCAACACGTTACACGATAAAATCGCCCATTGCCTTACTTACATAAGTACTTAGTTAGGCGCATACCGCAGTCACCATGATTACCTACCTACTTACACGGTCGAACATCCGTAGAACTCTCGTGACACATTTGGTCCTAGTATAATACATGGCACACATGGCTACGTATGACTACCTATTGACTCTGGTTGGCTTGACGATCTACGATCTATGACTGCCTGTGTAATGAGGTTGTCCTGTTGTCTATGGAATGTCTCACGATCCAATACCTAGATTCGCGGTTCCCCCTGGCGGCCTCACGCTCGGGCTTTAAGCCAATGGTTGTTGTGTGCGCTCTTATATCCCATGGATCTTCTCAAACAGTATAAACTAGATGTGTTGGGTGACAGCAAGTAAGCAATATTCTTAGCCTCTTCGTTAGAGCATATATTAAATGGACCGTTTGATACTGTACCGAATTTTAATAGGATTCATCAAACCCGAGAAACCCCAAAACCCTCCAGAATGTGAGATTTCATAGGCTTGAAATAGGTGCCACGGTTCCTGGATGCAGCCTCACGGCGAAGTCTTTCTGTAAACATGGATGTATACATATCCACGGATGAGACGCACCGATGAATGAAGGCTACAAAATTTCAGCGCCCTAATGCCTTCACGTATGTATGTGCATGACAAGTTGGCTTAAGGTATGTAAGTCTGAATATTTCGACCTAAGCTAAAAGTATCACACGTAGACATCCATGTATATAGGCTTAGGTAGCGGTTCCTCTGTTCTGGATGTACTACGTGAAGTAGGTAGGTAGTTGATTTTTTTTTTCGGCCGCATTCGCCTCCAATACAACAACACCATCGGATCTACATAGTATGTTAAACATTTAGTAGTCCCGCATTATTGGTCATGGGATTTATATCCACAAAGGTCCGAGGGATGCTTAATCCATACAGCAAAGGAAATTGCTAACAAAGCTACGATATTGAATATAACCATATTGATATATTTAGTAATATCTAAGCTAATGCCTTAAATCTTTGTATTAGATATGGTATCCCTCCTAACTCCTATCAAAGAAATTTCCTAAGAGCCATCATCTTGGAATGAGTACCTACCTAGGTAGGTAAGACGGGATTTGGATTGCGGCTATCGGTTTTTGGTAACCCACTTGGAGATGCTCAAGGCCATTGTATGTATTGCCCATATAAGTCGCATAGTAACATGCATACGTGCGGGCTTAGGTATGAAGACTAGATTGCGCAGGTAGATATGCCTTTCATCCTTGCCGAGGCATGTGTGTGTGTGCGTGTATGTGTTAATAAGACAAGTGCTGTGACTGAGGAAGAACAATACCTAACATTCTAACTCACAAAAAGAAATCAATGGCAGGCAGTCTTCAATGTACCGAGCACGGAGTAGTAGTTCCTACCCTTTCCTCCCCCACTCGATTGGGTTCAACTTCGAGTCCAAGGGCCGCCTGCCAGGGCCACAAGGACCACCACCAAGGACCACCCAGCATGGATGTATCCAAGTCTATGTATCCCCGATGTTTTACTACCTCATTGGGTGTGGATCCATTTTAAGGGACGAGTCAGGCGCCAAGAAATCAAGGAATCGCAATAACGATGCAATACTTTTTAAGAGAATCCACTGACACCAATCCATCTCACCCGGAAACCCGCTGGCTCATGCCGTTTACCTACATACTTGTACTTTTTTATCTACCATTTCTACATAACACTTCTACCTAACCATATCGGGCTGCACAATTAACTCTTCACCTTCAAGAGAACATCACGACCTTCCTTCTTCTGCTGGTAGGAATCATTTACACAGGACAGCGGCGTGTTTTGTGTTTAGAAGTCTTTCTTTTACTTTCGTTTCTTCCGGTCTGGAGTCTTCAGGAGTCATTGGCCCGGCGGCGATTTTGATTCCCAACTCCTAACACCTTGACGGCGATTTCGAGGACACGCCACGCCACGCGAGTCGACGCTTTTGTCGCACCGAGTACTCGATACCTTCCCACACCACAACACAGATCGTAATCCACTAATCCACACTTCACGATGTCGGCATCGAGGTTTGGCGGTGGTGGTGCCAAGCATCGGCTGATGTCGGAGATGCAAGAGCTCTCCAAGGAGAAATGGGTGAACATCGATGTAAGTACCGCCGAATTTAGCCTCATCTTCCGATCATAAAAATTGACTCAGAATACTCGCAGCTGGTGAACGACAATATTCTTCGCTGGCGTCTGGGTCTTATCGTCGTCAACCCCGACAGCGCATTCAACGGCGGTTACTTTAGGGTGAGTGAGAACTGAAACACCAACCCTGGATTGAGATCAGCGCTTACGAGATCGTTGATAATAGGCCGAAATGACTTTCACCGACGAGTACCCCTACCAACCACCGACATTCAGGTTTCTAGTTCCTATCTATCACCCTAACGTCTATCCCGACGGTAAACTCTGCATCTCCATCCTGCATACGCCGGGTGAGGATCTCACTTCGGGGGAGCAAGCTAGCGAGCGTTGGTCCCCATTGCAGGGCGTCGAGTCGGTACTCCGGTCCGTACTTCTGCTCCTCGATGACCCGGAGATCAATTCCCCCGCGAACGTAGATGCTAGTGTCATGTATCGAGATGACCGCATTAAGTATAACAAGAAAGCTCAAGATATTGTCGAGAGGTCTAAGAACGATATCCCCGATGGCTTCGTCATGCCAACCAACCTTGACCCTCCGCCGCCGCCGAAATCAGCAGACGACGATCCCGCCTTTTGGGCCGAGAGTGACGATGAGGAGCTTGACTTTGGTGGTAGTGATACCGGTGAGGACGCAGAATTAGCCGAATTCGACGAAGACGGAGAGGAGGAGGGCATTAGCGACGACGACGACAATTAATAAGACATTATCTTACGTATATTTTTCAACCTCGCCACTCGACTAAGGAGGCGCGTCGGTAAACCATTTTCTAACTCCGTATACATCTGCATTGGCGGGGGTATGGCGTTTAGTGGATCTCATATATCGTTGGCCTGTTTTGGTTTTTCTTGGCCCGTCTTGTCACCGCATTGGATTGCGTTCGGCCAGCTTTCGCATTTTTTTGAGATAGAGGTTCTCCAAAGGAACATAACCACTGGAGGCGCATTCTACTACCATCGAGTTGTGGCAGAGCGAGTGACCTGTGACATCGTAGATGAAAGAGGGAACATCGTTCGACTTTTAAGCCCAAACGTGGTATTATGTTGCCCTTTCGTTCAGTCTAAAGAATTACTCGTCAGCGTGTACATACTAATTTTGCTATAACAAGAATGACTTCTTTTGGCGCTGTTGGATATAAGACTGAGACGTACCTTTGTGTGAATAAAGGTGCATAGTCCTGAGTGCTGTCCTGAGAGGTTGCGATGTCCATGTTGTATAGGAGGATCAAATCGTATATGGTATGCAACCTGATGTCTAGCTGCTGGGATGGTTATCCTACACACCTAGGTACATAGGTTAGAATCTAAGATACTAGGTACTTACTACGTTCTTCGTGATCCTCTTTCGGTAAATTACATAGTATTCTTATGAGTTGCTCATTCTTTCAAAACATTCAGAAGACGAGACTTAACCTCTCTACCTACCTAAGTAGTAGTATGAGAGTAATGAAGTACTATGCGCTTAGGTAGGATAATTAACTAATCAATCCCGCCTTTTCGTATAGGAGATCCCGTGATATCCCCCACCTTATACCCAACTTCTTACGCTATACTACCTAGATGGTGGGGTTATAAACGCCAGGCCTATGCAAGTATACGTACCTCCGCAAATCATGAACATTAACCCCTGTTAAAATATGGGCCTCGAGATTTACAAGCAGGCGGGTACCTATGTAGATACATGTACTAGTATTGTCATCCTGCCTAAGTACACGCCACAGGTGCAACTTCATAGGTCAGGTCGCCAGCTTAAGCTAAGTGTATCACAAAAATGTCCGGGTATCACAAAAAAATGGCAGTTTCTACACATACAAATCATAAGCAAGGATAATGTCTTCCAGCATTTGAAGATAGCTGTTGCGCTTCTAGATAAACATACCTAAACTTCTGCTACCTAGGTATCACTTTATACATATCCGGGTAGACATCATACCTATTTTCACGCCATCCATACAACCTACAACCTTGTCTGTATTAATCCTTGTCGGCAATCCTTGTCATTGCTTGTCCCTCATCATCATTAGTGTAATGCCTAAACATTATTAACGCCTTTCGACTTTCACGATTCAACTTCTATGTTTTAGCTCATATTGACATATTGACATATTGACATACTGACATATCATTACAACCCAGAGATTCTGGGAATCGTTCACCATGGCAGCAACGAGCGATCCGCCGGAGGACTCTGTCTCTACATTCTGCGACTTCACCGGCCTACTTCGAGGAGAAGCTATCACACGTTTGAAAGTATGTGATGACAGCTTCCTATATCCGATTCTTTGAGGCTTTCCACCTTTAATGCTAACGGATTCGCCTTCTAATTTTTCCAGGCGAACAACAATGATCTTCAACGAGCAATGGAAGAGTATTTTGAGGATCCCAACAGCCAGAAGGTATTTATTAAGGCCTACAAACATATGCGGCCCGTTATTCTTTATGCTAAGTCAACTCTAGTACAAATGGGATGAATCGCAGTTCAGCATGGATCGCCACGGCGAGGCCAATGATACAGGAATATGTGCGACACATTATCATCCCCTATCAATTCAACTTCCCTTTTACTAACTCTGTGTGCGCAGCTTTCAACATTCAAGGCCCAGACGAACTTGCGCCTACCAGCTACCAGAACACTGCCGCTCCGACTAGACCCCCTTCGAGGGCGAACAACAACTCACCCTTCGGTAAGACGCCAGACTAGACTGCGAATCAGGCCGCAGGTATTGCTCCTGTGTTTGCTTTGCATCGAAGCTGACGGATATTCCTTAGGTGCTCCAACCAACGCTGCCGAAGAAGATGCCAATTTAGAACGCGCACTGGCCGAGTCTGCTGCTGAATCAGGAATACCCCGCCAGGAAGCTGGCATTGTCGATAACGAGACAAATCTTAAGTATTTTGGTCCCGCAAACCGACCTCAATATGACACCGAGCAGTGGGCCATGGTCCCTACGAAGGCCAGTACGGACGCCGAAAAGGCCGACCCTACCCCATCCCAGAGAAAACGGGAACCCGATGCGCCCGCCTTTCTTCGCCAGACGAAGGATCATAGAGTTGGTTTTCTACTGTCAATTTACCATAAAATCCCACTTGTCCGAAATATTCTCCTTCGGTACGGCACATCAGCTAAGAACTATGGACACAACTCGGAATGGTGGCGAGGTCAACCGATCCTCAAGCATGAGCAACTCGCAGCAATGGCGAGGGGGGAGTCAGATTGGGGCAATGAAGCACGTCCGGAGTTTGCTGAAGAAATCCATCGTCTAATGGCCTTCCTCGACAGAACAGAACGTGCATATGGATCTGTTGACCCCCTTATCGATACCGAAGAAATCGAACCGAATCCTGGGGCATGGGCGTCTGACGTTGAGGAGAAGCTCTTCGACGTCCTCAAACAGGAGGCTAAGATGAATCCCAACTTTGGCATAGATGACATGACTACGGTAGGCACAATATTGGCTTGTGGGCCACGTCCGAGTGACGAGCCTCAATCGGAGGGTGACGGCGACACTTCTAGTGATGAGGGTCGGGAGTTTGCACTCCTAGAATCACTGCTAGATCAGGACCAGTATTCATGGGTGGACACGCTCTACGACGCCTTTGACCACATTTTATGGTCACAAGCGTTAAACATTGACTATCCTTTTCCAGAAGCGGCTTGCTACGCTGTTTTATCAAAGGCTGCTGAGGTGGTAACGGCCCGGCTCAGTGGCGCCGGGCTATCTAAGCCCTGCGAGATCCCTGCCGTTCTCTACATGGATCGATACTTGGAAGATCGAAAGGATCTTGCTCTGAAGTTCCAGGTTCACATGCGTTACGCCAAGAACAAGCTACGTACGTATGATCTGTTGGAAGCGAATCTATCGAGATGCCATGGGCAACGATGCCACAGGGTGAATGGCCTTGAAGATGGACCGCACGATCTCATCGCTTGTTTAAACGGAATCATCCAGTTCACTGAGAAATTAATACAGCGCCAGACCAGAACTGCCCAATGGCGTCATTACCACGACCGTATAGGAAAGAATCTTGAACTTAGCCTCGAGGACATCTCTAACATCTCCACGTGGAGCGGACCTTACAAATTCTTACCTGACGAAGAAGAGAGAATGAAGGAGTGGAAAGGCATAATAGATGGAGCAAACAAAAAGATCGAGGAGTTAACGGAAGACTTGGCAAGTAAGTTAATTCTGAGCATTTTGGGGCTTGGAATTGGCCTTACTGATTCGATTATAGAAATCGCGAAGGCGAAGAAGTTTTATTCCGACTCCCTCAAGATAATTTCCAAACGTCTGACATGTCAGGAGGACGAAGTCGATGATGCGAACTTCGTTTTCCGATCGACTACCGCCTACAATCCAGAATATTGGAATCCTACCCACCGATATTCACTACGCGGCGTTGCACTTACGCCTGAATTGGCATATGTTTGTGTAAGGCAAGATGCCGATTCGGCTGATGCCATCGAGGAGCCCAATCCCAAGGACCAATGGTGGAAGATAGGATGCTCAGCCGGCGGAACTCCTATCAAGGCCGAGGTAGGTTGATTCTAAGCCCCCCCCTTCCCTTTGAGTTTTACTAACATATCGCAGAAAGCAACACAGGAAGATGTTCTCCATGCGGCTGGAACGGAGTCTAAACACCCTCTTCTTATCTATGCCACCGAAGCTGCCATGACGGCGACGCCCATTCCGTTATCGGACGCTCTACGGGTATGTTGCATATTCATCTCAGAAAATAGTAGACTAATCCCTATATAGATGTTCGTCCGGGCGGACAATCGTTCGTTTCAGCAAGAACTCGTCCAGGAACAAAATCGAACACAGCCTGCAGAAGGTCACCCTACTTCAGGAGTCAGAGCTGAAGATCTTCCGCCAGTCGCTGTCGCATCACCAGGGAAACGGAAACACAGCGTCGGTTCATCGGTTGCTACACAGGGAAGTTCCCGGGCTGACCTTACCGATGTTGATCCGTTCCACTGGGAAATGCAATCGGAGGCCGGAAACGGCGATGCGGAGGAGACGCAAAGATCGACGACTACACCCAAATCGCCCGAGATGCAAGAACGTATTGGCGGCCCAGCACCATTCCTAACTCGGCCGGACTACGCGGTACAGAGTGGCTCTGCTGAGATGATGGATATTGACATGGATGTGGAACATCATGAGGGATGATCGAATCACGTATGGTTTGTGGTTTGACATCTTCTCCTGTTAAATTTATGGGAAATGAAATTGATGTCTGAATGAGCATTTCGCGAAGACATCGATTGTGTCTAGATTATCGAGATGTTCCGATAAAGGGGGGCACGGGATGGATTCGGTTATATGCATGGAAGGAAACCAAATAATTGAGCAACTGATTTCCTAGTTGTGATGTTTACCCCAGGATAAGTTACCTGTGGGCCGTGTATACTAAATACTGTACCATGATGACACCCACGATACCCCCAAATTAGGTAGTTAATGAATGAACATGAGGCATGAATCAGATTCGGAGTGGCCTTTTTAAGCTTAAGGGGCCAGCGGCTCCGGTAACCTAGATATATGTACATATTGATGCAAAGTAATATTGTATGTATGTTATTTTATTTAGCTTCGTATGTAATATGTCGTTATATGTAGTTACCCAGCACAAACAGCCTCATTCATGTATCCAAGTACTATAATTTCTAGAACCTTCTAAGACGCAAGAACTTTTGTAGCATCATGTTGAGACGTATCTGGCAATCCGGATAACCAGCTGTCAAGACTGATCTGAGACAATTGTGCATGTGATTTTCGTTCTAAGTTCACCCTTGGCTGTCTGATCATTCGCAGTCATGAAGCAATCACTACATCCTGTGTAGGCCGTATTCTACTACCTAGTCATCTGGACAGCTCTTCATGTTCGTTACATAGGTGCGGCTCGTGCGGGATACTACCAGACCTCCTACTTACGGAAGTACGTACTATTTCTACCCATAAAACACCCCCGCGAACCCCGCGTTAAGTCCAGACGAAGAGAACTCTTCGCCCTTCTCCCTTCTCCCTTCGCCAATATACATTCACTAGTCGCAGCTACGGTAGTACTGAGATAGATATCTAAGTCTATCGACCAATTCCACGCAGCCTTGAATAAGCAAAGGTCATTGAGTTGAGGTTCGACAATTAGATTGTTCTCATTGGTTCTAGGATTATCGAACAGCAGGAGCTGCAGGGGACACAGCTGTACGGGGATGAGATGATTCGATAGCCCGGGGTCACCTGATCGTCTGCAATTGGAGACCAAGCTTTACAGGTACTCAGTACTTAGTCATTTGCCTTTCGACCACTAATGTTTGGGGGTATGTCGATACATGTAATAGCTTATCGTCCCCACCTGTCAATAACCAAAAACGTCACTGATCCAGCACCACCTTGACCACCTCTGACCCTCTTCGTCGCCAATTCCCGAATCTTCTACCAACCCGCCCACCAACAAAGAAAAGCGGCAGTGCAGTACATGAAGCTTTAACGCATTGCGTTTCGCTCAATCCCCAATCCCTACAATTTTATTGACACCAAGATTTCGAACACACTTTGTTCTTCTCTTTCTTTTTCTTTTTTCTTGTCACAACTTGGGAAGCTTCATTCGCTTCGCTACCATACAACGACAAATTCCGAATTCCTTCTTACACCTCACACTCATACGATACTCGATCACACGACCCCATTGATTCATAAAACACTTCTACTCCTTCCCGACAACACACACTCTTTACTTCTTCATCAATCAAGATGGTAAAGGAGACAAAGCTATACGACCAGCTCAGCGTCAAGCCGGATGCCAATCAAGATGAGATCAAGAAAGCATATCGGTAAGTCTCAACTCCTACCCCACTCTGTTTTACTTTTGTTGTCTGCTGCCTTTTGCCTATTTCTCCAGTCTCGCGATACACAATATACTAACAATCCCACAGAAAAGCAGCATTAAAATGGCATCCCGACAAGAACAAAGACAACCCCGCCGCCGCCGAGAAATTCAAGGAATGCTCGCAAGCTTATGAGATACTTTCCGATCCCGAGAAGCGTAAGACCTATGATCAATACGGTCTTGAATTCCTGCTTCGCGGCGGTGCCGCCCCCCCTCCTGGAGAGAATCCCTTCGCGGGAGCCCAGGGTGGAATGCCTGGTGGCTTCCAGGGCTTCGACTTCGGTGGTATGCCGACAGGTGGTGGTGGTGGTGGCCGGACATTCCACTTCACCACAAGCGGTGGCGGGCCAAATCCTTCTTTCAGCTTTAGCAACCCTGAGAGTATATTTGCCGAGTTTATGCGCGGTACTGGAGGTTTAGGAGTGGACGACGATGAAGCCGGCCCTTTTTTCGGTAGAGGCGGCGGCATTCCTCGAGCCTCAGGCGGAAGGACCCGCATGCGCAGCAATTTCGCTAGCGGAGGAGACCCTTTCGCGAGCAGCGGTGCAAGAGAAGCGACGCCTGATGTTACTACTGTCGAGCGTGCTCTGCCTCTCTCCCTGGAAGAGCTGTACACCGGCGTCACGAAGAAGATGAAGATCAAGCGGAAGACCTTCGACGATACTGGCAAGCGGACTACCACCGACCAGGTCCTCGAAGTCCCTATCAAGCCTGGCTTGAAGAAGGGTAGCAAGATCAAATTCAAGGGCGTTGGCGACCAAGAAGAAGGTGGCAAGCAAGATCTGCACTTCATCGTCGAGGAGGTAAGATTTCAACACCATCCTATCTATGAAAGCATTTGACGGGACAGCGACTAACATGGTCTATAGAAACCGCATCCTCTCTACGTTCGTGATGGGGATGATCTGATCCACACGATAGATCTGGACTTAAAGGAGGCCCTAACCGGTTGGAAACGAACCGTGACGACAATAGACGGCAAACAACTCAACGTTGAAAAGAGCGGGCCTACAGGTCCAGGCACGTCAGACTCCTACCCTGGCCTCGGAATGCCGGTCTCGAAGAAACCGGGCGAACGAGGGAACTTCATCATCAAGTACAACGTCAAGTTCCCTACGAGCCTGTCGGCAAAGCAGAAGCAGCAACTGAAGGAAATCCTGTAGATGGCTAGACAGGCATTGCAGAGGTTAATAGCCTATGAGGCAGGGTACCGGTGCATTTTGGCGTTATAGGGTACGGCAAGAGGGAAAAACATTGACGAAATTCACGACTACGAGATACGAGTTGTTTTTGCGCAGCCAAGAGCATTCAGTTCGGCAGAATGGACCCATCATTGGAGGCGCAAGTCGAGTCCCTCAACTCTTTTTGCAACGCTTACTGATAGATTACAAGTACATAATTATGTCCCCTGTCTTATTTCTTAGTTAGGCACTATTACGGTACAAGGGAATCATTAACGATACGTGGTCATGGGGTCAATAGATATTTAATTGACTGCATCTTATACCGGCTTCGTTGACTGTGAGTAGGTCGCCGACATAATGTGCTAGTATGCTACCAAGTAAGTCTATTTGGGCCCTCGGGGGTTATGGCGTCAGATTGAGACCGTCAATGTTTTGTCGTAAACGACGTTATAGGGACTCATTTGATAAGTTAGTTAACCGAATTAAACTTAGTTTCATAGTCTACTTGTATAAATTTCAATTTGACAGAGTTTCTTTGAGAGATCGTAAGTTATGATGATGGACCCAGAGAAAGGGGGCGTAGGAGGCTCTTTATGCTATAATTACTGGTCTCTACTATTGATTACAACTCAAACGTATTTTTATGAATCACACTCATGAGACTTTAATCCAATCATCACGATAGTCATTATACAATGTGTATGATGATGCTTTGCCGAGTTTCTGGATATCTAGTATAATCCATCTCGACTACTAAGCTATGTAATTTCAATGATATGGGGGTATTTAAATACTAATGATGGAATCTTGGGACTTCGACATGGCTGTATTTGCCAAGGGTGTGGCCCGTCGTTGAAGACCGTCACAGAGTGAGTGGGAGTAGCAGGTAGCCCAACTTTGGCTCCCTTGTATGTATGTAGTAATAGACCTTGATTGATGCCTACCCCTTTCCTAGACCCCTTTGTAGCCTTCGGTCCCTTATATATTCGTCCTAAAAACTGCAAAGGCTGCAGCTAACTAGCTGCTATCTAGCCACTTGCTCTCAGCCCCTGACAATATTCGTGTCAGCAGTAGTATCCGTTAACATTTCTATCTCGGGCGGCCAACGTACGACTGCTTAGCGCCGCAGTAAGTTGTTTCTGATCTGTAGCTCAATTCTCATATGCTTAATCATAACATTGATGGAAAGACCTCAATGCGGCAAATGTGCCCACCAAGGAATTAGTGGCTAGTAAAAGCTGGAGACGTCATAATCTAGTATTCCAGCAGTCTGATAATAACCTAGTGATCCAAGGACGAGATTTGAATATATGATTTCACTACAGTTATTTTGAATGATACGACCCCTGAAATGAAACTAGCTACACAAAAACAAAAGAAAGCTAAATAGTATACAAACTGGCACCACTCCCCTCTACTTTGCTGATATCCTGCCTCTAATTAAGCCTGTGATCATAGGTTTCCTTATTTGTTTCTGTTTATTTTCCTCGTTTGAGGCATTTCGATCCAGGTCTCGTTCTTATGAGAAAGTTCTTAGACAAAGTCCAACACAACATAGCACTGATGCTAACATGAGAGATTAATTTGTGCTCGTAACTAGGCCTTGGCCGTCAAATTGGTTGTCGAGATTCACGTTGACATGATTTCCTATCATATATTCTAGATTGCTATCGGCTTCTAGCACCACTTGTTGCTCCAGTGGAGGGTCTTGCAATTCAGGGGTTATGTCCCATTGGTGTTGAGTTAAATCTCGTGGAACAAGACCATAAGATGCCACAGGTTTTGGGAGCTCCTCTTCCTTGATCTTGGGAGGCACATTTTCAGGGGAGACATCTGGATTAGTGCCCCAGCATGATGATTCTGCCTCGAATAGATCAAAGATCTTATCCACGACACGTTGGATATTCTGAATTTCGGATCCAGGCAAGGACACTTGAAGGGCTTTGGAAAGGATTTCCGGTTGACTCTTATTCCAAAAATTTCGAAGTAGAGGTACTAATTTCTCCCATCCGTTACCAATATGTGGCGATTGAGGACGACGGGTTTTAGGAAATATAGCATCCCACATGGAATACCACTGATCCATGTCGCTTTTTCCGCGATTAGCAATCTGGTTTAACTCTTTCCGCTGTTCCTCAGAGATGCCATCGAAATCTGGTCTATCTTGTGACTCGCAATTCTTTTTCTGTATATGGCCGTCTCTCTCGCTCGCAGTTTGGAACAGCTTGAAACATACAGGGCAGTAGATGTCTGGTTTCATGTGCTTCCTCAATGTATGTTGTTTGACGTCCTTTATGCGGTTCAGTTTGTACTTGGAGCATTCATGGTATTTCAATGGATCCTTCTTATACCATGGACAGGCCCAACACTTTTTCATGCCCGTCGCCTGATCGCTATTGGGTTGGACATTCGCTGTTGCTTGTTGAGATTGAGATTGAGCAGATGGCGACACTTCTGTTTCCAATCCAGTAGAAATCGAATAGTCTTCACTAGGACTAACCATAGCATCGTCTTGGCTTTGACTAGTGGCCCAATTATATGTATTGTTTGGGTCATCATGATTATCTGGTTGAAATTCATTCGTGAATTCTTGATCGTGCTGCCTGTTCCAACCCTGAGTTTGGACTTCGAGAGGGAAGAGTGGATCTTGATGCTCGATGTTGGTACCGGGGAGCAATCCATCTATATTCATAGTCGTATTTGCCATGTGTTGTTCCTGTAATAAGGAGCTGTCTGACCTAGGACTAGAATCGGGCGTCAAATATGACATATGATCCATAACCCCTAGACTGCGATAAAAGAGGTAGAATCGGTACTCGCAGAAAATGCAACGTACAGTCAAGCCGTAGCCGAAATTTGTTTCCGAGCTGGACTCTCCAGGGGAACAACCGAATGTAGGTTCGCGGGCGTGCTGGTAGTCTAGATCACCCGAGTCGACGATCAAAGCAGACCTAGTCAATGCAGTATATAGGTCCCAACTTGAGTGGTTGCCATTCAAAGATAGTCGGTCTAACTCAAGTAGGTGCTCCCTGCTAATTATATCGGAGACCTGCTTTCCACATTGATCGCATTGGTATACTGAATCCAAAATTAGTGCCCAAGCAACTGAGGGCGAATGTGTTTGTAGCCTACCTTGATCGAAAGGTATCCCCAATTTGCCAAATTCATTGGGACTGATATAATTGCAATTCATGATGCTGAGATCTTGATCGCTCTCGGCCTCAGATCCGCAGCACATTCCATTGTAGCTTCCCAATAGCTGCTTTGGGATTTCACTGCTCGAACCTGTACCTTCAGTGTAATTATAAATTGGTACAGATTTAGGAGATTTCCCGACAAATGCGTTTGAAGAATCTGCTTCAACCTCATCATCTAGGCCGGCTTCTTTATAACCCATGATGAGCTTTCTAGGAACAGGATGGTTTCTTGGTGTCCTCCTACTACCAAGTCTCGATTGGTGGAGTCTCTGCATCTTGCCTCCCTTTTGCACACCAGGAAATGATCGTGCTTCCCTAGGCATGATTCTTTGAATGCTTCAATGTTGGGACCAAAGTAACTTCTGAGAAGACCCTAGATAACGTCAAAATACTATGACTAAGAGGTTGACCGACTCTGCGGACTTCGCAACGTCAAGTTTCGGTGAGAATCTGGATCATGAGTTGATCAGAAGTTTATGGGTAGAGTTTCTTTCTGAGGGGGCTGTGGACGGCATGATTCTCCTAAGCCCTATTACGTTTCACATTCCAAGATGGCTGCTAGCGATCCCATTGGATATAATTCTCAGCGCACGCAAATGTGTAGGCAGATACCAAGAATCTGCTTCAGCCCCCAATTATAACACATACCGAAATGCGACAGTATTACCGCAGCATTCTAATAAAGCGCCACGTCACTAGCCCATCAAAAGTGCAGGGCGACTCGTGAAAGTCAGGCATACGAGTTGTTCCTGATATACCTAGGTACACTAAAGATGTGTTTAAAAGGGGGAAGTCTTCATATGACGAAGGATAATATCCATCTAATCAGCTCGTATATATACCTACATGAAGGTGTTAAGTTTCTGGTCTAATGCTTGTATTATGTTGGTGGGGGCATGACTTGGGTAAAGTCTTCATATTAAATTGTAAAAAATGTAGCTGTACTTATAAGTGGTAGATCCTATGTTTGCCGAGCTCGAGAGCCCAATATTCACCATCAGCATTATGGGTACCGCCTCAGGGTGCCTTGCTGCAGCTGGCGTACAGCCTACGTGGGTACCTAAGCATCTAGGCAGACCTAGATGCGTCATCGTGTCATGATAAGCCTTCAATACACAATTGTGTAAGTGGCAATGCATGAAATAGGTACTGTGAGCAACATTTCTTTCCCTATTGGCATACTTTTAATTTATACTCGTGGGACCTGAGTCTATTAGCGGTCGTATTTAGAAGATGATTTCATAACTGCCGCGTTGTAGTTCTGATTTCGCGGTCATCCTCTTTCCAGGTCTCAGGAAATGCTGTAGGCTATGCCTTTTACGTTCCCTTTCGGCTTTATCATCATATTGTATAGCTTGGAGTTTGAGTAATCTCACCATAGCAGAGGATTTGTCAGGAAGGCTAGGAAATTCTTGTAGCGCGTTCTCAATATATGCAAAGTCAATAAGCGGGCACTTTGATCGTTTCCTAAATAGCTTCTCCGGCTGACGTTGTAAGATCTCCTGCACGTACAACTGCAAACCACAAGCCACTGCAGCAGTAAGGAAATCGTCTACCTCCGGATCTGTCCCGTACCAGACCTTTTGCACCCATGACGAGGAGTGCAGTAGGTTGCCAAGCCGGTTGAGTTCGTCAAGCTCGTTGACTGGGCTGTTCTCGTCGTGTCTCTCACACTCTACCGCGTAGTACATCGTATGGAGTACAACGTTCTTGAAATCGTAGGTAGATTTTAATGAGGTGTTTCGGTCTAAGGTGACATGGACATGATAGGTCATCAGCGCGAGAGATGCACGGCATAGCACCAAGGGTGGGTTGAAATCAACCCCCGCCCTCCTCTCTAGCGATCGCCAAATATCCTCCGTGCATAAGAAGTCCCTCACGGTACGATGGAGAAATTCTACGCGGTCGTAATCGGTTCCTCTGGAGATGCCCAGCAGGTCGCGACACCAACTATTGAGGTGGAATTGTGCCGTGTTACGAAGTTTCTCGCGCTGTGGATTATCTATTGCTTGCACTTCTGCCATGCGACAAAATTCACTCCGGGATATACCGTATTGTATACCGTATAGAACATCGATAGGCGGCGAGCTCCAAGCAGCAGCCGCGACCAGCAGTGCTCTAGCAGATTTCTCCTGATATGTTCTATCCAGCTGATTGAGCATGTGCTGGAAGTACTGCTCGAGGTCATCCGGGAGACTTCTCAATCGTTTTTGTAGCGTTGAAAAGTCGTCCTCCTCATTGAGGCCCCGTAGTAATTCTCGAACAACCAAGAAGACCCAGAGAAACACGCCGTTGGCCTTCTCACTAATCTCAGCAGCCAGTTCGTCTGCGCGGTCTTCCCGCGCCTTAAGTCGTAGGAACCGGCGATCCTCTTCTAGCGTCCCGTGAATATATTTTGCCATATCGCCCCTAGTTTTTTCTTCTAACACCAATGTCGGGACGTTTGCGAGTGCGAAATTTGCCACGAACACATTCCACGGCCGACTCGAGACGCAGAATTTCGCCGATTCTGATCCCTGCAACCGCTCTATCAGACTGATTAGTTCGAAGTGGTCATCTCCCTCATATTCGTCAAGGCCGTCGATGAAGAAGCAAAAACGATACGAATCAGCTATCTCGGTAAAAGCAAGCTCTATGGTAGAAACGAGCTCATCAGATCTCCATGCTGGAGGTGGTAGTTGTAGATCGCGGGCTTCATTCCATCTTGTCGGGCAAATTTTCGCGGCGACGTCCGGACACGTGCTTAGGATCTGGAATAACAAGCTTTGGAGGAGACCTTTCCACGATTTCTGCATCCGATTTCCATGGTTCCAAAAGAAGAAGCTGGCTGTTGACAGTTGCTTTCCACTTGCCCACTCGTTGAGCAACTGTCTACTCTGCGGGCTATGGACCAGGTACTTGAACAGGGTCGATTTGCCTGAGCCTGCCTTGCCATTCACCCAGAAAAGGCCATCTTGGCTACTAAGCCAGTTTGCTAACGGTGATTCATTTTCGTCGAATATCCAAGAGTACGTATCGCGATGTGTTTCTCGGATACTATCATGACGATAAGGCATTTCCGTAAATCTTAGACTCTCAAGGATTCTCATCAGTTTCGGAGTGAACTTTGAAGCTTCCAATACAAGCGAGGACAAGTCCTGTACGGTTATGGAGGAATCGATGATATCCTTCTCCGTAATCGGAAAGGTCAGCTGTGACGTGGGTCGTTCTATACTCTTTAACAAACTCCTGAGCATGAGGCCTTGTGTTTCAATTTGACTCGAAAGATCCTCGTGAAGTTTTAAAAATTGTTCGACATAGTCAACCCGCATTGCTTGACATGTTTCTTTTACACTGCGAATAGACCTGAGTAGTCCAGACTGATCATCGCTGTATCATTGTTAGTGACTGCGTAGAGGGGGTCATACGTCTAAGGAGCCGTGACAAACACGCGACGAACCTAATCATGACAATCAGATGAAGCATCAACTCGCTCCTTAGGCCGTCCAAACGTATCTGTAATGTCTTAATGTGATCCGCCTGGTAATAGCCGCGCAGGGCTTTTCGTAATGCCTGCCAAGACTGGAACCGAGCAGAGCGATCAATGCTCAGAGAGTCTATGGAACGTAAAAGCTGGCCCGCAAGGCTCTGGGCCTTTTGCGCGAGCTCGACGATGACATTGGGCGTCTGTGAGGAGTTTCTGCTAGCATGTTGCATTACACTGTTCTCGACGTGCTGGCTCAGCTGCTTAACCCTCTTAGTGACATCCTCGATGCGAATATTCTCCTGTGCGGCGCCGCCATCCGAGTTGTAGATTTCATGAGCAGTCCCTATTATTTTAGCCGAGAGTTCCACAAACTGAAGAATCGCGGCTGCAGCACCCAAAGCATTAAACGGATCCATGCTCGGCTGATATAGAAATAGGTAGGCGAAATAAGATTCTTGAATGTCCTTGACTTGGAGGGGCCCTAAAGCGGGGCGGTGTAAGTAAGACACCACGTTTTTATCACGATCCAATAATCATTTCAGAGGGTGCTTCATACCTAGCAGCTGGCAACACCCGTTCACCTACTTCCCTATAAGCACTAGAGCCATGCATCCTTCTATAAAGTACCTACTACCTGCGGAGGTAGGCATTGGAGGCTGGTGGTTATGTAATGGATGCTAGAATTGGGTGAAATTTTGCAAGGAGCCTGAGAAGATGCCTTGGCTACGTGGACAAGTAAACCTTTCCTATTGCAGGTTCACCGAAATATCATAAACACACAATAGTGTAGAGTAGATAAGTACCTTGGTAGTAATAATTAGAAGACGCCGCGCAGGGAACTACAACAATATTGATTTGAGGGAGGCAGTGTATACACGATTGTGTCCCTACGTGATACGAAAAAGAATAAAAAGAATCCATAAGACGAAATCATACTTTTACGTTGGCCTTGCTCCTTCTCAACCTTGAAATTGAGAGTTGAAATTTGTGTGTATCGTTTGCGGTGAGACCGTAGCCATTGCATTGTGCAAGCTTCCGCATCACAGACCTTCATGATAAAACAGCATGGATTCGACAAACCAAGGATATGTGGGAGTGTGTGCTAGACGACCTCCAGTAATTTACCTGCCCATGAGTTTGAACCGGATGTTTGTCTAACTTTGGTGATAGGTGACGAGGAATGAAAAGCAATTAGAAGAACTGAGAGCTTCTCAATTTGCTGGATTTCCTGAAAACCCCCGCCAATCTCGCATTAGTCAGCGCCTATCAGGGACAGGGGAAGATAACCCCTCCAGCCCCTCCACCGTTACCAAGTCCTTGGAAACGGTAACCGACACTAGGGACGGGCCGAGGAAGCTGGAAACTCAAACTAATTCTCAGTTGGAAGTGACTTGGGTTACTCCTGTCTTCGTTTTACACCTACGACTCTGGCAAAAAAGCAAAAATCCTTCAAGATTTGAAATAGTGTCCGTTCAAATCATTCAAAACGCGCCTAAAAACGATCATCCGGCGGACCAAGCTGAAGTTGATGGGACTGGGGACAATAGGACTCGCGCTTGTTCCAGCAGCAACTCTCAAAACTTAGGATCTTCATCTTCAGCCGCCAACAAGAGACAGGGGAACTTTAAACGACAGCGCAACAAGAAGAACCGTGGGGACCCTCCGGAGCGACGAGGCGGGAGGCGTTCGTCCGCTTCGAGACATATAGACGAGTCTCAGCAGTATTTCGCATGTCCATTTTATTATTCCGACAAAGTAGAGCACTGGCATTGTCATCGTTTCGCATTTAAACGTATCGGTGACGTTCGACAACATATCAAAAGGACTCATATTGTGCCGATTCATTGCCCAGTATGCGGAGAAAATTTTGACAATAACGATCTCAAGGATGTCCACGTCGATGCCCGTGTTTGTCAACAACATGAATTCCCCCATTCATGGGCCACAATTGAGCAACTAGATAGCATGGATCGCGCAGCCAATGAATTGAACCCTTCTAGCGACAGGGAGCGATGGTTCACCATATGGGATATCATGTTTCCAGACACGCAACAGCCTGCATCCCCATATATTTGTGACACTTACTGGGGATTTCAAGCTTCTGTCACTCAAGATGCCGTCAATGAGTATCGACGTCAAGAGAGATACCAGCAAGTCACAGGACAACAAACATACTTGGGAGACAATGTCCTTAACGACTTTCTCTCTTTCCTCAACGAAAACTCTCTTGGATTAACACCGACCGCACCACATCCTCCCCATCCTTCCAATCATCCAACTACACTTTCCTTGGGCCCACTAGAGCCATTCCCCCTGTTGACCATGCCTTCAATTCTTTCTCAGACTTCTCAAATAGACATACCCAACTTTTCCCAAAACCAACCATTGGATTTCACACCATCTTTTCTAACGAACTCATATCAAACACCATACATTACATTTAACGACGGCTTGGACGAGAACGACAATGAGTTCGAAAACATCATTAACTCTATGCTGCAGCCGGGCGGGCATGACAATTCGCAACTATAGTATCAGATTCGTGGGACTAAGTAAACATGGATGAAAATAGGGGGTGCATTAGCAGTTAAGTATCACCTACGAGTGTGACAGCACGGTAGCGCCGTGCTTATGGGTCATTTCTAGGGCCCTTGCGCAATCCCTAAGTAGGGGCCGCTTTTAACTGCTCTTTTGTATTAGGACGGTTCCTGGCATTTCACAAATACACAGCTCAACTCTGGTAGAACCGAGTCCATGTTATTTCGAATGAGATAGTCAATCGTGGAGGTTAGGAACGGGCGATGGTGTCTTAATCCACATACAAAACCTAACTTCACGCCTATAAAATTGTGACATTCGATGTATTAGGCGCGACTTTATTAATAGTCACATGTGCTAAAATTCCTAAAGCATCCTGCGATCGCGCGCTTCGCTCTTTCATTTACATAGGCACGTATCTTAATTGTTGAATGCCTTTTTGGTCATCTTTATAGTAGGAATTTAATAGATCAAGACATAATAGATCGCAATTATGCGTCTACCTACTTAGGTACCTACTCATACCTCCAGCAAGTTCAAAGGCTTTAGAATAGCTATCAGGTCTCATTAGTGGCTCAGGAGAGAAGTGTATTCAGAAAAGCATAAGACAGAAGTCATCTATCCTGTTGCACTTAACAAAGATGACAGGCGGAATGGGAAATAGCTAGGCTTAAAATAACTGACCGCTGATGGTGATTCCATCACGGTATTAATAGGCACTAATAGCATCCATCCATTGTGCCCAGAGGAATAGTAGGTGGGGTCGGATGTGACACTGATCGGTGATCGCCAAATAGGTACATAAGAGGGTAAAAGTAGTAGGGCTCAAAACTGATAAGCGCCAATTCCGTTGGCACAACTGTGCTAGATGGGGGCCACATCTGAGCTGGTAGTCCTAGGCCTCTAGGCTTTTATTCTTGGATAAACCCTTCAGGCCAGGAATACTTACTACCTTATATAGCGATCTCTCTAGAGCAATATGGCCACCTCATCTGAGACTCACATCCTCATCAAACATGAACACTCTACATTCCTCTAATGTCCTCACGAAGCACTCTCTGTTGTTCTAAGCCTACACCTCCGCCAGAAATGATCGATGGGGGTACACAACGCAACAATCAGAAAGAAGCGGCGCATTAGAAGGCGATACGCAATCGCCATCACAATGAAGCCGTTTCTAGAACACCAGCAATCCGGCGCTATTTCAAGGTTCTTCCCAGATTCATGCGAATCGGAAGGCGACGATATGTATCTGTTCGATACGCCGCTTCAGCAGCCTCCGACCTTGGACCCCGACCACGAATTCGTGAAAATTAGGGAATCTACTACAACCTTTGCCCTGAAGACGTTTCTAGAATTTCGATTAAGCGGGGATTCCCAGAATGAGCTGAACGAGGTTAGAAACAGGTTTAGGATGCGATGGCGATCCAAGGACGTGGCCAAGGATGATCCAGCGCTCATCGTCGGCGAATCTCCTATTCCCGTCAAACGTCATTTCCCATGCCCTTTCTACATTGACAACCCGTCGAAGCATCTTGAGTGCCTTACAAGAGCCAATCTAACAGAGATAAAGAACGTCAAGCAGCATCTCTGGAATGCTCACCGGCTACTACCATACTGTCCAACGTGTAATGAAATCTTTACCACAACAGGAAATTCGGATGCCCACATTCGAAGCCGATCCTGCAGCCCTCGGGGAGTACCACGACCTGAGGGCATCAGCCTACAGCAGATGCAGCAATTAGCGCGACGCGCAGAAACCTGGATGTCCGAAGATCTACAATGGTTGTCCCTCTGGGAAATCGTCTTCCCCGGTGCAGAGCTGCCGGATTTCACTCACCCCTCACGCACCGTAGAATTCATGGTCTGCCAATTCCAGGATTATTGGGCAAGCCAGGGAGAAAGGGTCATATCTGATTTTCTCGAAGAAAAGGGCATTCAAGATCACAAGCTACTATACGGGGAGCGTAACTTGGTGGCGTTACGTGCTATCGTTCTTGACCAAGTCGTTGATCGCTTAGTCGAAAGTTTCGAACACGATGACGATAGCACAATCACTACAAAGACTGAACAAGTTTTAGCTTCGTTGCGCCATTCATAATGAAATAGAACTATCATGTATGATTATTGATGATTGAGAATAGACTAGAATAAGGCGTCATGGTGTGTTTTGTCATAGATTAGGTAGGCGTTTCATCAACGCAATTCATTGTTCGGTAACCATACAGTTTTTTTTCAAGGCCATCCAAACCTTCAGCTTTTTAACAAGATAGAAACAAATATAACTCTCTTCCGGAGCAATTCTCAGAATATTTAAGATTGAATTATTTTGGTATAAGAAAAGAGTATCACTTTGATCTAACCCCTAAAAGTTGAATAGATATTTATTGTCAGAACTACCAGAAGTACGTAGGTAGGTATATGGGTCAATAACTACCTATATCTCAAGGGAAAGAAACTTTTAGGTGAACTAAAAGCCCTCGTTATCTATATTAGCACGCCAAGTGTATAGAGAATATTTTATAACTCGAAAGATATCCCATCCTATTCTTCTTCCCTTAGGTAACCTTCCTTCATTTTCCATAATGTCGTAGCCCCAAGGCCCAAGAGTAGTCCTGAGACAACTAATACTTTCGCAGACTTTGACTTAATATGTACTTTGTAAGAAGAGAGGCATTGTGATGGTAATAAATCATTCGTATAAGATGTCTGCTTTTATAAAGCATTCCTGTTCACAAAGACATGTGCCATTATTATAGATTTAACCATCTAGTAGTTCGATATGTACCTAGTGATGTATTAATTTCATGAAGTTGACCTGGGCCCACAAGCAGGTGCATTGTCCAGGTACCTTTACCCAATATCACAACTAAAATAGTAGAATTCATGTTAGTCCAAAGTTATAGGCTTTCAGAGTTGATAGTATAACCAGATAGTAGGGAAACTTCTCAACGTTGATTTCCCTTTGAATTGACTTTCGAGTTCAAGAATCGTTACCTCATAGTACCGAACTACTGGAATAAATATGCTCTACTTGTAGCATCCTAGCCGTGTTAACCTCATGTACTTCAACTTATGTGTGTCGATAAGCCCTATAGTGCGCGGTTTTCCATGATAATCCTTAAATTTAGGCAGGAAAAAACCATAGAATTAGACAGAATTAGTGGCCCAAGAACACCACGGGTGTGTGATGACTTGGTTCTTGGTAACGAAGCTAAATACAATATTGTTACTTGGACAAACAAAGGAGAAAGTAATAATGAATCCCTATTGTATTCGAACAACTATAACAGACTTGTTTTCCTAAAACAAAGATGAAGATGCCGTGTCCACATAAGGAGCACTTCGCCAGATGGATCATATCGGCATAACCCATCACTACCAATATCGCTCTTTTAGCCTCATTTTAATCGAGTCGAAACGGTCTTTCTTAAATTAGTAGCTTTTAACTGATCTCTTGCAGAAAAAGTCTGCATTTACTAAAATGGTGAATCGTAGAAACAACAACGGGGGTTTCAACAGGGGTCCTAATCCAAGATATAATGGAAACGGGAACTACAACCCAAATTACAACCAGGGCCAACGGAATCAAGGCAGGCAGCGAAATCAGCGTCAAGATCCATTCCAACGACCACCACCTCCTCAGAACCCGTTTCAGCCGCAACCCCCTAATCCTTTTCAGCAACAACCACCACCTCCTCCTCCACCTTCCTTCTACCAATCTCCTTACAACGGATTCCAGCAGCAACAACCGAGTCCCTTCCAGACACATCAACAATTCGAAGCAGGCGATCGCCACTATCACACCCACAACCACTACTACTACCCCGTCGAAGGCTCCGCCCCCACGTCCACGTCGACGCCGAGCTTCGGACCCCAACCAGCACCACCCACGCACGAAGACGTCACCATGGCCGAAGCGAGCGACCTCGACGTCCTGCAGGACCGCATCGCCTCGCTGACGGGGCAGATCAGGGAGATCCTGCAGGCGATAGCGGGCGCGCACCCCGTCTCCGGCGAGGTCGTCACGGCGTACGTCAACGCCGTGCGCGAGTGGTACCCCGACTCCGAGCTCGCCCGCGCTCTGCAGCTGAACGAGCTGAACGCCGAGCAGTTGGGTCGGCTGTATAAGTCGCCGCAGCCGCCGGTTCAAGGTTACGGCTACGGCTACCTTTGAAGTTAGCGGGGTAAGAGGTAAGTAATAGATGAGTTTGGGTTGAGAAGCAGCATCATATACCCCTGTTCATTTTCGGTACTTTAGCGGTGTTTTTTTTTTTTTTTGTTTCTGTCTTTGTTCTTTCACAATTCTGTGAAGCTCTATGAAGGAATAGTCGGGGCGTTGAAGCTGAGGGGAATAAGCTGTTCTGGACTTTGTTTAACAATGGAATTTGTGTTTACTATGCATAGCGCACGGAAGACATGCCATTATCGGCCTCTAGGAGTTAGGTGCATAATTTAGCAGTTCATTCAATAATATAAGATAGAATATTTAAAGATATTCTTATATTATGAATGATCCTAAGGTTATGCCCCAGCCCAGCCCCTGACGTCCACAGCTTATACAGCGCCTTCTATTCATTAACGCTTCCCTTGAAGGAAACCAGGATAAAACTGTTTCTTTAGGTATGGATGGTTATCCCAGTTACCGTGTATCAATGGTTACCGGTGTAACCTCTATTCGTATGATATATGGTTATGTTCTAAGATATATAGGTACAAAGTATGGGAGATATCCATTAATTAAGGTAGGCAAGTAGGATTATAAGGCATGTCAGCCAAAGTCGGGCCAAGGCGCGGGTAGGAACATCATATGATCTCGATTTCCGTAATATGTTGACGTAAATGATGAGCACAACTGTATTCAAGGACCTCCAGATATCGGATAGAGTTACGTAGGTTGAAGCAAGGAGAGCATTCTAGTCAAGGTGCGATCTAGTCCAGCTACAAGCTCTACGAAGATACCACGTAGTGATAATTTAATGTTCAGATCATGACTATCGCGTGGGAGCTGTCCCCTAAGTACCTTCTAGAGGAGTCGGCCGTCCAGGCCACTTGGTAATGAGAGCCCAACCGGCGTGAAGACCATCAAGGCGTACCTTGGATCACACCTCGAAGTTTTCTCTGTTATGTTCACCTTTGATCGCAGCAGCGCCGACGGCCAGCACCTCGCGTTTATCAAGTTCGGGTACGTACTGCGCGATCCTCCGCCAGAGGATGCCGCCTAACATGCACCAGTAGCGATAACACCCCAATCCCCAGCAGCGAGCAGCATGAAGACTATTGAAAGCGTATATAGTATGGTATTCTTATACAAAAGGGTTTAGAAACTCCAGAGTTGAGGCGGGGATCTTCAACACGAGCTAGTTGATATGGCGATGAACAATATATTCAGCGGCGCTACTTATCCCTTTAACTGGCAGACTGGCAGTAGTCTCCAGCCAGGGATTAGGAGGCAAAATACAGCTTCACATGATATGGTTGATCAGACCCAGAATATAAAACACGAACGGTACATGATTTTACTGCTATTTTCCCCGTATTATTTGTACCAGCAGTGCCCTGAACCGAGCTTTTGTGGGTGCTTAAGTGTATCTTGCCTTTTAATCCCTGACTGGGGACTATTGCCAGTTAAAGAGATAGTCGCTACAAGATCGAACTGCTGTATACTGAGACCTTGTACTGTTGGATTTGGCCTCATCTATAGGTACCAGCACACTAGGTACCTAGAAAAAGGGGTTGGAAAATCTGCAATTTACCTGCAAGCCCGAAGCTAATTGTCGCCGTAGTAGTAGTTGATCAGATTGATAGCACGATTCGATTTTGAGGACGGGCGCGCGCTTCTCGGCTTTCTTCGACGGTCGGGATGGTTCCGGAGAACACGTCGCCGGCTCAGGCTATCGTGGCAACACGAACGCAGACGTACAGATGCTTCTTCCCTTCCGCCCATCGGAAACATTCATCATGTCGGCGCCCTCGGGAATTTCGACAATATCTTTTTAATCCAAACTTTTTTATTTACATATATAAACATGAAATCCTGAATAATATATTTAAATAAAAAAGGCTACGCCGTTGAACATTCCAAAGTTAAATCATTTCTCCTTACGCCCCGCAACGGCGTTCTCCCTCACGGCAAAAGCATCATTGATATTCTCGACGGCGACCCAAATGGCGTAAAGCGGGATGAATACCCACAGCACGTTAAAGAACACGAGGTACACCCATTTGTACATGAAGTTGCTCGTATCGAGGTTGTAGTTCGCGGTCAGCCACTCCGGGCAGAAGGTGATAAAGCCGCCGTAGAGCTCCATCGTCGCGATCACGATCATCAGGATGTTGGTGCGCGGGTCCTTCTTTGCGATGCCGTAGCAGATGTAGCAGGCAAGCGGGCCGGCCACGAAGACGGTTAGGAGCTCAAGACTGATGACGGACTACGAAGAGAGAGGTTGTGTTAGTGATATGTAGGTAATGCGAAGTGTGGGTGAAAATATTGAGCTGGATCTATCTTACCAGATCCGCACCAGCCCATCGTCGATCCGCCTTCGCGTACACCATCCAAAGCTGGGCTAAGGGGCTATTGCCGCCGGCTTGCGGGCCATAGGCGCGGTTCGTGTACCCGAGGAAGTTATGCGCGGTCGGTGCTAGCGCGTGCGGGTTCGAGACGCTAGAGAGCGGCATCCATGAGAAGAAGCAGTGATAGAGGAAGCTCCCTTCGAGGATGAAGTGGATGAGGGCATCGAATGCGTGCCATATGAATAGGAAGCGATAGCTCCCTGGCGTAGCTCGGTCAAGGACTGAGAGGGATAGAAGATATGCGGTTGCCAGAATCGCGAGGGTCGAGGCTAATGAGACGAGCGTGGTCTGGTCGAAGAGGTCAGGGGGTAGGGAGTCTTTGAAGGAAGCCATATTGGGTTAAACAGTCACTCTCAGCAGACGGGAAGTGTTGAGAAGGGTGTGGGAGCCTTTGCGAAGTGCGACAGTTTTCAAATTGGGATTGAGACAGCTGAGATGAAACACTCTGGAACAATTTCAAGTGTGGGGATTGGGGAAGCTCAAAGGCTCTGAGGACCGTGCGCATTTATGAGGCTAAGAGAGTTGCCTGAAAGGGAAAAATGATACCGTATGAAGTTATGCGGTGTTTACCTTTCAAGGTGTGTCGACGACGATAACATATTCTCTAGCCTTTAGCTACTACTACCTGGTAAGGGCCATTAAACTGCAGTACGCACTGATAGATTGCGGGAATCCTATATCACGCATTATTATGCATGTTTTTACAGGTGAGCATAGTCAACGGCATCTTTGGAATCTACGGGACATGGATCACAGGAATATAAGCACAATTTTTGGCTAATACAAATTGTAATGAGCTACCTTAGGGGTATTGTAGAGCCTGACCAAGAATATTTATCTCTAGGGAATTGATTCCATCATCCCATGCCATCTCGACAAAGGAAACCTTCTGTTTGTTCCGATACGCCCATGTAATCACAAACCCCCGATCATCTCAATCGTACAATCGTGTAGTTTAAGTTGGCTACAACAAAGAGTTTAGTGCTTGGCAGCCTCCTTGTTGACGTCGGCAGAAGTGTTGTGCTTCTTCTCGTCAACTTTGTCGCCTACGGCATCCTTGGCAGCAGAGGCACTGGAAACATTGTTAATATCCAAAGCCATTTGGAAGGTAAGTAACAAGACTTACCGAGTGCCGAGGTTGGCGTTGTTGTCCTTGGCAACCTCCTTGTTGGCCTCCTTGGAGGTGGTGCTGGCGGCACCCTTGACAGTGTCAGTGACGTAGTTAGCGGCGTTCTGAATCTTGTCCATGGTGATGGTTTGGTTGGTTGTTTGGTTTGAGGTTGATTGTTGAATGTGATTGAATAATCTTGGTAGTTGAAGTGTGAGTTGTTGGTGGTGATGATAGAGAAGAGAGAAATACGAATTGAGGAAGATGAAGAGGTTCTTATATGAAAGGTCTGCGTAGAATGTTTGTCATCATTCGGCACTTAATTAATATGGGTTTCCTCGAACTTTCTCTCATAGGCACCTACCTTGGGTAGTACGTAAGGATAGCACTAGGGACGTCTTGTGAGCAAGTACAGTACGTCATCACCTATTCAACCTTTGTGTGAATATCCGCTTTGGTTCGGGTTCCTACTCGCATGTCTTGACAAGCATGGGATGCTCACGGCCCCCAACAGCTCTAATTCCCCATTAAGCCATTAGACTAGGTACTTCCCCTGGATTACCCTGACGTCACCACTTGAGAATTACTCCTACAGCTCCTGACAAACATCAACACCGAGGTTTGACCAACATGTGAATTGCCATCTATAATTGTTACCGTAATTCCAAAGTGGGTATTTCATCATGATCAGCTTCGAAGATACCTAACTAGGTATTTTTATCGATCTGATATCTGAACGTACCATAGATTAGTACCTCGTTGAAGAGGTGATATCCAGATTTGCATGGAAGTGGACAATTGACATGCATGATGTAGCAATTCCCTTTTCGGGAACATTTGGCCAATCACGTCCCATAGGTCAAGGAGCATCTTCTCCAGAAAAAACTTAGATCGCTGCAGGGGAAACACCAAACAGAGCGTTTCCATTGGCTGCCTGATTAAGTCCGTACCCACAATGACACCATGACTTTTGAGCGTTATTTTGTGGAGAGGTCAGGGTCCTGGTCTAGACCGATATCTACGATTTCATCATCATGATCTCGATTAAACTTTCCTACCGAAAACCCCACCAATTCTTGCCTCATGTTTGGATCAGAAGGTCATGGGCAAGCCTCAATGCGTATGCAAGCCACAAGTTAAACCTCTATCTTCTAATTCGTTCCCGTGTCCAAAAAGCGGACGGAAAGGTCCGCCACGCCGAGGATTTCTTCATTTGTATTCTTCATCTCCGATCTCGATGATTCAAATATGAAATTCTCGGCTGCAGGTGATGGGTATTGCATTTCCGTTTTTGACGAATTCCTGACTCTATCGCCATGCACCCTTGTTCGAGAAGTAATGCTTTGGTAGCAGAGTTCATACTAGAAATGACGTCAAATCGTGACTTCAGTATCAGCCAACCTCCCTGCGGTAAAGTGTTGGGATGGCAGCCTCCGTTTAGGTTCTCGTACGTGGACTTGATAGAAGTTTATCCTCTAGGTATTCACAATCAAGCTATTTGAATTCGGAAAGATGAACGGCTGGGGCTAGGTGTCTATTTCGGTTCATACACTAAGTTACCATTCGCTCCTTCGTTCACGACGTTATAGACGCCCTGAAGTGAAACTGAGGCTATTAGAAGACCAACGTGGGATCCCGTCGGTAGGCGGGAGTATCCGAGCACGCAGGGCACGTTGGGCTGGGCAGGCTGGGCTAGCGGCTTACCATATGGGAATACCATATTCTGGCTCGTCTTTGTCTACTCCTTTTCGGACTTCGGGTACTCTAACTATCGGTACTAACCCCAAAGCTAAAATCCCAACGTCAGAGTGCATGTTCTCGAGCACTACCCGAGGCTCGCGGACAATTATACCTCTTGATGACGTTGACATTTTTCATGTCCCACGATGACTTCCGGGCTTTATTCTTGTGCGGGGCCACGAACTTCTCTCAGGGGTCTATCCCTTACCAGTCTAGGCTGTACTCTAGGCCCAATTCTTCGAACATTGTTCCACCTGCTGAAGAGAAGGAGTGGAAATTCAAGCTACTCCAATGCCTCTCGTGTTCCAGCTAACAGATATGACTAGCCACAAGGCGTGGACTTGTGTGTATGCCTTGCGCGTATTCAACATTTAGTACGGTTCGAAACATTCTCTGGATACTTATGGGTGTTTGGGATTAACACAATACTCCAACTCAACACACATAGTTGAAGACAAAGGTACGTTCATTTATTCATTATCTCTGATGGATCGTACGGAAACTATCGGAGTCCACTGGCAACGCCGTGTAACGCCATGCTCACTTATAACGCCAAAACCCAACACATACAAAAGTATGTCAGCCCAATATGCCGGTAAGCACACTAGGCTCATCGGCGTGTTTTGGCCAATGCTTTGGCCATCATCTCCCTACGCAGCTTGGGGACCAGCGGCTCATCATCGGAATCAAGTGGTACCGCGTTGGCAGTACGAACAGGAAGCTCATGGCCGCAGTTCGCACGAGACGAACATCGTCTCTCCGGTTCTGAATCAGACGAGAGGATAATGACAGTCGACTGACTGTTCTTCGGCGCTCGACTAGGGCTTTCTTGTTGATCCACCCGTCTAGCGGCGACATGACTCGCACTGTTCTTGGGTGTTCTTTCCGACTCAGCTAGAAAGTCGAAAGTTCTTCGGATCTTTCCTGTGCTCTTGGAAGGCGTGAATATCGGCATGTCGTCGTCCTCATCGTCATCGTCATCGTCGGAACTGATTATGTACCGCTGGCGAGTAGCTCTTGATTTGATGGGGCTTGAATTGGCGTATGGTTGATAGCGTTTCTTGTGTTGCGGGGGCGTCTTCTTTGTTGCCGATCGTCGTACAATCTCGTCTAGGGATGGCAACGAGCCCGTGGAATCCGAATCAACATCATGAATGGATGGAGCTTCGGCCATCTCTTCATCGTGAAGGGTGGCCGTCTCAGTGTCCGACTCTTCACCATCCATGAAGTATTCCACGTCCTCGTCATCCTCGTCGTCCTTCCATTCGTCTTCGTCCCAGTCGCTATCCTCCATTTCATCGTCACTCACCACGAACCCGCCATCGCTGTCATAAGGTTCATCATTGTCCGATGCCACCCTATCGTCGGCAGGTCCGAGCCTGCTTCCGACCGGGTTCTCGATAACGGGTCGAGCTCTAGCAACAGGGCGTCTCCTTGGTTGTTGCCTTGCCTTCCAGGAGAGATACCTCTCTTCGATGCCCGCGAGTTCAGGGCCCCATACTGTATTGTGGACTAACCAGTTCCATCTCCTCGGGCTGTTGTATATGACCCGTAGTTCGTGGCCTCGGTGCTGCCCGAACCAAACTTTGGTAGACAACGGGCTATATTTTTCGTCCAGCCAGGCCGTGTATTGATCGTGAAGATCTCTGAACCCTTGCAGCTACGCGATGAGTTCTGTTAGTTAATCTCGTTTGACGGGAACGAAGGTGTATGTATACATACCAACGTGTTGGGCTTCTCTCGGCTTAGACGGTAAATGGTCCATCGGTAATTATCGTCCAGCTGATCCAGTGGTGTGCCTTCGAATTTTCCAAACCACATCAATTCTTCGCCGGGCGTTTTCGGCTCTTTCGGGATCTCATCTTCCTCTCCATAAGGTTCGTATTCGGCGTAGAAATCTTCGCTCGACATGGCGTCTTCGAGCCCCGGTTCCTCGCGTTGAAATTTCACTTGACTGATACTCAGGGTCTAAAGGTGCAAGAAATGATATTTATTCTTGCGCTGGGGAAACTGAGTCTACATAGCAGGCTACAAATTAAAATGCCAGCCCTGGCGCTCTTTGGCGTACGTACGATTTCATGCGCATAACCTAGGTACTTGGGCAAGGATAACGTCTAGGCGCAAACGAGTGGGCGGCCAGGGCAATGTTTCGGGCTTCTTATCTTGTAAATATCCTCGTGATTGTCGTACGTCGTTGTCGTATTACTTTCGATAAACCTCAACTTTTTATTTATTTATTTATTTTTTTTTTCAATTGTCACAACACAACTTAGGTACCTACTGGAAATAAAACCTAGGAAAATGGGAGCTTTGCCTTATTCTTTGCTGGCAAACCGTCTTGGGTGGTTAATTGGGCGTGACTCACAGTTGGCCATCGGTTAAGCACTACCACCCTTCTGCACCCTGCACAATCCCGCCGAACCATCAAACCAGAGCTAGTTGGGCCTTAAACACCTAGTACCTGGTGTCGATCAGCTGTAGCCTTCCGGGGAACGAAACTCAATTGGTTAGAACTCGGATATACCCCAAAGAACAAGCAAGAAGCCAATGGAACATTGCCATTTCATCGCCATTAAAGGTTATAGCACTTCGGATACCAGCAGTAAACATCTACATAGATGCTTTTTGCTAGGCAAAAGTCCGGCGGTGTATATTTTGTTAGAGTTGATATTATCTAGGTATCATAACAATCATAACAATCACTAGATGCAAATATCAAAATTGCTGACATTAAAAAAGCCATATCATTAAGACCAACGCCTCAACATGCACCCGTAGCACCTGACTAAGCCTGTTACCCCTTTTCCCTCCTTAACCCCACAGTACCTTTAAATCTAGCTCAAGCTACCAAATGCATGTACATAGAATTGAGTAATAATAGCTCTAGCAAAATGATTAAGACATCAGTCTACTACCATGGAGACGTCAGTCAACTTTTTTGTTTTTTTCTTACTTAGATCTGCCCACATCGATCATCTTTTTGTTAGCCCTTTCCAACTTGGCCCTTGCTTTCTCGTCCAGCAAATTGAACCAAGCTCGCAAATGCGCCACATAGGCCGTCTCCTTCTCGTCGTACTCGACGGGAGGGCCCTTGATCTGGGGCGGTTCGCCTTCCTGGTCGAAAACGGCCCAGCTGGATTCGTCATTTGTGCGTAGGCCGTATCCCTTGTTGTGGATTGATACGACCGTAAAGTTTCGAAGAAGCACTACATCGCCAGCCTTGACGATAGGTAGCGTCTCCTTGTGCGGTCGATAGAGATATACCTCTACGACCGAATAGGGGCCGATGGAATAGTCCGTAATAGTAAACGACATCATGAATTCACGCGGTCCGCCCTTAGCTCTCTGTGGATCCGGGGGTTGCATCATGGCGATAGCTATCACGCTTAGCTTCTTTTGAAGATGCTGTCGTAGAACCTTCAGAGATGTGCAATCCGGCAATTCGTCCCTGAGATGGCGGACTAACTTGAGTTTCGCCGCTGTCATGGAATTGCTCTCTTCTTCTCCCTTGTTAAAAGAGGCTCTAGCTAGCTGCACACTCGGATCCTCTACTAGAGCTGTAGAATCTTCGACAGGAGGCTTTTTCCCATTTGCATGAGTAATCTTGGTCGTATCGTGCTGTCTCGACTGTCGCTTGGAGGCGTTTGCAGCTCGCGCAAGCTGCACACTCGGGTCCACTTGTGATACTTGTTCAGGAGTATCGACATCCTCCATTAAAATAGCTTGCTGGGTTTCTTGTCGCTCTTCTATCCGGTTTCCGAGTTCTGGAGATGGGCCTCTTGAGGTTAGATGCCTCTCCAAGTGAGTCTCATCTTCATTGTCAGTGGTATTAACTTCGTCGTCATAATTATCGGATTCATCACCAATCTCATGTTCATTTGGCGTCTCCATGTGTTCGACTTCCTCAAAATCCTGAGAATATTCCAAGATACTAGCTTGTAATTCCTCGTCCATTTGCGACACAAATGATACGCTAGCACCATTTGTATCACTCTCGACATCCGAATGTATATCGCTTCCTACTTCGAGTTCACTCATAATCTTGGAAGTGGACTCGGTGAAACTCGCTTGTGCCATTTCACCAACGCTGACCTGAGTCTGGAAACTTAGACCTGGCGAGACTCGTAAGTGGGGAAGAGGTATGCTTTCCTCGGCATCTCCCTCCAAGGGGGTCTGCTGCCGCGAAGTTGAAGTAGACTCCACGTGCTGTTCCTCGACATGGATTGAGGCATCTTCTATAACTGTAGAAGAACCTTTCATGGTAAATGATTGTTCGGCTGAGAACGAAATGTCGCGAATGTTAACATCGACAGGCTCTGCTGCGTTGTTGATTTCACTGGGTATGTTGACCTCCATTAAAACACCAGCCGGAGGTACTGATGCTGTGGCGTCCCCCGTTACTTGGGTAGCTCGAGGCGTCGGAAGTTGACCAGCTGGTATTTGGGAATCTGTATTCAGGGTGCTTCCGTGTACCACATCATCCGTCATTTTCTCATCAGTAGGCTGAGATATGAACGAATGTATCAGAGGGGATGATGGGGCAACAAGTTCAGTTCGCCTGTCTTCATCCACCTCCATAGGCTGCGGGTCTGATGTACCATTTGATAACGTAGACACTAGCTCGACTGGCTCATCTTGCTGGGTATCTTGGGGTTCATGCTCGCCTTGTTCTGATGCGCCTTGCACATTATCCATTAAGGACTCATAAGCTTCAGGCGACGTCGAAGTAACTGCCATATCATCTTGCATATCGAGCTCCGCTAATTCGTTGTTGGCCTTTGACTCGCTTTCTACCACTCGGCTTAACATCTCGAGTCCTTCAGCCGCAGATTGTGGTGCCATAACTCTATCCTTTTCAGCCTCATCATTTCTGGTATTGTTGTCACCGTCATCATCCCTATCTAGAATAGAGATAGTATCTGCCTTGTCAGGCTGTGGTGATCCTCTCTGGTCCATAGACAGATCATTGGTACGCGGACTCTCAAGAATAATGGGGTTCTGTTGATGTTCCACCTTAGGAGACGTTGCAACATCTTCGCCTTCAGAGTTTTCCGCCGCAGCAACACGGTCTTCTTCTGGGAACTCTTCCATACTATTGTCTTCGTCGAGTGGGGCTTCGGATTCTAAATCGTCGGATGAATGCACCGATATATCATCTTGTACTTCGTCGTCTCCATTCTCCTCCCCATCATCACTTTCGTTAGCCTTAGCTTCGTCACCTTCGTCCTCTTCACCTTCACTTTGTGCAACCCGTTCAGTTGCTTCAGCTGATATGTTAGTTGGTATGCTTTCCGGTTGGATTTGTAACCCGGTATTATTGCTAAGGTTAGATGGTGGCTGCGGTTGACCATCTTCGTCATCTTCACTTTCATCCTCTGACGATGAAATGAGGTCAATAACCTGAGCTGTCGATTGTGATATAGGTTGAGGCGATGTTTGAAGTTCCGCATCATCCTCATCCATATCATATTCACTATCATACTCGGGGTTTTCTGCGTCCTCATCCTCGATTTCGTCATCACCCTCTCCTTCCCAACTTCGACCGTCGTCAAACTCGGGTTCCAGGTCATGCGGCCGCAGATCTTCATCGTGACTATCGTCCTCGTCGTCGTCTGGGCCAGTATAATTCCTTGTATCATAATCACCGCCAATTTCATCGGCCTCGTATTCAGGTTCATCGTCTTCCGAATATTCAGCGTCAATTTCATCCTCAACTTCTGCTTCCTCATACATATCTAGGTCGTCGGCATGCCCCTGCATGACTGTGTCTTCTGCAGCTGTTGGCGGCGGTGGGCCCCCGTCCGAATCGCTCTCATCTATGATAACTGCGTTATCTATCGACTCGCCCTCGGTACTACCGAGTCGATCAGCCGATGACATCGCGGCCTCTTGAGGTGGCTCATTGATTGTAGTCCATAAGGACGGCCCTGCGTCTGCCGCTGCTGGTATCCCGGGGCTGAATGTGGTTGTCCCTACAGGCATGGCTTCTTGGGAGAAGGGCCGGTGATCATCTAAATACGATGGAGGGTAGTCAAGATGTCCTCCTTCTGGATTAGGGCTAGCTTGCTCTTCGTTCTCCAGGTCTAAAGGCGGGTAGGCCGTGCTTCGCGAGAGATCTTGAATTGGGTAATTTTGCTCATCGGTCGGTATATTACCATTGAAGTCCTGTTCAGTAGGGTCAATGGCAAGATTGCTAGGCTCACTCGGTGATCGTTTATGGCTCCCAGATCTTGCAACTCCAAGTCTATCAGGTCTCTGGTCATCGTACTCCCCAACAAAATTATTAGGCGGCGGTTGTTCGGTAGCATTCGGATAACTCGTAGGAGGGAGTTCCATAGACCTAGGGTCCCAGCCTTGTTGAAAATCGTTGCTACCAGGATGAAAGTGGTCGGTATGGTGAAACGCAGGTAACTCGGGGCCGTGGCTAGGAAGTACATCACCAGGATCGAAAGGCGGAAGGTGCACAGGTGTTGTAGTCGGCCACTCGCCATGGAAGGTCCCTTGGACGCCGTGATCCACCATACCTTGACTAGGCTGAGTGGCATGTTCTCCCGGCGTCGGATTTGGACCATTTTGCGCTTCTTCGGCGCTTACTCCCAAATGGGTGCCTATATAAACCGGCGAGGGCATGGGGAAGTCGATATCCATAGTTTGGCATCCTTCGTCGGTCATTTCTGGTCTTGGCGGCGAACTCTCGCGGTTCTGAGGCGAGGCTGGCTCAGGACTGGGAGATTGGCTAGTGTACTTCCATGCACCACTTTCGCGGCCAAATCTGGACCTTTTTCTCCCTCTCCCTCTCACCCCACCATCCTCTTCAAATATGTCGTATCCGTCTTCGAACAGGGAGCCATATGACATTCGCGCCCTCTTAACGAAAGCTGGAGAATCGAATTCACCATCCTTGAGTCTTGCAATATGTGTCTTACTAGGCGGAGTGAGCGTTTCGAGGCTTTGGGTCGAAAAATCCTCGACATGGCTTGTTTCAATCGGTGGCGTTTCAATTTGGGGTTCAGGTTCTGCTGGTGAGTTATGGTTAACAGTAATTGGTTTGGTTTCCCCGGTCTCAGCCAGGGTGACCTAGGAGGAGAGAATTAGTTAATATCATAAAATTTAGATGTAGACATCACGCATTACCTGAAGTAAGAGCCTCTCAGAGAACTTTAGCTGCCAATCAACCCCAGCGCCCGGCAGACTCTGGCGCTTCTTCACTTGCTCCGGTTCCCATTCGGCGCCGTCCAAACTCACGAGGACCTCATCGTTACTACTTAATCCACTTTCACTAGCAGCCTTGGCAGATGCGCCAACCAAATTAATGCGAATTTGTCCCTTATTTCGGCGAAGACGGTAATCAGGCTCGGCGAGGATAAATGAGAAGGTGCCTTTTACAAAGCTGTAAGGCCAAGTGATGGTGACCACGCCACGGACAGCACGAGATGCTGGATCTGCAAGCTCTGGGTTTAAGTCGGCAATAGGGGTTTTACTTGCTACGACAAGCTGCTGAAGAGCATCTGACGCGTTTGCGGTGTCCATGACGCCGGCATAATTCAGTCGCGGCACGATCGCGTTCGATGGTTGTTCGATCACGTAGGTGGATGGGGAATTCGAAGGCGGCGCATTTGCTCAGATCTTGCCGTGATGAGATAATAAGTGTTGTTTGATTTCGTGTGCAAATACTGCCTTCAAATGGCGCAATATCGAGGTTTCGCGAAGAGGTAGATAATTGTGTATTATCGGAAGTTAAGTTCTAAATCAATGTTGGAATTGATCTAAAACAGCTGAAAACGTGAAGCTACAACCAGTTGGAGCTTCTAAAGTTCACACAAGGTTCCAGGGATGTAGCTGCCAACCTTAGTGGAGTGCACCTTGTGCGCCTCATTTCATTAGCCACACTTTTGCCTAATGCAGAAAATATGGGGTTGCAAGACTCAACCTTGCTTAATCCTTGGAAATTTACAAAGAGTAAAAGCCAAATAATTACAACATCAACGATACATGAATTCTCTCTAGTCGTTTCGCTAGTATTGGACAATATTGAGGGCTTCCTACAAGCCTGTAACAGACGTAGTCATATTGGCTTACATCTTACTAAACAGAGTGACACATTACTGATTGCTAGTATGGAACAACATTCCTTCGGCCTACGTACGTTGAACGATATCGCCGAAAACAGGTGTGTAAGGCTAGCAAGTATCACAATGAAATCGCCGGTGTCCAACTCATAACCGCCCCTGAGAGGCGACAAGTGCATTTGGACATCAATCCCACCGCACCTTCAACGAATATGAATAACAAAACATTCATTCTACGGAAATGGAAACAAACTAGTACCCGTATTCCTACCTAGTATTTATATCCAGTTCAACTGTAAGTGATGGTCCAGTTGCCAGGAAGCTGAGATAACCCTAACTAGACGTCAGTAATTATGTTTTGGATATTAAAGCTAGATGCTGGACAAAGTTGTCCTTTTGAAAAATAACGACTTACATCCGTCGTACTTCTCAGGGACAGTTTGGTTGAGCGTACACCGCATCGCCTCTTCCGCCGACTGTGACTTGAGCTCTGAGCAGCGATCGTTGCTACACCTAGCATCCAAAGCTCGCTGCAATGCGTCGTCCTTCCAACCGAAGATATAGTCACCGTGCTGACCGTAACCCGTGCTAGATGTCCATTGTTGTCAGTTATCACGCCTCCCTACACGTGCTCGAGAAAGGCAGGAGCCTACCCGTCTCCCATGCTATACACAAAAGGTTGGGACCCATCTTCGGGCCACATATCCGGGTCGTTAAATTCTCGGGTGTCCCAAATGATTTCGTACATGAGCTAGGATTTCCCGAATTAGCTTGTTAACGTTCAACGATAAAATTTCTCCCAGAGATAGGGATGAATAGAGCGCCACTAACTTGAGGTAGTTTGACGGGATGGCTAGCTGGGCAGGGGCCACTGCTTTCAAATGTTCCTGTCTCGGGGTATGCGACGTGGCTCTTGTGGTCGGGCGAGTCAACGTTCACTCCATCCCAGCAAGTTGGAAACGTAATCGTTGTGCGAATACCGCCGTTACACATTTTAGAAGGAAGCGATGCCGTGTCATCGCCAGTACAAGGAGCGCCTCCGAACGGCACCTGGTTAATCGTGGCAAAACATCGATGGCAGAGTTGGCGCTGCTGGCCCTCGGCTTGCCGTAGCATCGCGTCCCCGACCAACATGCGGAACCCCTATTCCAGCACGACTTGTCAGAGTAGCACCACCTAGATGGAGGTGGAATATACTCCAGGTTCAAAGGATTGATCCTTTCTCAACTTACCGGCTTGAATGCCGTGACATTACTCTTTCCATCATATGGCGGAATATAATACACTGTCAACCCGCCATCAGCCTTGAGGCCCATATTAACCAGCTGTGGTACACGTTTCAAAGTCCCATTGCGAGCTTTAAAGAACAAATTGGCGGTCCAGTAGTTCGAAAAGTCTTCCGAGAAGCTGCATGAAGTACAAGTCGACTCCTTAACTGGGTCATACTCAACAGGCGTCATAGTTGCTGTGAAGGAGTTACCGCCGCCAACTTGGTGCATGTGTGGCGATTGATTCATCCCCGGGGACACCAGCGGATCCAGACGCTCGATTGTTAGCTTCGAGCATGAGAATCGCATCATCTGCTGCGCGTAGGCGGCATCCGGCGCTGACAAGAGCGCCGCCAGAGTTGCAAGAGAGCGCCACTGCATCTTTTGGTTCCCCTATATGTTAGGTAGAAAATTGACGACTATGTCAAGAAACACCTAGGTAAGGTCTACCAGGCAAGAGCAACACAACCTGTAGATTACACAAGGATGCCTTTATGCCGAACACTCCAGCGAATAAACAGAACACACTCTCCTACCCCCATATTCCACTTGCGCGAATCGGCGGTTTAGTGCGGGAGTCCATGCGCAAATACACAAGCGGTTCGTGAGGGAAACTGCCGCAGATGAAGAGTAGCCGGATAATTTGCTTGAAAGGCCAGGGGGAGGGATATATTCCTAAAACGATTGTATCCCATCTTCTAATTGGCCAAGGCAATCTTCCTCTAGTCAATACTTAACAAGCACCCATACATCGCAAACCCAACTCTTGCGTACCTAGGTAGGTAGGTAGATAACATGCGATCTCCTGAGAATTTATAGGCTAAGTCATTGTACTATGCTTATCAAAATTTGGAATATGTGGTCTGTTTGGGGACTTTTCATTCATTAGAAGGTATTCTTATCTAATTATTTAAAATGTTTCGAATGTTGGAGCTTCTTTTAGGTTTGGAGATAAGCCGTCGGTATGTCGATCTTGGATAGGATTAAGAGCGGTCTAAAGACATAATATTCGATTACATTGCCTTTTTTCGGTGATGACGATTAACGCCGACGGCTACTCAGCACCGACTCTCACCAAAATTCCAGCTCTGCATTATGTAACCCGATTTGCATTCGGGGATTAGCATCAGCTATTTCTTTGTCTATTTTAATTCTACTGCATGTCATTCTCACTAACTATCCTGACACATTCTCATCTCCGAAAAAAACGCATTAGGTGATCAAGCACTCCATACACCTAACACCTCTACCCGAACATAATTGACTTTTACTCAAGATGGACATCGGCTTTAGGATGGACCTCATCGCAGCGTCATGGCATCAGCCGTTAAGTATAGTTAAAGTCCACATTGCACTCTCAAGGCATGGCTACGGTTGAAGAAATATAAAGATACGAACAAACCGACCATGGCTTCATCAACTTGGTTCTTTAGATTAATCAACGCTCCTCGCATATCTACACTACATCCCAGACCTAAATTTCAGCAACTCTCATATATTCACATATCATCTCATTCAAGACACTTCTCTCAAAAACCAACCCAGGTTCGCATTCAAGACAACATGACTGGCAACGTTTGGTTCATCGCCGGAGCGAGCAACGGCTTCGGTCGCGCCATCGGCTTCGAAGCTCTAAAACGAGGAGATAAGGTGGTCGCTACATCGCGTAACCCTGCCAAGATGGCCGACCTCAAAGAAGCCGGCGCCATGGTGTACGCTCTCGACGTAACCGCCGACGATGCGACCATACAGGCAGCACTCCAGAAGGCGATCGACGCCTACGGCAAGATCACGCACTGCATCAACGCCGCGGGTTACATATTAGAAGCTTGCATCGAGGAAGCCTCGTAAGTCGTCGCCAATGAAACCTCAAGTTGACAATGCATTAACATAAGAATATTAGGCCGAAGGAAGTTTTCGACTTATTCAACACCAATGTCTTGGGCGTCATGAACGTGACGCGCAATGTCATGAAGCATATGCGCCCTCAGCGGGAAGGTGTAATTGCCAACTTCGGCAGCCTGGGCAGCTGGCGAGGCGGCCCGGCGGCCGGATACTACGCATCGGCGAAGTTCGCCATGACCGGATTCACCGAGTCGCTGTACGAGGAAGGAAAGGAGCTCGGCATCTCCGGCGTCATCATCGAGCCGGGATACTTCCGAACGGGGTTCCTCAACACGGGCGGCGGCAACCGACTGATGGCGGCGAACCCGCTGACCAAGGAGTACGAAGGCACGGTCGTGGCGGCGACCAAGGCCCGGCTTAGCAGCGTCGACAACAAGCAGCCGGGAGACGTCGTTAAAGGCGCCAAAGCTATCGTCGACGTGCTGACGCGGACGGGAGTCGCGGAGGGCAAGGAGATCCCCATGAGACTTGTGCTTGGTGGCGACGCGGTGGCGGTCATCAAGGACAAGATCGCGAGGACCGAGGCCAATCTTAAAGAGTGGGAAGATGTTATCCTTAGTACGGACCACGACGATGTCAAGAAATGAGAAGCATCCTATCGCATCAGAGCAGTCAGATATATTAATCACTTCAAAATGTAAGGTTTAGAAAGGGGCGTTAGCTAGTAGAAATATGTGTCTTTTTTTCTTAGAATTAAATTTGTAAATTATTGAAGAATCTCGTAACCATTGGAAGATGATGTGAGCTTTATGCCTACTACCAGGTAGATTTGTCCATGTTAATAAAGAGCCATATTAATTGTGTAATATGGGCGTCGACTTAATGCCCTCCCCGAGCAATTGATTACTCCCTAATGCGCTAGCGCGCTCGACTTAGTCTACCATACAAACCCCTATACAAACGTAGGTACTTTTTATACCTTAGCTCAGCTGCCTACCTACCTACATACCTACTACAGGTAAATTTATTCAAGCTAATTTTGACAGTGTATTTGAGGTCCTAAAATGTTCAAATCAGGTTTCATATGAGGCTTTCAAGCAGGAAATCCGCCGATTAAATCTGATTTCTGCGAATATTACTCTAATTAAAAACAGGTAATTATCTTTGACTGTACGCGTATTCACGTGATTTCGTGGTTATATAGCCATGATCATAAGGCAGACTGTCCAAAGTGCCGTCAAAGCGAAACTCTTCAGCGAAATCGCGGGCTCGGAGCACCCCAGTGCTTTCCGTGATGACTTAAGAGTCTTTCCTCTTCCTGAAGAAACGGATTTCGATATCCCCCCGCTATTAATGATTTTGAACCCCTTCCGCCCAACCATAGATGCTTATTACCCTTCACTTCCCACGATCGAGGAACTGTTAATTGCTGCCTTGTGCCGAACTGAGCCTACATGAACATTTACCTTAAGAGATGTCTAGGTCCTCTCTTATGATTTAGGATGTCGTTTCCCCGGCTTGCAGCAACAAGACATCCTTATCCGAGGAGCACACTACTGTAGGAACTTGTAAGATAACAGGAACAATCGATGAAATCACTTGTATGGAGGTTTCCCAAGATAGAGAGGCCCGGCCCGCGTTGTGCGACATGGCGCAAACGATTCCCCGACTTAGAAATCGGCCGAGTAAGCCGGACCCTGCCTCGAACAAAAAGTCTCCGAGATCCGAGGGGACCTGCTGGCCACCTTCGGCCTCGGTATATTACTTATGTTGAAAATGTCCGGATCACTAATAATTCGAAATTCTGGCTCTCTAAGCGTTTACATTTCAATCTACAACAGTGCAAATGCTTACTTACGTGGCTATGTATAATGGTAAAAGAAGACTATGCCGGCATATCTGTCATTTATGCCGGCCACGAGCTGAACGAGAATATAAAGGGGACAGCACCGAATGTTAATGGAAATACAAGTCAAAGCTAGGTAGATATGAGTTTATCCTGGTTATAATACTTCGAAACTTCAACTTCGAGAAAAACCAGAAGCTCACTTACTGCTCCTGAAATCTACCGTCTAGATCAAGTCTTACAAACCAACCCTGTCAACCTGCTTTCAACCCGTACATAACCACGATGCCAAAAACCATAGTAATCCTCGGCGCCGGCCTCGCCGGCCTCCCGCTAGCGCACTACCTCGTCTCACGGACCGCGCCGCGGGACCCGGACCTGCGCGTCGTCCTCGTGTCGCCGCACGCGCACTTCTACTGGAGCTTAGCCTCAGTACGATTCGTCCTCCCCGCCTCCGCGCACGCGATCCCCGAGGACCGGTACCTGTTCCCGATCGCGGACCAATTCGCCAACTACCCGAACAGCACTTCGCAGTTCGAGTTCGTATCCGGCGCCGCGACACAACTGCATCCGGACCAGAACACGGTTACCGTGGCGCTAAACGACGGCACGCAGAGGGAGCTCGCATACCACACGCTGGTCGTAGCAACCGGGACCAGCTACGCGGACGGCACGCCGTGGAAGGCGCTGGACTCTACAGAAGAGACGCGCGCCGCGATCGCGAAGCTGCGGTCTCAAATCGACGCCGCGTCGTCCATCGTCGTGGCCGGCGCGGGCGCGACCGGCGTCGAGTTCGCGGGCGAGCTGGGCGCCGCGTACGCCAAGACCGGAAAGAAGAAGATCACGCTCCTGTCCGCGGACGCCTTGCCCCTGGAGCCGCGGATAAAGGAGGGCGTGCGCCGGACCGCGAAGGCGGAGCTCGAGAGGCTCGGCGTCGAGTACATCGGCAACGCGCGCGTAGTCTCTACTTCTGCGCCTAGCAATTCTGGCGGCGACGGCGGGGAGGAGATAACGATTACGGTGAATAACGACGGCAAGGGATCAGAGACCACGACCAAGACCCTAACCGCAGATCTCCTAATCCCGACTTACGGCGCGAAGCCTAACACCTCATTCGCGCCCCCGTCTCTGCTCTCGCCTTCCTCCCCGGGGCGTCTGCTCCAGGACACGAATCTCCGCTCGCCGTCTCATCCCAACATCTTTGTCCTCGGCGACGCCGGCGCCCTGCAACCGCCCCAGGCCGTCTACGCGGAGCAGCAGACGCGGCACCTGATGCAACAATTCGACTCGTACCTGGCTTCGGGCGCCGTCGAGCCCTACGTCGTCGACTCCAAGGTCACGTACGGTGTGACCATCGGACCGGACCGGGGCGTCGGACAGGTGGGGTACTTCCAGATCCCGAGCCTGTTGATCTGGTGGATGAAGGGCCGGTACCTGGGTACGGACCGCGCGGGTAATTGGCCCGCTGTTGGTAGTACTAGCGGCGCTTGGCCGAAGTAAGGTCGGGTGATGTATATAGACCTTTGATCCAGGAAGGGAGGTAAGGGGAAAGGTGGAGCTGATATGATTGCAGCCATATTTAATTTTAATATTCCATTCCACTATCGAAGCTACTTAGCAATGCGACCTTACGCATTGATGTGAATTTTATCTCCTTCGCCATCTCTTAGTGTCCATTCACGATGCGCTATAATTCCTTTGCCGCAAAAATGTCCCAGGACCACCAAGCGCCGATAGAGCCTCTGTCTAGAGGACCAATCTTTGTACAAACGACCCTTTTCCACTCAGTCGTTGGCGGTGCAAACCGTCACTTCTTTTTTGGGTTCTTTAGTCTTCATACGTCGACCATCTCTCGGGCACTTATATGGCAGGATCTGAGTGGTTGAGGACTATAACGGTCCGCGATGTTTCCGTCGAAGTTGTCGACACATCCTACTCTGCCGCAACTTCACTCGCTGCAGGTTCGCCAGACTGCATAGCAGTGGAGCTGGAAGCCCGACCTAACTGAGGTGGTCGTCCGTCAACGTGAGGACGTTTACTTTCTCTTTGGGATTCGTGTGCGGACGGTGGCCTTTTCTTATCCTTGTCACGGGTACCACCTTCCTTAGAGGCAGCGGCACGGCGTGCATCTCGATCTTGTTTCTCCTTTTCTCGGCGCAGTGCCTTAGATTCAAATTCATGCCATTCGCCCTCAAGTTCTTTAAGTCTGATGAAAAATTAGCACATATATAAACAAGGTAATATAGGGCATATACATACTCAACTGCTTGCCTAGGTGGCGGCTGCTCCGTCGTGAAGTATGGATGTTCTAAGACCTCAGCTGCGGATGGTCGCTTCGCCGGATCATAATGGAACATGGAAGCAAGCAAGTCAAAGGCTGCCGCCGGCACTCGTTCTTTATATTTCTCCGCAAAGACGTTAGGTCGGCGATAGCCAGGTCTCAATAACTCAAACCAAGGCATATCAACAAGACCGGGCCAATCAGCTCTACTCGGGGTGCCAAGTACGGCATAGATTTTTTCTAGCTGATTGATCTCGCCGCCGTCACCGGGGAAAATGGCATGGCGCGTGAAGATCTCAACCATAACACACGCAGCACTCCAGATGTCCACGGCAGCACCGTACTGCGTCTCGCCCAATAATAGCTCGGGAGACCTATACCAGATTGTGATAACACGATTCGTATAATCGAGCTGGTGATGCTTTGCGTAAAAACGAGCCAGACCAAAATCAGCTAGCTTCAAGACTCCCTCGTTGCTGACTAGTATGTTCGCCGCCTTAATGTCGCGATGTAGCACACCCCGTTTGTGTAGATAATCTAGACCATCAAATAGTTGTAGGGCGAGGTGCTTTTTCTGCGCAGCATCGAGTTTATACGACGGATGATTTAGTAAGCCGGTAAGGTCGTGAGACAAATACTCAAAAACCATGAAACAGTCATTCTTCTCGACCATCACTTCTTGTAGGTTGACGACGTTTGGGTGCTTTAGGGACTGAAGTAGCTTGATCTCTCGTACGGCGGTAACGGGGAAACCATCTCTTTCTCCTTCCATGCGTATCTTCTTTAAAGCAACAAGCTTTTTGGTATACACATGAAGTCCCTTGAAGACTTTGCCATACGTGCCAGATCCCACGACCGATTCGTTCCCGGGTTTTCTGAAAAATACTGAATCGGATGCTGCAAGATCAGGTGGTAATTCGGGCCTCGGTTTGAGCCTGCGCTGTATTCTCTTAACCTTCCTCGTCTTCGGTGGCTCGGGCGGACCTCTGCTAGCATGATAATCCGATCTTGCTCTTGCAGAAGCAGGTTCCCTAGGAGTGTCTCTCGGTAAATCTCGGTCTCGATCCCGATCCCGGTTCCGATCCCGGTCCCGGTCTCGGTCCCTATCACGGCCACGCTCACGCTCACGATCTCGGTCACGATGATCTCGATGATCACGGTCTCGATCGCGGTCTCGGTCTCGATCATCAAGCGCAGGTGGTTCCTTTCTAGGGGCCGTATTGAACTTTTGCGAAATTTCAGGCTTAGGGGTCGCAACCGGAGTCTTATTCGCGGCTTTGAAAGCGAAGCTGAATTTCGAGCTTGCGGGGCCTGTAGGAGCGGAAGGCGGAGGTCGAGGGGGTGGCATCTGCTCGTTAGCATTCTTTTCTGTTAAGTCTTCATTATGAAGGTTTCTTGATGTTCGAGATGCGTTATCATCATCTTTCCCTTCCTCTTTTGGTCCAGAAAATTCGGACTGATTCGACGTCACATGTTGTGGGCTATGATGTCGAGGAGTATTATCTCCAGACTGGCCAGAGGTTCCTCTACCAGCGCCTGATGGTCGTGAAGTGGCTTCGGCGCCTACCACATTTCGGTAACCACCTCGAGCAGGGTGTGAGCTACCTCGAAAACCTCCCCTAGAAAAATTACGGCCACGAGAGTAAGATTGCGAAGGCCCGGTGGGTGGATGCGGTGGTGATTGGCTGGAGACATGATGACCCGAGGGGCCAGTAGGCGGACCATGACTACTTTGGGGACGTTGCGGAGGGTGCTGGCTAAATTTGTCATAAGAACGTGACTTTCGTCTAGAATGCTTTGGTTGATCATACCTATGAGGTGAGTTCTGTCGTTGGTTAGCCCATCCCCCTCGACTATTACCATAAGGCGATGGTGACATCGGAGACTCATGAAAAGAGGAACCCGAGTTAGGGCGTGCGGGTGAGTGGGCGGATCGACGGTCGTTGTGTTGAGAATTTACGGGACGAGTTGGAGGCACTTGAGCATTAGTACTAGAACCGCTTCTGTTCTCTAGTCGTCTGGACATATTGACTTCGATACTGTTTGCACCAGATGCTAAGTGGCCCCCTGGAGGGAACCTTGTGTCTTCCCGATATTTGCCCTTCTTACGAGACCGACGGGATCCACGCTCTCTAGGTGACCGAGGCGGAAAATCAGGCCGGGGATGCTCAAAAGAAGATCGACGGGAACGTGACCCGGCTTCTGATGAACCGGGATACGGTCCGTCAAGTGGACGAGGAGGTGAGTGAGTGCGTGAGAAAGACGATCGTCGTGAGCTAGAAAGCGGCGAGCGACTCCGATCCCGAGTTTGCGAGTCTCTCCGGGGATGAGGTAGAGGAATAAGGGGAGTGTCCCGTTCGGAGTTGCCCTCGCGAGGCGGCGAATGGCTACGCTGACGAAATCGATGCGGTTCGGAAGGATCGCTTGGGTCGGCGTGTCTAGATCGAGGTTCGTCGTAATGGGGCGAGGGAGACCGTCTACGAGGGGGTGGCGGAATCGGATTTTTTAACTGATCCCTCTCTACCCTCTCAGCCCGCTCTGTTCGACGTCGGCGGTCCCGTTCACGCTCTCTCCTAGATTTCTTCGGGCGCGTGGGTGGGAAAGGCAAAGGACTCCGACTCCTGCGTCGTTTCCGTGATGCTGGCGAAAAAGATCGACCTCTTGCACCGCGACTCGCGTAATCGTTGTTTCTAGGACCGTGTCGAGGAGATGTGGGTATGTTATGATGATTATCCTGTTCGAATTTCTCACCGCGGCCCTCCCACAAGTGGCGATCTTTGGCCTCTCGCGAGCCGTCGCCCCCGAAGTTTTTACCACGATCTTGCGATCGTCCACGCTGACTTACATCTGGCTTGCGTGGCCCTTCATTCTGCTGAGGAAATGCTTCGTCGCGAGTATCCCTGCTCCTGCTCCCGTGGGCTCCTTGACGTCGAGAATTGGATGACGGAGACCGTAACGCAAATGGCCTGGAGTGCGAATTACCGGACGAGACTCGATTATCTAAATCAGGCCTATCACGATCCCTGCGATCGCGGACGCGGTCGCGGTCGTCGTTATCGTAGCCTTTGCTTCTCTGATCGTGTTTCATTGCAACATCTCGCGAATAGTCCTGAGATCCAAATTTGTTGTTGTTGTTTGGAGTTGGGGCTGAACTTGATGGAGGGCCAGGCTTGCTGGGATGCCGACTCATTACTGGATCCATGTCGGTATCGCTCATTTTGGCAGTGACTGAATACACTGATTAGGTAGTGCCAGTGCCAGCGTCAGTGGCTAGAAAGCCGCTAAACAAGTGCTAGCCAGCCCGTCAGAAGAAAACGGTAAAATTATGTCTCCGAAAGAGACATGGGTCAGGCCACTTCAGCAGCCTCGTTCGTCGAGTGTTGATTGATAAAAGCAGCCCGATAAGTATTTGGTATGCGAGTCCAACTTCTAATTACCCTGGTCTGCCCCGCAAATTTTGGGATTGGTGGTGTGAGGCTTTGATTGAAAGAATTCGAAATTTGGACTGACGCGACAAGAGGCCGTTCAAAAGTGTACAGGGCGGTTTAGGCGGCTTTGTCTCTCGTCCTTCGCTGTATGTGGTTGGAGAGATAGGTGTAAAAAGTAGAGCGACCGGGGTATTAGCTTTGGTGCTCTTTTTCCCGGCCCCAAAAAATTTTGGGTCGCGAAACTCTGGCGTGTGGCCGCCCCGAGCCTTGCGGCGCAATTACCACTGCCAGCGCCAATCCAGAATATGGTTTACCTACCAGCACCTTCCTCCACTACCGATGCACCCCTTTATCGCCAATATTATCATCACCACCTCAGACCATATCGGTTCAGAAGGCAGCAAGATAAAGGGGAAAATAAAAATAAAAAAGTAATTGACAACCTTTATGGCCACCATCTGGTTTTTAGACCAACCCCTGTCCGAAGACTGCTCTCAATAATAGCGGGTAGAGAGCAAGAGGAAGATAGTCGCAAACGCGGCATACTCGAATCAAACGAGTAAACCGGCCTCTCGAGTATTCCCGATCGAGACCGAGAGCAAACGGTTGGAAGTGTCTCAGTACCTCCCAAACTTATGTGCCGGCTAACCTAGCATAAGTAGGTAGAGAGCCAGGCGAGTCAAGTAGCAGAACAATCCAGGCAAGCTATCTACGATGAATGTGTGCAAATCTAAACAGTCCCGCCGCCCTTCATTTATAATCCATCCTCTCCTGCCGCTATTCCGAACCTTGGTAAATACTAGCAACCATACCTCCGGAAATTCGGTATCCTATTCACCCTGCCTAGCAAACAGTTAGGTCGCATGGGATTCTGGAAAGCATTTCGTGAGCTTCTGTAACCTGATAACTGCCATGATTCCAGGACTCCGAATTAGTAGAGCAATCCCTATCCATATCCTGATCAATAACTGGGAATATGTCTTTGTAAGGCTGCGTAGCCGCCCACTGCTAACAGACGATCGAGGGGATACCCCCTTAGTCAAGATGTGGATGGAAGTAGATTGCGAGACAAAGACTACTGTAGGATGGCGCTATCCCCGGGCTCTAGTCACCGGGGCTGAGGACGCCAATACCATGCAGTAGGCAACGATCGGTGGGAGCTTCAACTCACTTTGCTCCCGCGCCCAACATGCAATTCCGATGACAGTCGAGTCTCTTACGGTCTCGACGAAAGAATCCATATAAAAGGAAATATGGAACTATCTGATAATTTGGAGATGAAGTATTCAAGCCAAACTAGATCATAGGAAAAAGGCGTTCTCAGTCTTGATCCGGATGAAGCCTAGTGGGGCTATAGCATCAGGAAGAACAGCCACGAAAAAGGGGTTAGAAAGCTTCCAGCATTGGCTACCGCTGAAAACGAATAGTCATCATGCAGGTAGGAAATTTGACTACAGCAGGTTAAATCTGGCAAGAAGCCGGTATTTTTGTGAATGCTGGTACGACTGTGGCGGAGCGGGCCGCTGGATATCGTTCTGTCAAGAAGTGATGCCAAGATAATCCGCATCGCATCATATCTGACATTAGACCGGTATGCCCCAATTCAAGGCAATTATTTCTTTTATTTCGTTAAGGGAGGAACCGTTTCGATGTTGGGACGAGTATGTTGTCGGATATCACTGGTAGCGAATTTGTGAATTGAGCTCGGCTACAAATTGGGCGACGGCTGACTGAGAGATCCATAACTGAAGAATCAAGCGGAAGCTTGACACTTTCGTTAGACAGAAATCTCGTTGTAACAGATTCCGTTTACTTATGGCTACCTAAGCAGTCTAAGGCATGTCGCAGACGGGAAGAAATTGACAGAGTAGACGATGATAACTCCGATGGGATCAGATGCAAACATAATGCAACATCAAGGGCGGCATGTTGGCGGTGTCGGTCGCATGTTCACGTACAGAGGCTCGTGCGAGTAGAGCCTCCACTGCGCTGGAAAGACATCCATGGCATTGATAATAAAGAACGACCGCCGAAAAACGCTGCGATACGGGAGTTCGTAGAAAGTATTCTATAGAGGCGATGATGTTTGATTGAGGCGGACGATAGAATGTTGTCCTGGGCAAGATGTGCTGGCTCTTTGTTCAAAGTCGGAGAAGCAACTCGGTACGAAGTACAGAGCCTTTAGGCCCTGTGGCGCTTTACCTAATTCCCCACTACACCGTGTTAATTCGTCGGATAGCAAGACTTTGTCTACTGTATTACATAATGAACTGAAATCATGGAAGGTATATGCTCATTACATAATCCCATAGTCAGTGCCCCGCATATCTGAGCTGTGGATTCCAATAGGTATCTACCTCCTCAAATTTCAATATACATGGAAAGTATCACCTACATATTGTAGAAATCATATAAAATATCTAATAGTTATCGAACGCATTATTCTATAACAACATACTGCTTGGAGACTCATATTAATACTTTGATTCCCCAGCTTGTGATCACTTCGAGGTAATAGGTGATATATTAAGGTTCATGGGAAACGGGGTTTGTAGATATGCATGAACTTTTCCAACTCCCCATCCTACCAATTTCCAATTTACATCTATCTTTTCAAATTCATCCTACAAATTGAGGGGCTGAAGATAAGGTCTAGAGCATTCACCCATAGACTCGACAATGCACCGTTGAGCAAACCGCGTAGGGGAATATAAAGTCTAGCTGAATGAAGGTAGTAATTATATCTTCCCCAGCTAACGCCTTGTGATTCATTTTCGGCATTGATCCTCATCATTTCGGATCGACATAGTTCCTCTTTGACACGCCAACCAAATGTGACCCGAGGCACACCAAAAGCCTCACACAGACCTGCCTAGCCATAAGTTATGTATCTACATCCATGGATACCACCCACCTTCATCGGATAACGGATCAGATGCCATCTCATCCCTCCGCCACCTACCTAATACAAGCATCATCGTTGAAGTCAGTTATCCAAGGGAGATGGCGCAATGCTTTACCTTGACAATACGCATGCCGTAAGCCAATGTTTAGAATATCGTTCCTGTTTGGCCTACTCAACCTGTACGTATGTTCTTAATGGTTTTGCTGAAACTAAACGAGAACATTGATGTTTCACTCCCAGTGGCAAAGCTGATGAAGACTGGTTTCCATGTGGTGGACCATATCCAGGTACATTACTCTATCTTGGGACACAGGCGAGACGCCGACTAATCAGCATCGTAAGCTGCTATCGAGTTTTACGTCTACTGTTCTCCTAGCCTAATAAGTAAGACGTCTAGAAATTCTCTCGTCGAATTTTCAACTCATGTTCCTTCGTCCGAAAGATCATCGGCGGAACCCCCGCGTCAGAAGAGGGTTGTATCACGCACCCGCAGCGATTAGCACAAGGAGTTCCCATAACCTCCGTAGTCCAAGCTCGCCCATCTCTTACGAACTGCGCTTCAGAATTTAGCCAAGCTCTGGGGAATATGATGAATGTGAGGTGTGAGCACGGATTATATGTAGGTATGTATTTTAAGCTGGATCTTGATGCTACCGTTATGATCTACCGCTAAGCTAGGCATGACCATTTTGTCTAGAATCTGCATTCATCAATTCTTAGATAGGTTAGGCTTGCAGACCACAGATGAATAAACGTCCCATCCATTCACGATATAATGAAGCGAGCCAAGAAGATGGTTTGACGATAAGTCACCATCTTTCTCTCAGGCGGCTCACAGACCCGAAAATCTGGAAAATCCATTTATCCAAGTACAAATGTACCAAGACATAAGTAACACTAAATGCATAAAATCTGGGACGCCGCATTCCCGAACCAACTCCTGCCTGCCGATGGAAGACACCTAAGTAGGTATCTATTCCGTCATTACTAACACGCATTTCGGTGCTTCCAATGAAAGGCTTATTCATCCGAACTGGAGAAGACAGAGAAACATCGAGCCGCGCGTTTCTTACAACTGTCGCCTTAGCCATGTGAGAAACTAAAATAATAATAGATGATTTGCAAAGTTCAGAACCGAATAGTTCTGTAAGCGTCGTTGTATTGTATCGTATCGAATCCTTCCATCGATAGACTACTGACAACCTTGAAGTTAAGAAGTTGAAGAAAAAGTAGCAGGGGCCTGTCTCCGGGAAGTTTGATCCCTGGCCGCGGCAACTCCATACTAGTCCCTATCAGGATTAGTGCTATCCCGAATGAGGCTTAAGTCGATTGAGCCCCAACCTTATTACGATAGCTTAGGGGAGTTAACCAGGGACTACGAAACCACTACACGTTCCATCTTTGCCTCATCTGCCTCGACTACTCAATGCTCTCAGACGGCATCATCATGATTCTGGGCATAGTAGGCCTCTCGCGACACCAACCTCACCTTAGGGTATTTTGCGATAACGGACCATCCTAGCTCGAATTGGTATTGTTCGCGTACTCGGACCCCTGCCGACTCATAGAATCTCGTCCAAAATGTACTTAGCGTGTTCTAGTGTGAATTGACATGGTTGATAGAAGCTTCACCAGTGTGGATTGCCACCCACATTGAAGAGATCCAGCCAATCGTGACCGTTGCTGCTTCCCAGTTTGGATTGTGCAAGCTCCAAGTAACGAGACGATGGGGACCCTTGAACGTGCAGAAGAATTCGTTGGCTCGAACCCGGAGCTGTCTAGCCCGCGCGGGACGCCACAGAATGCTACCCTCGGTCTAGTCCCTCGAGTGAGCTCGCCTCTTATTGTCGACTTCTTTTATGCACTCTTCTAGCTTTGCCATCTCCTCTGGAGGAGACTCACCAGCCTGGCGCACGTTCTTCGCTTCATCGGCCTACGCTGCCCGTGGCCTCTACTATCCCTTCACTTCCATTCATCTGCTGGTTCAGGAATTTGTTTTTCCTAATTTGTGAGCTGGCTCTTGTATACGGCGCGTGTCTATGATCTCGTCGTCTCTTCTTCTCACTCGCAAGCGAACGTCACTTAATTTTCGAGCGTAATTCCAGCAAGTCTCTTAGTTAGATGACTTGACCACGACGGCAGGCGATTCTTTGGCCCAAAGCCCTCGCCTGAAAGCTACTCGAACCCGGGTCCCACGATGTTCGACAGTATGGATCAGCTCCATGGTCTGAACAATCTGAACAATAGCTGGCAAACGAATTCGAGTTCGCTTGGGATCTATCAAGCTGCTTCTAGCAGCAACTCAACCTTTGGTGTCATCAATGAGTTCAAGTTTCTTGCCGCAAAGTCGATACGAACTTCTACAATCATCCTCGCTGTTTTCAACACGGTATCAGCCTTTGCCACTGCAGCTGGCATTTATTACGACTGCTATGTATCAGCAACACGGTCAAATCCAGAACGCAGGGGACGGTAAGTTTCAAGACACCTACACGTAGTCTATGAAGATGATACTAACTCCAGTCTCAAGCGCCAGTATCTTCCGATGTGTTCGAGGACCGGAGACATACCCGTTTGTTTTGTCTTTGGGAATCACCATCCAGGGCATAATCTTTGCTGTCTCTCAATCATACGGCTTACAGGGTCTTTTCATACCCGATTGCTCTCTGATATCTCAATTCATGTGGCCAGGTATGTAGCATCTCATATGGCAAAGCGCCAAAAGGCAGTTTACTAAGACATGTCGCAGCGGTTTTTATCGTACCTTACATACAGTTAGTCTTCGGTCTTGAAGTCACTCTCCGAGCTTTCAGAAGTACACCATTTCCACCAAGAAACAAGTGGAATGTCCTAATCTGCCTCGTACTGGTTAAATGTCTTCTACTGTGTACTGGCCTAGTCGGGTTTTTCGTTCGACCTCCAAGTTTCTGCTTTGCTTCGCTATTCTGGTTCGTGGCAAAATGGGCAGAGGGGGGCGCCGTTCTGTTGCTCTTAATTGCTGTCATTTTGGCGATCTGCAGCTTCGTCATCTTCTTAAAATTAACTAGACACGCAATGATTGAGGAATCCGAGCGGATTAATGCCTCAAGAATGGTTTACTACCTTGCACTGGCAGTAGTTACCAATGTAAGCTTTTCACGTTCTATTTGCAAGACACGTCCCGGCTAACTTCTTTTAGGCGTTGATCCTACCGTTCTTCATATATCTGTCCTTCAAGCATCCCCTGAATGACACTGCCGGACTAACATTGTCCATGATCTCAACCGTCGTGGCTAATGTTACCGGGCTCACAACTGGAGGCCTTCACCTATTTCTCCGATCCAGAACTATCTCTACGATCGGACCAATGGACAAATTGGCTGAGTATGAGCGCCAAAAGTTGAAACACCAGATTCGGGTAAGGGGAACGAATGGTACCATGGACTTCAACGGCCACATGCTTCAACCCGTATCGGGGCCTCGGTTCTCGAAAGCGGAAAGCCAAGAAGATCTTGTAGGCGATAAAAACAACGACGCAGAACGTGGAGAAAGTCGCTATCCTGGGGATTCCCCGACGTTTGGCACGAGCGTTCCAAATCCTTTAAGATCTAATGCAGTGTTTGAGACCGAAAATTTCCCACTGATCCCCGAGCCCATACCAATCCCACCTACCCCCACGGCTAACATACACAGCCGAAAGCCATCAGCTTCCTATACACTATTTCCTAGCAAAAACCAAAGCAATACAGCATCAGTTGCACTGTTGCCGTCCACTGCCTATAACCCTAACTCCCAGTCAACCTTAGCTCCAAATAGCTATCCGTTGGAAGACTTGAGCGAAACACTCAAACCTCCTCCGTCCGTTCGAACGTGGGGACGTCATAGACGGGACTCGTCGATGGTGTCGTCCGCAACGGTTCAAATCGGTCTACGTATCTCGAACGTCGCGGACATAGGGCCATTGCCCAAAACTTCCACAGAAATAGAGAGAGAGTACACGCCGTACTATCCTCAGAACGAGCTACCAGCTACTGCTTACAGACCAAGTCCTCTCGCAACTTTCAATGCTCAGAGCTCTCCAATGTTACAAGATCCTATCAAAGCGATCGATACAGTTACGAAAAACGTTCTGCCTACATCTGCCAATTCCGAGGGAGACGGGAGCAACCACACTCTGAGTCCGACGGTCTATAATCCAAACAGCCCTACAAAGACAAAGACCCCGAGTCCAAAGGGAGTTGGGTTCAACGTCCCCCGAAGAGCAAATACGACACCGATACAGGGAACATCGACACCACCACCACCAACTCACAACCGTGGAAACTCGAGTGGCGTCGCAGATAGCAGGTCTGATTGGATTTGATGTCCATAAGACTGGCGAGCTTGATATTATCTGCTTTTGAGGTTATAGATAAAAAGGATGCATCAATATGTACCACTAGAACCCGTCTCTCCGCCGAGACTGAATCCCTTCATTAGCTTTCCTTCGACTGTTGTCATTTTTGCTTTACCAAAGCGCAATGAACTTCGTCGTTCACTTGTACTTTTTTTCCTTCTCTTTTATTTCGATTCTTATACTAAGCGGCGTTCGTGCGGTTGATACGATACCAAGGCAGACGCCGGACTAAGACTTTTTTTTTGGTTCTATTTCGATACACCGCGGGGAGGCTGGAAGGGATACAGTATCATGCATATACAGGCGTCAACCAGAGAGACGGGAGTCACCTCCCATCTTTTTTTCTATATCCGGGTGGTTTCACAATGGGAGAGGCATTGGTTGCATGAACCATCTCGTGTGAACTCGCTAGGATGCTGTACGTTGGGGGAAGCATGTTGGATTTCTCAATGACTGGATGACATCTTGGAAGACAAGGCTACGGACGAAGGTGTACATGCAAAGGAGGAGTGGACATAGGGGACCCTAGTGGCATGGACGGTAATAGCTGCCGCGGATGATCTAGCTAGGAAATCATGATTATCTATCATAAAATCTTCGAAGTTGCTATGGTGTGATTTGATGCTGTGTTTTCTGTTGATCGGCCTTGTGACGTATTCTGATCTTCCCATGCCGATCGAGAAACGGAGCCGAAGTGGAGGGATCGACTCTCAAACCGAAATGTGAAAAACCCACCATACACCCGGACTTGTTTGTGAAACAGGAGCTGATGCCATCCGACGGAGCCTATGATATATTTAACTCTCATGATTCATAATCATAAGACGAACCATTTCCTTGAATTTTCAGCATATGTAACAAACTTATGACGATGCTCCATACAAGTCTACCCATTTTCGAGAAAATCTATTATGATTGTAATAATTCTCAACTAGGTACATATGTAGGTACATATGTAGGTAGGTACAGAAGCCATGAAGCTATGAACAGCCACAATGTGGCGTAAGCTTGAAAGTGCCAGCTTAAGTCCAAATTCAGATAGGTACCTCGGTACTTTGAATTTTTCGAAGCTTCATATCCTACCTGTTCCGTCCGGAATCTGTGAGCGTCTCAACCTCATAACCCCGACGCCAAGTAAATTTCTTGTGGCGGGAGATTGAATGCCGGGGTTACAATGAGGGTATGAGGTATATATCTGTCTAACTCACATATACGCCGTCCCTATGAGGTTCGCAGATATCCTCATTGATTTGGCCGCTGTCGTCAAAGTATCTCGGTCCGTCGTTTCGAGGCATATAGAGCTTCGAGCTCGACAAATCGACCGCTATGGCCAAACATCAAGTATTGTGCGGTCATTAAGGGAAAGACAGCCAAATGCTCGTCCGAATCCTCCGGAAGCAGCCAATGCTGGTAATCCACCAGCTCACAGTGAAGAAAATTCGCGTGAGGCGACTTCTCATCCTGACATAGTGACGCCAGTACCCGAAGGAGTAAAATCAGATGCGAACAACTCTCCAAATATTTCGCAAAAAGGTGCTACAGCATCATCTAGAGGCCAGCCAGATGTCTACAGGAACCTCTTCCAACCAAGTTCGCTGAGGGATACAGCAACTACGCAGCACCCCTCTATGCCACATGTACAGTCAGATCAGAACGCCATTCTAGCGCAACTGAGAAAAAGCGCCAATGACGCTAAGGCACGCCACGATGCTGACTCGGCTGCGTCTTCTGAACTTGATTCGCCAGAATCGAATGCATCTCCCAGTGTCACTACTCAAGCAGACGCTCCTCCAGATGTGAACGTCAACGTTTTTCGTACAAATCGGGGCTCGCAGATGCTAGAGGGACAAAAGAATGCCCTACGGACGAATCAACTTAATGTCCCGGCTCCGTCTCCTGGGTGGTTCAAAGATTTCGGCCATGGAAATTCAAAACCCCACCCTGAGGAAATCAAGGCGTCGCCTCCTATTGCTGAGAGCGCGGCGACGCAGACAGCTCCAACCACGAATGAGAATGCGACACATGCTACCATAGATAAGGACGAGTCATATATTAAACAAGCGCCTTTCAGCCGGAAAGCTAACGAGGAGATGCACTCAGCGATGGTCGATGAAACCCTATCTAAAGTAGAAACAGACACAAACACACCATCGGGCGTAGTTACCGAAACAGAAGCGATGTTTGGCGGCGAGACGTCAAAACCAACATATGCCCTAAAGGAGTCCAGAGTACCGTCCACTCGCCTGGGCCGACTATGGAACTACGGGGGACTGGCTGCCGGAATGCTCGGCGGAGCCATTAGTGAAGGGTTCAGTAGAGGACTCGGGGGTGGTGGTGAGGGCTCGGTGTTATTTAGCCCTGGAAACATGGAACGATTAGTCGCCAAGCTCTCGCGAATGAGAGGTGCGGCTCTTAAGATAGGTCAGGTGATGAGTTTTCAGGACTCCAAGATGCTCCCGGCCCCTATCCGGGAGGTTCTTCAGCGAGTACAAGATCGAGCAGATTACATGCCTGCATGGCAACGCGATAACATGCTCTCCATGAGTCTTGGGCCCGAATGGCGAGACTTATTTGACGAGTTTGAGGAGAAACCAATAGCGGCGGCGTCGATTGGTCAAGTCCATCGCGCGACACTCAGGTCTACGGGCGAGAAAGTCGCAGTCAAGATCCAGTTCCCCGGTGTCGCCGACTCGATTAACTCGGACTTGGATAACCTATCAATGTTGCTAACTGCCTCCAAGCTGCTACCGAAGGGGCTATACCTCAACAAAACGATCGACAATGCCCGAACGGAGCTCAGTTGGGAGTGCGACTACGAACGGGAAGCCGACTGCGGAAGACGTTACCGAGATCTCTTAGCCGACGAGCCGGACGTCTTCGTCGTACCCAAGATCCACGCCGCGGCCTCGGGGAAACGCGTGCTGACGATGGAGTTCATGGAAGGGATAGGCGTTACGCGTGGCACGTCCTTCACACAGGAACAGAAGGACTGGATCGGTACGCAGATCCTGCGGCTCTGCCTGCGCGAGATCACCGAGTTCCGCTTTATGCAGACGGACCCCAATTGGACTAACTTCTTGTATAATGCCGCTACTAATAAGCTCGAACTCCTCGACTTTGGCGCCTCGCGCGAGTATCCCGAGCGTTTCGTCGCGCAGTACGTTAACTTGCTAGCCGCGGCCTCGCGCGGCGACCGCAAGACCATCAAGGAGCTCTCCGAGAGCTTGGGTTATCTGACGGGCCACGAGAGCAAGACCATGCTCGATGCGCACATCGCCTCGATCCTGACCCTCGCCGAGCCGTTTTCCGAGTCCGCGCCCAAGGTGTACGATTTCCAAGACCAGACTATCACGGACCGCGTCAAGGCACTGATCCCCGTCATGGTTAGGGAGCGGCTTAGCCCGCCGCCCGAGGAGACGTATAGTCTGCATCGAAAACTTAGCGGCGCGTTCCTACTCTGCGCGAGGTTGGGGAGCAGAGTGCCATGTCGAGAGCTATTTGAGCAGGCGATAGGAAAGATGGATGCTGTACGATAGACTAATGTACATGTACTATAATGACCCACCTGTATAAACGATTTGCGAGTTACCACGTCATAAAGGGGGAAACGGAGCATTGATAACAAGCATGGATAGGGACAGCGGGAAAATGGTATCATTGACGTCTAAACCCATAATAGATAGACTGTAGGGCACAAACCTCTGCGCCCGAGCAAACCAAGAGAATAAACTCCCTTCATCACAAACATTGCATTGCCGATCCCGTTCATCAACTCATCTCCCGCCTCGGCGCAGGCATAGGCGCATCCCTCCTCTCCCTTGCAGCCAACTTCTTCCTCCGGCGCTCGATGACGCGGTCGACCTGCTTCTTCTTCAGGCCGGCGAAGCGGTCTACCAATAACCGCTTCTTCTGCTCGCTCTTCTTGAGGTAGAACGGCTTCTTGCCCTGCTTGACGAGTTCCTTCTCCTGGCGGCGGTGCTCCTCCAGCACGCGCCTTTCTTTGTCGCGCTGCTCCTGCGCCTGCTTGCGTCCTTGCATCGACTTGAGCGCGCGCCGCAGCTCCTCCTTCGCGGACTCGTCCCGCGTCTTCTTGATCGCCGATCGCAGCTGCGCCATCTCGTCCTCGCGGTACTTGTCTAGGAAATCGTACGCCCGCCGCGCCTTCTCCTCGTCGAGGGGCCGCCCTGATACCGCGGATGAGAACCGCGGGTCCCGCGCTACTGGCTTGTGCACTGCGACGACCTCGCGCTTCCGGCTCACTTGACGCTTGCTTGACTGCTCTGTCGGCGCGTGCTTGCTCGTCCGATGTGAAGGTTTCAGGTGCAACTTGTTGTTGTCTTGCGTCTTCGGATCGGGCTGGTCGCTGGATTCCGAGTCTTCGTCGGATCCTTGCGTTGCGCGCCCCTTGTTGCCCCGTCGGGCGTTGGGGAGGGAGGCTTGCGCTTTGGCTAAGGCGCCGAAGGAGATTTGAGAGACGACTGCTGATGGATCGTCTACCTCTTCATCGTCGTCATCTTCGGATGCCGAGTCGGACTATATGAGGTGTTAGTACTAGATTGGTAAATTGCGTAAAAGAAAGTGTCACAGGCCTCATCATCGTCCTGTTCTAGGTCTTCTTCACTCTGTTCCTCGGAATCCTCGTCTTCACTACCCTCTTCGCTTTGAGACTCGTTACTGGGTATCTCTTCCGGCTCGTCCCTTCTTGCTCGTACACGCCGTTGAAGATTATATAGCGGAGCTTTCCGCTTAGATTTTGTTGTTATTCGCTCCATTTTAGTTGTGTATAAAAAGTAGTTTCTGAGCTTTGTAAATTCACGGTTATATAGATGTTTACCTACCTATGCAATAAAAAAAGGTGGCGGCGATAAGATAACGCCGTTATCGATAACACACTTTATGTCGGGTCACACCCGCGAACTAATATTCAAGTTCACGATGACTTCCAACTTCCAACTTCACCAGGTACCTGCCTAATTGTGCAAGTTTATGGGCATTCTCTCCTCATGTGGCGCAACTATCCTAGCAATGTGCTCAATTTCAGCGCAAAATTGTCTCGTAGACTTGCAACACCTCGTTGCAACTCCATAAATCTAAAGTTGCAATCCCGTCTTCTAACTACGGAACAAATCACAACAAGAACGAAGACCGAGAGGATTGCAAAACCCGATCGTCGGGTTGGACAAAACCGCGCCATAGACAATCAGAACTCGAGAGGCCCCCGAATCCAGGGCGAATCGTCGTCTAATCCGCTGACGTGGGGCAAGATGCAGCAGATCATCGAATCTCAAATAGAGCAAGAGGTTACAGGCAGTTCACCTCCGTACTCGCCTCAATACGAGGGCTCTCCTCCTTCTGCCAAATCCTCACCAAGACGCAGTCGCGAACCAAGTCCAACACCGCCGAAAAAGGACTGGGGAGGAAGCAAGTCTGAGGTTAAGTCAAAGCAGAAGCCGGTGCCTCAGAAGGGAAAACCTAGAGACGAAATCGTTCCGCCGTCCGCCGAATCAGGCGGAATACCCGAGCCTTCGCCGGAGTACATGGCCTACGCGTCGCATCCGCCCTTCATCTTGCCCTCCCCGCGCATCATCTTCATAGTCATCGACCTAAACGGCACCCTCCTCTTCCGCCCCTCGAGGACGCGCCCCACGGAATTCACGATGCGCCCCTACGCACGCGAGTTTATGTCCTACTGCCTCCGCACCTTCAGAGTCGCCATCTGGTCTTCGGCGAGGATGAAAAACATCACTGCCATGCTGAACAAGTTCCTCACCCCCCAACAGCGCGAGCAGCTTGTCGCCGTCTGGGGCCGCGAACATTTCGGCCTCTCGCCGAAGGACGACAGGAACCGAGTCATGTGCTACAAGCGGCTAACCAAGCTGTGGGCCGACGCGCAGATCCAATCCACCCACCCGGATGCCGATCTAGGCAAACGTTGGGACCAGACCAACACATTGCTCATCGACGACTCGTTTGAGAAGGGCCGCAGCGAGCCCTACAACATTGTACAGATTCCCGAGTTCCACGGCGACCCTGCGGAGGAGGGATACGTCCTTCCGCAGATCCACGACTATATCAATGAGTGCTCGCGCCAGATGAACATCAGCTCCTACATTAAATCGTCGCCGTTCGTGATGCAGTACGGTTTCCAGCTTGCGCCTCAACATACGCAGCAATGAATTGCTGGGGCATAACGGACCAAGACAACGTTTGAAGCACAGTGAAGTTCCAATGAGAAGTGACTCGGAGGCGTCGGAGGATATTTCTACCAGATTAGATACCCCAGGGTATAGAGGCGTGCCAAATGATATGGGATTTGAGCACCGGAGTTCTACGGCATTGAGTTAGGGGATGGCATTCTAAGATAGGTACGGCGTTGGTATGATATGGTGCTGATGTTGCTTACTTTGCTGAGCCATTGTACACTTCGATTCACATATGGGAAGAAGGTGATGACACTTGACTAAAAGAACAGCTTAACAATTCGCATAGATGATAACTACTGGTCTTGACACCCCTTTCCTGCCCTCTAGCATCCATGGTCCTTTTAGCAATTAAGCATATCACCGGAGCGCGGGCTTAGCCTCATTTAGGGCGCCAAGGGACAAACGGAACATCTACTCTTGATCAACCTCGAATAGCGTACCCGAATTCAGTTCAGGGCTACTTTCGATATTCATGATACCTGTTTGGGGCTGGCTTACACCTCCGGAGAAGGCATACTGCTTAGGCTGAGATGGCTTTGCGCGTAGCTTTGAAGTACCTACCTCCCGACCTATCTACCTAAGTAGATGCTCATTAGGAGCGGTGGGTTCGCCTGTTACTAAAGGGGCCAAATAACCCCTATGCAAAGGATTCGATACTCAATAGTAGTCAACCTCAATCTAAAGAGCTGAGACGGCCGGACGGTCGAGTCTTTCTAAGCACTAAAATCTCCTTCCATGTGTCTCTTCCCAAAATTTAAAGTCTAAATACTCCCCTTCCTCGGTTCTAAGTCTACGCAGGTATCTGGCATCTATCTAATCTGTATATCTAACTACCTTACCTATGCCTCCTTATTGATCTGCACTCCAGACTCTACACCCCCAGATACCTATCTAATCCGTACTCCAAATACCTACCCAAAAAAAGCCTTCAACACCCTAAGCGCCTGCTCATTCGCCGTGAACAAGATCCCGCCCGCCATCACCGTGCGGCCCAACCTCATCACAGTCCCCCTCCAAAACCCCCTGATCCCATCCTCGGCATACACAGCCCTGACGCAGTCCAGCGTACCCACGGCCCGCGCCTGCTGCGCCTTTGTCTTGACCGTGTCGAAGGGTTGCGTGGCCAGCGTGGTCAGGGTTCCGGCGACGGCGCCGTTGATGAAGCTCACGGCCGCGCCGTCCACGTCGATCTTATTCGCGCGGAAAAAGGTCGAGCCGCGCTCCCAGTCCTTGAGCGCCGCGTACGAGCCCAGCCGGAAACCCGTAGTGCCGATCTGCTTCAGCGTCGTGGTCGCGTAGCCGGCGTACAGCGCCCGCGCGAAGCCTTGCTCCGAGAGCAGCGTCGCGACGCAGTGCGCGGGAGACCGGAACCGCCGCGACGTCCGGGCGTCGTCTATCAGCGCCGTTTTGATGCGCTCGGACGGTGTTACGACGAGCGTTGAGGCGACGATGCCGGTGAGCACTAGGAAAGGGGGGTGGGTTGTTAATGGGGGGGTTGGTCTGGGCGACGACTACGAGGCTAGAAGGGCCGAAGGGGAGGATTGGGGAAAAAAAGGGGGATGGTGTTCTCGGTGGGTGCGTACTGCCAGAAGCGATGGACTGCGCGGTGGACGACCGGTGAGTCTCGGGGTCCTCGAAGAGCGACCGGATGCTGTCGAAGGCGACGAAGCGCACTGCGTCTTTGCCGATGGAACCCTGCAACCGCGCGGATAGGAGCGGCAGGTCAGCTGAAATGCGCCTACGAAAAAGGGCAAAAGAAATTTAAATTTGGTGGATGTATGTTGTATTACTATTATCTCCACGTATAATATGACCAAATATATAATGATATGTATATGTCCCAGGATCAGATTTTACGAGGGTTACGCAAGACAGGACTGTGCGACCCGGGGGACGACCGGGAGGGAGCGGGCTGAACGAAGATGCAGGTGGATGGGGACCGCATGCAATGCAAGGCACAAGAGGGGGGGCCAGGCGCAGGCGCAGGCATGCCCGCTCCCCGGCGGCCGAATCACGTAGATCGTGCCCGGGTGCGACCTCGAAAGGGGGCATACCTCGCGTAAGGCTGGGATTCGAGAGAGACATGCATGCTGCAACTCGCAGAAACGGGTGGCCAGCTCGTAGACCTGCAGAAGCTGGGGCTTTTTTTCTCCCCTTTTTCCCCCTGTCCTGGTCCTTAGCTTGCTCGCTCGATTGAGTAACTGATACGAAATATCGTTCTGGGCTTGTTTTTCTTTTTCGATATGTATGTAGTGTATGTACTTGATTTTCTACAGCCGCGTACGCAAGAGGCGTTCTCGGGGAATTGGCAATTTGCCCGAGATGCACGACATCTTCCCCGCGAACGCCAGAAGGAATACCAAGCCGGTCATCCGGAAGCGAAGCGAAGGAATGGGATCTCAAGGTAGGTAGAGATGAATAGGTAGACAGACGGACGGACGGACGGACGGACGAACAGACGAACAGACAAACGAACACTATACACATACCACGATCATAGTCGAGCACCCCTTATACAGCGCACGTAGTCCCTCCTCCCTAGCAACCTTAGCCACGACCATGAACGGGTTTCTGATGCCCTCGTGGCCGTAGAGTTGCACGCGCGTCTTCGCGAACTCGAACGGGTACGTGCACGCCGACTCGACACCTCCCGCTATGCCGCCGGCCACCAGCGAGATCGCCGGGGACGCTTTGCCGTCCGCACCCGCCACCATGGTTGACCTTTCCCTTCCCTCGTCTCCTTTCTCTCTCTCGCACTCGCACTCTCTCGTATTCAGTACCCCTACGTTAACGACATGTGAAAGTAAGAATAGAAAAGCGTTGTCCCCCCCTTGTGATTTGTGATTGATTATGAGGATGAGGCGGAGCGAATCGATGTGATGTGATCCGGTTCTTGAAACAGGAGAATACGGTACGTGCAATTGGAATGACGTTTAGGAAGTGCTGTAGGACGAAGAATACACCCCCATATGCAGTTAGACCCGAACAATAGTTTCATAGCGGGTTGGCGAATGATCCCCCACTCAGCTTATGCATGTTGTTCTTGGTACTTACATATCTGTAAGGATCGATTGGGCTGGCCACTTTCGTGGGGGTTGGCGGGGCGGCGCCTGAAGATCGTTGGTTGGGGTCATGCTACACAGCGCCAACAATAATCATCGCGGTAGATATGTACCTACTACTCATGCACAATACAATATATTTTAGAGGTGTTGGAAGGAAGACATGGCTGGCTTTACCTCCACCCCCTTAAGCTCACACCATCTCAGCGACTAACTGGATCAGTAAGCCAGTCACTCATGCACAAGTATCAAGACGGGGAGAAGGCTTTGACGCCTAGTTCATGAGCTGTATTCTGTATCATGTCACCGTCATCGTTATAGGCCTCACTTCTCCAGTACCTACATGTACATCTGAAGTTGGCGGTTCAGCCAGGACATAGAACCGTTACTTCTGTGTACAACAGTCAGGGGGTTTGCCATCAGAATGCGATCCATGAAGTACTCCATACCAACCTTACCAACCTTACCAACCTCCTCAGGCACTTGATCAGAGCACTGGGATCACTAGGGTATCTAGCTAAGCCAACGTCCATTCATCACTCAACTCGTTATCATGTCATCCCCAAACGTGCCTGAAAAGAACCACTAGATCTCCCTATAGCAATTAGACAGACGGGTTCTCGAGACTCAGAGCAATGCTCTCTTTCTGGGAGAAAAATATGCCGAGTAGCCCGACAAACCGTGATCAGCCGTATGCGGGGCCGTGTCCGAGGTGATCCCATTCGGCATTCATGGTTTCTACCTGGCCGACATCGGCCCATACGTCTAATTTCTCGAGCTCTCGCTTGAAGAAATCTTGCTCGTTCCGTAGCGCCTCCCTAATGTCCGCTGCCATCTGGTCCGGGTACCTCCGGACATTGAACCAGTGAGTCAGGCTTCGGAGCGCTTGCTCGAGTGGTAGCGCCTCCTCCACTTCCGCATCCACGTCGCTACCCGCCAGCCACTCATCTCGGAGCTCTGGTCGGCAATGCAAGTAAATGGCCGTGATAACGCGCATGTTACTCTGCCGCCACTTGCGGCCGCAGTAGGGTACTTGATTCTTGAATAGCTTGAGCGTATAGAGCCGCAGCTCGTTCTGTGGTACCTTAAGTGACTTGCGTATAATATTAGACGACTTATACTGGACGAGTAATAAATTGCGATGTGCCTTATTCTTGCAGATCTTCTGCATGATTCGCAGATAGTTGATGAGGGCAAAGAAATTACGGCGCGAGAAATCGGTAATAGGTTCCTTCGGCAGAGGGTTTACTGGGTAGCCCAATTCGTCTACTTCAGGACGAGCGGGTACCTGTCCATCTGTTTTGTTTGCAGCATCGCCGATTTCAGTCGCTGCAGCCACTTGTTCGGGCGGTGATCGCCGTCGTTTGATAGGTGGTGGGGCTGCATCGTCCTCGCTTTCTTCCTCGGGCCCATCAATCTCAGTCGGCTCTTGCGGCACTTTATCCGGGGGATGGGCACGATCGTTACAGAATTGGAAGAAACTGGGATATGTGAGATAAGTAAGATCGCAAAGCCTCGAAGATCTTACCTATGCTCGAGACGATCTGTCTTGCTATCGACCACCTGTTGAATGTCTTGGTGCGCGAATAACTTCAGTACCAGAGGAAGATAGTTAGAATCCAATAGTAACTGTGACATGTACTCGAACTTCAGGACATCTAGAAGGAAATTAGCAAGGCGAGGTGACATCGAGATGCGATTAACATACGCGAGATCTTGAGCCATTTCATGAGTAGGAGAATGATACCCGTGGCAGCTTTCGATTCGATTTCTCTGGATCTTGTAGCATCTAAGTCGTCCAGAGACGGCTCAGTACCATCCTGGTTTGCCAAGCTACTGATACCCATGGAACTATCTTGCGATCGATTTGTCGCGGGGCCGCCGTTGACACGGGGCTGGGAGTTCACTTGCATTCCCGATTGCTGCTGGCTATTAGCTGGCAGGGCAATACATGCAGTAACATTGAATAATACGCCCTTCATGAGGACTATCACTAGAGACTGCAGTTGCGGTAATGCGGCAGCCTATCATTAATCAGTAAAGGTCCAGCCAACGTAAGCCGCAGAGCTACTCACATAAAATGCTTCGATAGCTTCTAGTCGTCGCTTGACTTCTGGGTCGAGGTACGGGTTCGGACCGTAGTCGATATCCGCTCCTCGAGCCTTTCTCTCTCTCGCCTGAATAGCTTCGAGGATTTTGTCATCGTCAACATCTTCGCCAATTTCCAAGGCGTCTAGGTCTAGATCTTCAATGTCATCGTCTGATGGATCCCATCCTCTCTCGAACCTTTGAAACTTTTCTCGCTCTTCCCATAGCTGTCTTGTAGCCCGCGTCATTCGTACTCTCTTCGAGAACAGTTCGCCGGCCTCGAGGATGGATGCAGGCACATCGCTGCCTTCCCATTTGCGGCCAACGAGGATATCCTGTAGACCAGCCCCACCCTTACCACCTGCACTGTTGCTAGTAGCATCTAGCGGGGGGTACATGAACGGGAAGTTTTGGTTCGTTTGATAGTTCTGCTTCTTGCCTCCTTTCCCGCCAACTGCCGGAGAAGGCGGAGGAGACGGAGCAGGGGTGGCAATGTGGACGGGCTGGTGTAGGATCGACGCGCCTCCACTTTGCGTACCCGGAGCAGCGGGAAGTATACCATTTGACCCGTTATTTCTAGTAGGATGGTTAGGTAGAGGAGGTAAGAGTGAAGTATTGTCTGCTTCAAGGGGTATTATTGGTTGAGGGGGTACATAGGCTGGGTATTTCGAAGTGATCTCTTGTCGAAATACATGATAGTCAAGAGGTGTAGCTGTGATTAGGTCCTTCTCCTTGTCGTCTACGGCCGTCTCCCTAAGAGCCTTTTTGGTTTCGTCAATCTCCTTAGTCCCACCAAACTCAAGAAGGATTGATTTCCATAGGAGCAAAAGCGTCTATCTCATTAGCATGACGATGAAAACGTGTTGAAGGACTTCGTACCTGAGGAGCTGGTACAACGTTTACTTCTTGCCATCGAAGTTTTGCCGAGGCTGAGAGCATGAATGTCGTCAAATGAGGCTCCAAATCCACTACCCTAATTAGCCCCACACTCTAATGGAAACTTGACGGCCGAATACATATACTTACGAAGCTTGCGTCGCACCAGATTCATGCCGTCTAGGTCAACGAGCGTTTCTTGTATACACATGTACATAATGGTCATTAGGTTCGTCAGTTCATCTTGGGCCTCTGCTAGACTATTGCCTTGAGGCCTTAGAGATTCGTCCACCCTAAGTAAGGATTAGTAGGATACAAAAGATGCTGTATAGATGAAATACCATAATAACTCGTAAGCATTGCGTAAAGCTGTCCATACGATGGGAATCCCATCCCACTCCGCGAGTAGCTTAACAGCAGACTTCATCGCGGCAAGTTGAGCAGGCGCTGCGACGCTTCGGATTTTTGTCCTATCCCCTGGAGGGGCCCCAGCAGTATCGGCCCATCGACCCAGAACGAGATAAGTAAGTCTCCCTATCGCAGCAGCACGGGTACCAGCATCACTAGCTTTGACGCCATCCAGAGCCTGCTGGATGAAATTTGTTCTAACCTCGTCATCTGCTTCATCCCAGGTTATTTCATCCTGTCTTGCTGCGATATCGTGTTCCCACTGCCACTCGAATGCTCTCTGAGCAGCATTCAGTCTAATCCATTGCCAGAATTGGTAGACGAACCACTCGTCGATCTCCTCTTCATGTGGACCCGTATCAGTGTATTCGAAATCGTAGGCGACAGCTTCATTTCGAGGAAATTCAGACACTATACGCCTCAGCTGCGCCAATGAGAGCGAATCAGGGGGTTGATTGTTCATCGATGGAGAAGGTTGTGTAGGCGGATTAGGCTGAATTTGATTTCGCGGCAGCGGAGGTCGCGCGGGCATTGATTGCCGAATGGGTGCTGCGTTTGCATTCCCAGGGCCTACATCAGTAACTCCTGTGTCGGCCACATCTTCTGAAGCTTTCGGTGCATCAGCACCATCATCGGCAGCTCTTGACCACAGCGAGTTCATAGTGTCTCGACGCGTTGAGGGGGTTTGCGATTAACGCGCTGTCACTTAAGGGTACATCACGAGAATTAAATTACAGACGGCCATATGTATCTCTCCAGAAGTATGCAGTAAGAAACCGTCAAGGACACACAAAGAGAGTCGCAGTGATTATTTGAAGCTAGTAAAGGACGACGCGCAAATCGATGAAGTGGGTTGGTGGGTTGAGAAATGTACCTAGGTACCTGTGAGCAGCTGGAAAATTAAATGGGGGCATAGGTGGGAAAATAAGGTTGTGGCGCGAGCTCAACAAATCATTAATGTCGCTTTGTTGCATTCGACTTATACCTATAAGCAGCATTGGTATTATCCAAATTACGGGTATGAACGCCTCAAATTGGAGTCACCCTATCACAATGATTATAGCTTGATGAAATATACATAGACTTATAATTTTCAAGACCTTTATAAACACAGTCATCCATCTATTGTTCATTAAGCTAATCCTAATTCCTACTCCTAGTTTGGGCTACTATCCCTACTATTCTTTTCAGAAGCTCCATCACCTCTCATACTCTGTTTCATCTCTCTTGCCTTGGCTCGCCGCTTGAGTTTTTTCTGCTTGTTTAGTCTCTGTTTCTTTTCTTTCAGATGCTGTTCCTTGTCGATAAGTTGTTTCTTTGCAGTCTCATCTCGCTCCTTTCTAGCTCTCTCCCGGACCCTAAGAATCATTCTTCGTTTCTTCCCCGGTCTCTTCTTCTGCTTTCCTATGCCAATCATTCCATTATTACTAGTGGAGCCACTTAGAGCAGGTGTTTTCTTATTAGTAGTGATGGTAATAGTTGTCACCTTCCATGGTTTTTCAAGTCCCCATCGTCTCTTCTTCGCGTCCTGCAGAAGGTACTCCGCGCTTACAGCAGCCATCCTGAATCCTTGTGCAACTTCAGGTGGTGGCTCGCTGGCTAAGTAGTACGAGATAGGGCGTTTGGCCACCACAAAGGCGCCTTCGCCGTTCTTCTCATTGTTGGCATCCTGGGATTCGAGGACAACCTTCCGGGAAGGCTCTTCGTTTCGGAAAAGTCGAAATGTAAATGCCTCTTCTCCAGACTTTAGAGCACCATCGGCATCATCGACGGGATTTTCGTTTGCATCCCCTATCCGAGACATTGGGGAGGTTTGTATTTCATCATCTCCATTTGCTCCAAAACTAAGTTCCAACAACCCAGAAAGCTGCGCGTTCAGTTTTCCACGTAAAGTTGAATCAAGTTGATCATCCTCTGTTGACTCCTCGTCCGAGGCAGACTCATACAATTCCTCTCGTCGAACACTTTTGATATTTGTTATTAGCCTAAGAAGGGGAGGGAATATGATAGCAGTGCATACCGTTTGGCCTCAGGAACTTCGAACATGACGTTCGTAATATGAACACCCTGTCTCAAGTGTGGGTTTTAAAGTGAGTACGGAGGTCGATGGGGTATATCGTGAAATGATGATTCTGTGGCTTGGCTGTGCAATAATGAGGAAGAAAATGGATTGAAAGCTTTGACCACTGTTAAATTGTATGCAATAGTGGGGGCCATTTTCAGCCGCCATCCGTTAATGGATTAGAACTTACTTTTAGGCTTGTTTCATCCGAATGACCACCTGCAATTCCCAATACATTGGAGCACAGCTAATTTTGTAGCCGAAGCCTACTCACAGAGGTACCACATACATAGTACTCAGCTTCGTAGTAGCGGCCGTAGTTTAGAGTTTTGTATCACCATATTGCATTTGCTAGTAATACTACATCATCTGCCTGCTAAATTAGCACTAGAATCAAAGTACACATGAAGAGCAATGATCGAAAAAGAAACGGCAGCTCACAGATGTCAGGTGCTAGGTGCAACCAGGCAGGCTAGAATATAAAGTCATCCCTAATAACCTTGGAGCTTATCTCATTTTCTCTCCTATACCATCTTTTTACTCGTTCGCGGCGGAGCTTACAAAAAGCTTCTTATACGGATTTTCAAGGAAATTCTGACTGAATCTGCACCCAATCAGCCGTTGGCAACTTAGTAATTTACAACAATTGTCTACAGATCCCTTCATTGAGCCACCGCCTTAACTCACTTCTCTCGTGCTTACTCTCCTTAGACCCAAAAGTTACCCACTACACATTGACTAGTATGAAGGAATTATCCACACTAGGAGCTGATCGTCGTCAGAAACGGAAACCAAGGTCTTCAGCTTGGGCAGATGCACAGTTTAGTGTGGTACAACACAGGCCTTGGCGGCTATAAGCTGCAAGCTGAAAACTAGGGCCAGGCCCCTCCTGATCCTATATACACACATATAAAAGAGCTACAAGTCTCATATCTAACGATACAGTTTACTAAAGTACAGAATAAGGTAACCCCGAGGAACATGAGACGCCGTTGCCCAGGGTTCCAATAACCATCCAACATGAGCACAGCATCCATCCCTTGCTTAGAATTATTCTTTGAGATTCTCGAAGTGTACTGAGGTTAAGATAATAATCGTCAACTCGAAACGAATAGGTCTCGGGAGCTTTTTTAAATATACCGGAATCACTTTTCTCTTGACCAAATATGCCGCTGTCTCGAACAGAGAGGGAATAAGGATTATTACCGAAGTTAGAATGGATATCGATATTTAGAGGGTCGTGCCATTATCCGTCGCTTCGTACACAGCAAAGGCAAAAACAAACTACCACCCCATCAATACCGCTTACAACAGATATCACATGAATTCGATCGCCGGAAAAATAACGCGGCCGTCCTGCCGGCTTGGTCCAAATTGTGTAAACAGGTAACGACGATGGTACTGCTTGGTATGTACGTAGGATACGAACGAGGGGGGGATATCGAAATAGCAGCAAAAGATGATCTCCACCTCAAAACGACGACGATAGCAGTAAGAGATAGAGGAAACCAACTCCGGAGATTCCAATGCCGACCCGTCTCTGCGAGTGTTTGAGTGTATGCTGTACGTCCAAACAAAATGGTGGAGAGGGTCGTGCTCGCTATAAGCGAAAGACACGAATGAGTATCGATATGAGAAAAGCACCAGATACACAACCCAAAACGGCAATGGTAACCTCTTCCTAACACGAGTACACGGAGACCATCCACCCATCCATCCAATCCATCGTCTTTCTCTTGACTCCATCTCTCCCACACCCACCTCCCTCTCACCAGAGCCCTTTACAATTCCTCCGCAAAGGGATGCTGAACTCCGAAAATAGCTTTTGGCCCTTTTTCATCCTCCACAGGTCTCAAATAAGAAACGGAAAATGAGCTTTCATTAAAAATACTATACAGGCGACATGTGGTAGAAGTCACGCTTTTTTTGTGGCAACGAGAGCTGCCGTCGTCTTACTCGTTATCTCTCACTTACACGCCTGCGTCTTCTTGGCGTGTATCGATGTGCCGTCTGATCGACTCATGACAGTGAGGAATGAGGAACATGTTCATCAAATCTTTTGAACATCAGATTATCCTTTAACATCACTGGCTGTTTATGTCGGGCTCCATGAATAGTGGCCCAAAGTCGAAGCATAACTACCCTGGGGCGCTGGTGGGTGCTCGCTCTTTCCAGGGAATGCATACGGCCTACTGCTTTCGCTGCCTGCGCCGCCGCTACTATGGTATGAATGAACAGTGGCGCTGCTAGGCTCGCCTGCCGTGGTCGTCCATGATGTCGTGGGAGGATAATAGTCGCGGGGTGGTGGCTGTTGCGATTGCGGTTGTTGTGATTGCTGGGAATGCCCACCTGCCGACGAAGAGGGACCACCGGTACTAGGAGCACCAGCACCGGCACCGCCGCTCGCACTATCAGCGCTATATGTGGATGCCGAATTCAACTCGTTGGAATTGCTGTTAACGGGTACGTAGCCTGAAGGCCCATACCTATACTCGGAAGTGTCGTTGCTGTTGCTCATAGAGCTAGTGCTTGGAACGGACTGATGACTTGCATGTCGTGGGCTCTTAGTCGGCCGTGGATTCGAGTCTACATATCGCGGCACACTCAAGTTACCGTGGTCTGAGCTGCTGCTCATTGAGGTCGTCGTTACCGAAAGCTGCGGTGGAGCCGAGGTCCCCTGCACGTATGCGTATTGCGTTCTGATGGCAGGCGGTTGCTGCTCTGTTGCGGCTAGGGATAGTTGCATCGACGGCATGGATGTCTGCATAGGCATTTCCTGTGGCTCCTGCGTGAAGCTCGATGTCCCTGAGAGTGGCATTTTCTGGTACGAATCGGCTGGTATGCTCGCTGGTGGATAACTGGCCGTAGCCGAGGATGGCATTCCAGAAAGGGGCAGCTGGCTGGGAGGATTCCAACTGGGGTATGAACTTAAATCTGCTGTTAGCGTCGAACTCCGACGAAAATTGATGACCACGACCACTCCATACACTCCTCACTTGGCCAAGACCTGCTGGAAAGTCTCTAGAATTCTGGTACACTCCTGGGACTAGATAAAGAAACAACCTACTTGGATCTCATCGTCATCGGGCTACCAGGAAGTTTCGAAGCGTTGAAAGTAAACGCCGTCCTTGGTAGTTCGAGATTCAATCCCCTAAGTTTTGGATCCTGGGGCTTTACTGTCAGGGGCCCGGCGACAATGCCGAGTCCTGTCTCAACCAACGCCTGTCCGCGCGAGCCAGCGCTAGATCCCAAGAGAGGGATTTCTTTCCGTGCCTGGAAATTTCGTGGACTTCGTCCTCGAACCACAATAGGCGCCGTCGTGGATTCTGTCAGAACGACCTTTGACCCGTTTGCTAGAGTCCCCACTACTTTCAAGTGAAGCACAAAATGCTGCTGAAGCTCTTTACGTCTCCCATTATTCGCAGTTGCTCTGTGATTTACGCATTAGTGTGCGAGTTTCCTAGCACCAAGGCTAGAGCCTTACGACAAGGAAAGGCGAAGGCTTAACCAAGAAAAAAAATACTTACATTCTAAATTGCAACCGCCGCCACCCGATAGGGTACACGGCATACTCGCCCTCCGCCTCTTGTCCGTCGTCTGGGAATGGAATCAACGGTAACGAAGGTGGCTCCTGGTCTGGTGTCTGGGGTAGTTCCGGGGAATTCGGCGGCGGCGTCTTCCAAGGGATCACGATGAGCCTCACGGGATGGCCGTCGACGGACTCGATAGCCGAAATAGTGACTTCGGTACTGTTCACGGGGACGGTTTCGCCGGTCTCTGGGAGAATTACTGATAATTGGCCTCTCGGTGTGATGAGCGAACCACTAATTTGGAATAAATTTCTTCGGTAACAGGTCAACTCCGGCTGTAGAATCGCGCCGTCGCTAGTACTAGATGGCATTTCCGATAGGAAAAACATGCCGTGAAGTTGCGCAGAGAGCTCGAGCTGCTGCATTCGTCCATGCTGGTCAACAATGGTGTGCTTGTCCTGGACTCTTCTAAAAGAGAGCAACTTGTGGTCGTGGTTAACGGTAAGTTTGGACCCGTCATCTCTCAGGTCCTGGACAATCTCTTGATACGGCGGATGCTCGCCGGGTTGATGCGGTCTCTTAAGGTTAGGAAAGCTGTGATGTTGCGTTAAAGAAGGCTGCGGATATCTGTCAAATCCATCCGATTCCTCCTGCGGGTATCGAGGGTACGGGTAAGGATGGTCGATGGTGGGGTGGCTGCTTCTGGGCCTTCCTGGATGTTGCGACGATGTCGTCGAAGGGTGCGAGAGATTCGACTCCATGGTGTTGGGGAATCGAGTTGATAAGGACACCGGACCACCGCCATAGTTCGACCAAAGACTACTATGCGCTGGCTCCGGCTTCAACTCTGCCATGGTCGCCGTCAAAGTCGTTGTGGCTGACATGGGAAACTTTGTCCCAGCCGTGCTCCCAAGACCTATCCTCGCGCGCTACCGGCGATTTCCCAAAACTCGTCTTTTTCTTTCTCGGTATTTCTTTAATTCCTCCTCTCCAGATAGGAAGACGCTTTACTCAGAACATCAGCGTCGCGGCAGTAACCTCTAACTGATGTTCATAGACTACTAGTCTCGCCAGGTCCGAGTTCCTGTCGAAAGGGAAGCACCTTGGTGGGAGTGTTAAAAGACTTTCCTCCTAAAGGTAGGTGAAGTCAGAATAAAGTGAACGTCGAAAGGAGGTAAGGTTGCAGGCCGAAGTGTACTTGTATGGGATGGGACGGGATACGGTAGGATAGATGTTGCCTCTGAGGGGACTGTTTTGTGCAGCAGAACGGCATTATCCACTACCCTGGGGGGGGCACGTTTAACGGTTGACGGGTCCTAGCCAAGCGGAGGTGGCCCAGGTCCAGGTCCAAAGAGAGTCAATGAGAGAGCAGGAAGTGACTTGGGGGTCTGGTACAGAAATCTTTAGTACCTACAACTGACATGGGTTTTAGAGTACAGTGCATGCAGCCCGACTGGGAAGGAGAACGGAGCTAATGGCGATCTGGCTGGGGGAAGATACAGGGCTTTTAGTTCTGTCCGGGACTTGTTGATAGGCCCTAGACAATATCGACAACAAGCTTGATTCTCCAGACCATACAAGCGCCAACTAAATTATCGAAAAA